GAGGTGAGAGCGCTACCCGCAGCGCCACCTGTTAAGAAAATATATATTTAAAAAATAAAAAGAATTAATAACTAAAACCAGCTCAAATGTTATCGATTATTTGTCATATGCCATGTCCCGAATAAAACACGTTAACGTAATGCACAATTGTTAGTCATTTGAGACTCCTTTATTACAGCACTCCCACAAGTTTCTCTCTTGCTTTCACAAATAAAATTATACATATTTAATGTATATCCATTATTAATAGCCTATCTAAGTTTTGCCCAGCTAGCGATACCTGCAGGTAAAGGTAGCCTATAAGCATATTTTTTTCAGTGCATGCATTGACTGCATCGTCTAATACATAGAATATAAGTATGTTTGTGGTTAATTAGATGGCATGATAAGCATAGACATGAGCATTATTCAGAACATAGCCTATATATTTATTTTTAAAATGTTATATTTATTTAGAAATTAAAACTATATTAAATTTCAACTTGCAGTAATAATCTAAACATTAAACTTTGCCTCGATGTTGTGCATTTATTATCTTTAAACACACCAAAATCTGACGATTGTCCCTTACATGTATATTACATTTATAATGATACTCAAATTTATTTAATCAACTGACTGTTTACTTGTGAATAGTTTGTTTAGTTACACTATATTTAAAGTGATTTCTTTTTTCGACTACCTTGTAATTTGACATGTTCAGCCAAAATAAAGACATGTAAAGGCTGATTTATACTTCTGCGTCAAATGCACGTGTATGGTCCGACGCAGCCTGCGCGCAGTCGAATAGCCCTTGCCGTGGCGCATCTCTCCAAAAATGTAACTACACATCGCAACAACACGTAGCGCACGCTCTATTAGTGGGCTTGGTAACACTTACGCGTGTGGGCGGGGTTGAGAGCCACGGCAACCCATTGGAGCGAGTGTTTACAAGTGTAGAGTCCCATGAAATAGCTCGAGGTGGAAACTGTTGCTTTGTTTTTACCTTATGATTAAAGTTGTTGTATGACCGCCGGCTCCCGCCTCAGAATGAGCGAGTTTTATTTTCTTGTTCATTAAGGTAGTGTTCAGAAAAAACAAAACCCAAGCGAAGAAACTCCATACAGAGGGAACATATAAACCTACTGCTTTTGTAAGTGTTATTGTAGAACAACACAAACAGCGCGCACAAGTATAAGTGCTCAGCTGCACGCAGGGCAGGCGCCGTAGGTCACGCCAATCACTCAACGCAGAAGTACAAACCAGGCTTAAGGCCGAATGTGCATTGTGCAATTTTGAGCCAAATTCTGATGCGACTCTTCTTTGAATCAAATTAAATTTCAACTTCGATATTTGCTGTGCTGTGTTGATGCAATGTACAGGAGGAACTAAGAGGTGAATAACCTCTCTTGGTCGGCAATCAGATAGTCTAATCATTTTATGTCAGGTCAGACATTTTGGTCGGCCCTCTTGAGAGAATCACAGAGATGAATCAAAGTTGTGCTCTTACTGCACCCTAGTACTGTGAAAACTAGGGAAGCAACAATAACATTTACTTATTCTTCACTTGTCACAAACCTGTTTGAGTTTCTTTGTTCTGATAAACACAACATAAGATCATTTGAAAAATGATGAAAACCGGTAACCATTGACTTCCATAATATGTTTTTCCTACTATGAATGTCAATGATTACTGGTTTCTAACACTCTTCAAAATATTTTATCTTGTGTTCAACAGATAAAAAAAACTCAAAGGTTTGGGACCATGGAAACATGGTGAGTGAATAGTGAGTAAATTTCCTTTTTTGGGACTATTTAGATTTTTCAGAGCAACATATTCAGTTAAGAGACTGTTTACTGTAATGTGTAGTGATAAATGTTTTGCAGTTACTTACCATAAAAAGTTGATGGAAAATTCCAACTGCAGTACTGGACAGAAAATGTGTTTAAACCCCTGACCAAGGAACTCAGCAAAGGAAACTTGTTGTACAGTACCTCAAATGAAAGGAAGCACATGATTATCATCATTTAGGTTCAAAATTCAGCACAAGTAACAACATGACCAACTTCTTAATCAACATATTGTTTTCCGATTAATTATATTAGGCAACATTTAGATAAATTACTTATTAAACAAATTGCTGAACGTGATTGATATGTTTAGTTAGGGTTATTTTTATACCAACACCAATAAGGTTAGCAAGAACTTTTTCTTCAGTTCAACATTAAATATTTTAGCTGAATTTTCTTTAATGTTTTACTGAAGAAAGAAAGTCTGTGGGTAGGTAAACTAACGTTAATGGGGAATTTTTGGGTTTACTCCTTCAAAGTCAGATTTTTTTTTAAATCAGTGATTGTCACTGCCTGATTGATACGATATAAAGTGGGTCTCAGACCAGACAAAGCACTGCATTAAATTCCATTCTTCATCGCTATGTCTTAAAAATATGTACATTTATTTTAACAGTATTTTCCATGAAGTTTTAGCAGTCGTCTGCATGTGTTTTACGTTTGAACAACTAAAGGAATGCTTCAGCTTATTTAAATGATATTATTTTAATTAAATTACATTATCATTGATGTAAAAGGCACTTTATGAATATGGAAAAAGTCACATTAAGTTAACCTTGCGCTGGACGTTTATCGGTGGCTGACAAACACTTGCTGTGAATCTAAGTTAGTCCATTAACAGCATTAAAACCCCAAAGACATAATTACAGCATCTTACGTAAAAAATACAGAACTGTATAAATGGACGCCCTTTACGTTAAAAGTTAATGTTACGCCAGTATGGGCACACATTCGACAACCTCCTAAGACAGTCAGTAGTGCCCTAACGCCAGACCAAATCGTTCTAAAACAAAATCAGTATGGTACTGTCCGTTCACAACTATCTAAACGCATGTTTAATGTTAACCATAGTAAAAGCCACGGTAAATTTACAAAGGACTGAGCTAACGTTAGCAACGAAACTTTTTTCGTTTGGAATGGCGGATCACGGACACTGTCGTCACATCAAAGAAAATGCTTATTCTCTTGAAAATAGCCATTTACTTCATTAAAACATTATATATCAAGTCTACATAACTACATTCTTGCTAAAAAGAATCTTAAATATATTCTGCGACATAAAAGCGAGATTTGTCAAACCGTGTGTAACGTTAACTGTTAGCTTAACTTGCGAGCGCGCTCGACGGCTGGTCGCTGTGAAATTTAAAAACGACCAAAAGAGACAGTCCGAACGAGAGACCATTTTATGCGTCTATGTTACCCACAAAGTTTTTTCTGTAATAAACAGTCTGGTACAATATAAAATGTGACTTACTGTGCAAATGAATGTACAGAAATCCGGCTCTGGCGTCTTGCTTCCATCTGACTGGATTCTGTAAAACTTCCTTTGGGCTTTGGCGCCGAGGCAACGGAACATAACGCGCATGCGCACAAAGCTAACATAATTTTTTCTAATAGACTTTAATTAATTAATTTAGATTGGATCACAACACATCTAATTCACTTAAAACCTATTAAAAATAATTTAATAAAATCAACAACTAAATTAAATTGTTTAAAGTAAACTAAATTGAATTATGTTTATTTTAATAGAGGCCTAAATCATTTTTTTCAGTGTAGTCACATCTGCAATGTTGAGCAGCACAGCAGTACAGAGTACATGTGATTTCAAAGAATTTAATACATTCAGGCACAAGAAATTATAACTTTTATATCTTAAAAAAATATTAATTGTATTATTTTTTATATATATAAAGAAGACTAGTGTTATTTTACATTTGATTATTCAATTTCTGCACTGAATGCTCAAAAAAAAAAAAAAAAAAAACACTTTATCTCAGCGGTTTTGTCTTTCCCCTGTTTATCTATGCTTGTAAATTGTTTTATGCATGATTCAATCAGTCCCCTACAAAATCATGCCAATCAATGTAGATTAATGAATTATTTTCTAACAGAGCTATTTAACCAATCTGGTGAAACTGTATTTATATCACAATATATAAAGCACAACAACAAAATGTTGCAATATTAGTTTTATTTTGTTTTTTCAATATCGCACAGCCCTATTCTGCCAACAGATGACTGGTGATAACCACATCAATCAGGCAATCTGAAAGATCATGCAGGGTAATTACCCACAATTGCCTCAACATTAAAATAGTGTTTAACAGCTTTTGTCAATTTAACAAGAAACAAAGGTACAAAAATTGTTAAAAATGAAAAACCCATTTACCCAAGCAGGTGAATGCATATGGCCATTGTGTAGTCCACAAAAATAACATAAATCACTGTAAATACACTTCTCTGAACATATAAGAGTTTAGACATAATTATACCATTAAAAAATGTCACCAGCATCATTGTAGTGCCTTTTAAATCCACAAAAGGTAATATATAGGAGTTAACACTTCTTTGGGCAATGTAAAAAAAAAAATCCCTTGCCTTTTCAATGTTAACACCCCTTTATACACAGTAAAGAAGTTTTTAAAAGGTAATAACAAAATTTTGAGTCTATCTTTTAATTGTATTCTGTGCTGTATCCATAATTTTTATTTAAATGCCCTTTCTGCAGATGAAAACTGTTGGAGACAATTATTAGATTAAAAAGACGTAATTGTATTGTTGTTTTGTTTTTGTTTTTAATCCAGGAAACTTCCCTTGCTTACAGAAAATCTGTTCTCATGTGTTTTCATATGCAGATAATTGACAGATGTTTGCATTAACAGTCTATGCAATTTTTAAACATTACATCTTCGTGACTTACCTAAAACAAGAGACACTAATTTTGCAGTGCTATTTTTCTCGACAAGGCTTATTTGAAAGACAATGCTTGTTTGAAAGAAACACGAGAAAACACGCACATCACGCACACATTAACAACAAAACAATTAATGAGTGCATGCAACGATTACAATTACAAAATATGATAAAAAACTGTTTAATGCAACCAACATTGGGCTTGTTAATACAGCAAAACCAACACGTTTTTTTTTCAAAACCAACACGAATTGATTCACCAGCGAAGCGAAAGCATGACGTCATTACTGAGAATTAGCGCATGCGCTGTGAAGGGGGGAACAGGGGGAGCTGAATTCTCCGGAACAACGGTTTGTGTTTGACGCGAGGCCATTTTTCAGCAAGGAACATTCCTGTTGCTGTAAATTTTCCGTTTGGTTGTGGTAAGAAACAGCATCAGTATGAAGGACGATTCATTTATCTTTTGGATTTTGTTACTTGTGAACGGTGAGTCATATTTATTTTTAATAATTCAACACTTTCTGTTTCAATATGAATCGGAAACTATATTTTTTGCGATTACAATTTATTTTACATCCTCTTAAATCCTTCTTTGTAAATAATGTTATACTATTCTATAAATAGACGTTGTGATATAACACACCGTGAATAATGATGGGCTAGAGGACATGGGTGTTATAACGGGTAAGATCATTGTGCATGCGAGTTTTTGGTTGAACGCTAAATGGCGCTAACAGGCTATTACAGCTTATCTATATATTTTACCCCAAATGATCATGATTTCACTGGTTTCACTGTTTGCGGAATACACATTATAAACCGCCAGTACTGTCTTTAAGTAAATTGGACTCTGTAATAAATGATAAAGTACTGGTAAGCTACAAAAAATCTCAATGTTTGGGTGTGGCCCAGAATCGACTAGCAAAACATTTAGGCTGCAGCTAAATGCAGCCGAACTTGTTTATATATGAATAACTAGGCTACTTATAACCTTTTTCTTTTAAATCACTGAATATATTTGAAAGATTATGCCAATTAATGTATTAGTGTTATTTTGTGCCTGTTTCAAAATACTTCCTTTTCATATGAAACGTTTTGTCATATCAGGTGAATTAATGGTTAATTCATAGCAAAAAATATTATTCATTTACTCATTCATTTTCTGTTCGGCTTAGTCCCTTTATTAATCAGGAGTCGCCACAGTGTAATGAACTGCCAACTTATCCAGCATATGTCTTATACAGCGGATGCCCTTCCAGCTGCAACCTATCACTGGGAAACATCCATACACACTCACTCACACTCATACACTATGGACAATTAGCGTACCCAATTCACATGTCTTTGAACTTGTGGAGGAAACTGGAGCACACGGAGGAAACCCATGCCAACACGGGGAGAACATGCAAACTCCAGACAGAAATTCCAACTGACACAGTCGAGGCTCAAACCAGCAACCTTCTTGCTGTGAGCAAAATCGTGCTACCCACTGCACCACCATAATGGCCCAGAAATTATTATGTTATAAATGTATAACACGTATACAATTCCTGAAACCTAATAATAGCTATAACAAAAATTTTATTAAAGTAAATTTAAATACTTTAAATTTTAAGTAACCGTTCTGTCAAAGCTTAGGCTTATTGTCCACAAGTCCACACCTAGCTCCATCCTTTATTGTAACTAAGTACAATGAATTGAAAGAGCTTTACAATTCAGTTGAGAATACTAATAATGCAGTTGTCATTAATAATGCTGGATGTATTTATATTGTTTCATTTTGAGATAAATTGTGTCACTCACTCGCTAACTCACTTACACAGAGCATGAAATAAGATTGTATAAAATAATCATACTTCTTTTGTCAAATTGTTTTAACAAATGTCGTAGATGCCTTGTTAAAGATTTTTAACTCTAGTGGTGGAGGTTTATTTTACCTACATGGCTGAATGCGCTAATATAAATTGACAGACTAACCTATTTTGCTCTCAAGTTTTGTTGTGGATAAAATATAGGCCACATCATGACAGTATTTCTTTTACATAATGATTGTATGATTTTTAAGGACATTTTCAGTATTCTGATATAAATTATAGCATTCGGCCAAAAAATATTTTCAGGGTGGGGTTGCACAATATATTGTTTTAGCATCTATATTGCAATATGTACACACACAATAGTCACATCGCAGGAGATGTGATGTAGTTGATCAGGTACAACCGAATTTTGGAGTCATTTCAGTTTAACCATTATAAAGTAAAAGTTTTTCAATTGCATGATGTATTAAGGCCTGTGTAAACATTTTAAGCAAGTTTAAAGCATTTGGGCACATGGAAATGTTATGTTTGTAGCTTTAACAAATATGAATTGTATTGTATTATTTACACAATGAAGAATATACATCTTTATTGTCCATTTGATTATTTTATCTCTGTACCTGTATACTGTTAGCCTCCTTCATTTGTATATTTGCTCTACTTTATATCTGCTGGTAATTTGCTTATTATATTTTATACACTCCCCTACAAAATCATCCAAATCAAACTAAAATTCTTAATTAACTTATGTATTTATCTTGAGAAAAATCGCAATATAAATCACATAAAATGTAAATGTTGCAATATGTTTTTTTCCAATATTGTGCAGCCCTTGTTCAGAGTTCATTTACTGGAACATTTGAAAGCCACGTCAAGCTCATAAGCATCTGCTCATAGATGATTTTCAACATTTCTGTGTGTCTGTAGTTCTTTCACGCAGAACTCTGAATACACTGACACATTTGACCTTTGACCATGTCGCGTATGCAAGCATGTTTCTGTAAGGGGTGCATTTAGATGTAGATGGGATCTGAAATTGAAAATATTGTTATATATATATGTTTGTTCAATAAAAACTATAGAAAGTTTCAAGGGAAAGTGTAATGAAAGTCTGCTCAATTTTCACATGTGTATATGTGCATGCACATGCACATGTACATGTTTGTATGTACTATTACTGCACTACTACTATTAGGGTAGGGTGAATTTCACTCACAAGTTACAATTTATAAAGTTTTATTAGCGGCCAGCTGGAAGTAACTTTAGATAAAACATATCAGCATTCAGTTAAATATACAATCTTTTTTACTACACTGTAATTGTAGTATTGCATTGTATTGCAGACTATTAAATTTTTTCTTTTTCCTTTCTTGAAATGTGCATGTGCAAATTTAGCAAAACTAAATAAATTAATCATATGATTTTCCAAACCAATTAAATTATTTTCGTAAACATTATTTGAAATTAAACATTTAGTTCTCCACCAGTAATTTTCACCACAAATAATGCTAGATTTATGAAGGTTTAACATCTGTTTATTTATGTTTTTACAGGTGTGTCTGATGCTAATCAGAATGCAGTAAATTTGACATTAATGGTGGGAGATTCAGTCACTTTAAACTCTGGTTTAAGTGAAATATCCAAGGAAGATACAATGCGGTGGTTCTTTAAGAAGGAAGGACAGAATGAAGAACGTATAGCTGAAATCACAGGAGAGAAAATAAGGTTGGATGATCTTAATGGGATTTTCAAAGACAAACTCGAGCTGGAAAAAAAGAACGCATTTCTGACCATCACAAGCATCAGCAGTAAAAATACTGGAGAATATAAACTAAAGAAAAGTGAAAATATCATAATTTCATTCATTGTGAATGTCAAAGGTGAGTAAATCGACTCTCACAGTGGGATAATTGTATTCAAATCAGGATTTAAATTGTTAGAGGACAATTTACTGTATAGATGGTGTGCAGTAATCTGTAGCAGCCCCTGTAACCAATTCAGGCCCCATTTACACTAATACATTTTAGTTTTAAAACGGCATTTTAGATTTAAAGCGATCCACATCCACACAGGCATTTCATCTAGCCTTTCTGAAAAGATCTTCGTCCACACTACACCACTGAAAACGCACATCACATGATCACACACATTCTGACGTGCTGCAGCGAATGCATGAGAGCAGCGCATGTCGGAACGTTCTTCAAGGATCTACCGTTAGATCTCATCTCACTTTAGTTGTTAAACGTGAGATTTAAATTATCTTGTCTATATCTTACAACTCTTTTGTCTATTTAATCTATTACTTGTTCTCAGGTAACATGTTTTGACTGAATACAAAGATAGGTTAATATCTTAATTAATGTAACAACGTAAACTGATTCTGCACATTTGACTGATTGCATGCTTTTATTTTCTATATTGTATAAACTTATTATATGTTATTCTTTTATAATGGCCATTATTGATTATTAAAACTGATATTCTGAAAAGAGTGGGTATGTTTTGTATTTTTTATTGAAAATAAAAGGAGGCAGTAATGTTATAGGCTCTTTTTCGTATAAATATGCATACTGTGAAGATAACAGTCATATAAATATGTAGCTACAAGACGCCTCTACATTTTTGGTGTCTTTTAACTTAATATTAAAATGTAAATAGGCAATTCCTTAAATCATGTTTTCCATTTTATTTTGAATTTTATTTTCCATTTTTATGAAACAGCGTAGCCAGTGTAATGTGAACGAGGTTATAAAGTACACTGTTCTCTTTGAAGATTTATCCGACGTGTCCTTGGGAGTTTGTTTTCCATATCAAACTTGTGAAGTGAATCAGATAGGCTAATGTCTGCAGCCACGCCTCCATTTTCAGATGTCTTTGTTATTCCCCATCCACACTGACACGCAGCTGCAGCATTTTTAAGTGAAAATGGCATTTTCAGCAAAAACTTTGGGGTATCGTGGACGGAAGGTGTAACTGTAGCAAAACTTTAGTGTTTTAAAACTAAAACCTATTAGTATAAATGGGGCCATATCTTAGTTCACCCAAAATATGAAAATTATTTCATGGTTACTCCCTGTTCAATTGAACCAAACCAGTTTCTTTCAACTACTGAACACAAATGAAGAAATGAAAAAAGAGACTAATTTTCAACTAAATCCCTAATGAATTTACATTAAATAGGTATGGCTTTTTTAATTTTAAATTTTAAAAGCAGAAAAACATTTAAGCATAAATTAGGAATTTTTTTTTACCTTGTATTTTGTATTGCTGTTTCATTCTTGAAAATAGTATTATAAGTATAATTTTAAAGCATTTTTTTTTATAAAAATACAATTGCAAAAGGTTTTTTAATGTATCTATTTTTCATTACTAATAATAAAATCAGAATACTAATTTGAATGAAGTTATAGTAAATAGTAACTAATTATTTAATATAAGAAGAGTATAAAAATTTGTAGACAATGTGTGTATAAGCAGTTTTATATATACCTGTATATTTGTGGTGGGCCGTTATTGGCATTAAAATGCTGCGTTAACGCGAAACTAACGCGCGATACAAAATATCGCCGGTTATCTATTCTCAAAGTTGGTTTGGGAGCTGGGTCTATTCTACCCAAGCTATGATGACTTTAACCTACATAATTTAGCGCGGATGTATACCTGACCTGTGAGCCGTCTGACAAAGAGTGTCCTTCTGAATCAAATCAGCAGGATGCCCTGGATCGCTGTTTTGAGCTTATGTAGGCCAACAGTTCAAAATTCATGGTTAACTGAATAAACTGTTAGTAAACACAAGTACATCTTATTGAACATCATTTATCCTCATCACCAATTATCATAGTAGAACAGTTTCTCAAGCAGTTTGTGATGCATTTTGGAAACAGGAGATGAGCCCCTGGTTTAATGCAAACATATTAATAATAAGCAAAATTAATAATAATAAGCAAACATATTCTGAATGCCTTCGGCAGAATTCAAATAAACCGTTTTTAATCGAGAATAATCTCGAAAGAAATTTAGATTAAAAAATGTATCTATGTTAACCTATATATATGTGTGTGTGTGTGTGTGTGTGTGTGTGTGTGTGTGTGTGTGTGTGTGTGTGTGTGTGTGTGTGTGTGTGTGTGTGTGTGTGTGTGTATATATGTATGTACCACTGGTCAAAAGTTTAGGGTCAGAATGATTTTTAGATGTTTTAAAATAAACTTATCCTGCTCACCAAGGTTGGCACCTTGATAAAAAAAGAAAAATCTTCTTTAACCCCAAAAAAGAAAAAAATAGAACCCAAACTTTTGATTAGTAGTGTATAGGACAGTTTTTTTTTTAAAAAACATTATTCTATTCATCAAGGCGGCATTTATTTAATATAAAAAAGTTAAATCATTAAATATTTATTACAGTTTTAAATAACTGCTTTCCTATTCTATGTAGTTTCAAATGAAATTATTACTCCAGTCAATATTGCTTTAATAATAATATTAATAATACGAATAATAATTAATATCAGAGTGATTTCGGAAGGATCATATGACTGAAGACTAGAGCAATGAAGCTGAAAAAAATCTTTAAAATCACTGGAATAAACTATTAAATTAAATTGTAAATACTTTTGAACGGTTATTTTAAAGTGCAACAACATCTCACAATTTTACAATTTGGGGATTTGTATTCTTTTATATATATATATATATATATATATATATATATATATATCCCTTGGGTATGAATGATTTTGGGCTTGACTGTATATATTTTTGCAGAATTAGTTCATGCTGTCACATAACATATTTCTATTGGTCACGCATCTAAATGATCTGTGCATATCAGAGATTATTAAATCAGAATTATAGATGTGTAACATGAGCTCATGTTTCGGTCTCCTGCATCCACACACATATGAATGGACGTTCTTGAAATTCATTTTCAGTGGTCAGTCCAACGTGCTACCTATTTAAACAAGGAGAGAGAGAAAGAGAAAAAGAGAGAGAAAAGCAGGGGCGTAGTTATTTATGTTATATGCAAGTTAATATCAATAACAAGTTAATATTCAGTTATATTTTAGACTCAGTGTTTTTACAAATGAAAAGCTATAAAGCAATAAGAGAAGTGAATGTATTGATTAAATCTGTCACTAGCACAACAGCTTACTCGTCATCATCAGACATTAACCGCCCCCTAGTGGTAGTTTTAGTTAAATAAATTCACTCATTCATTTTCTTTTTGCCTTAGTACCTTTATTAATCTGGGGTCGCCACAGCGGAATAAAGCGCCAATTTATCCAACATATGTTCTACGCAGCAGATGTCCTTCCAGCTGCAACCCATCACTGGGAAACACACATACACTTTTATTTACTCTTGTTTAATAAATACTATTTCACAATGATCAATAAATAAATTGTTAATAATAATGATAATAATAATATTGTTATTCTAAATAATCATTTCACCCGAATCATTGTTTACTGTATTTTAAAGGAAGAGGAAATCAAATTACTACTTTATGGAACTTTCTTATAGCATTATAAGCTTAATCTGTTTTAAACTATTCCTGTTTGTTCTCTATGTGTGTCTGTTGTTAATGAAGATGGTGTGAAGAATGTGCCAGTGATTGAGGGAGATTCAGTCACTCTACACACTGGTGTTATCCTCAAACGTGATGTGAAGTGGACATTTGAAAATCGAGACTTAAAACCCAGTGATGATCAGACCGGAGATCTCACCATCACAAACATCGATAATCATCAGAGTGGAAATTATGTATTGGAGATCAACAACAGCACAATGGGCTTAAATAGAACATACTACATTGCTTTGATCGGTGAGTAGATTCTGTTAAAATAAATGCTACTTAACAGCTGCTCAGGAAGCCTCAAACTTTAATTCTTAAGCTAATAAACCTGATTTTAGTGTTTACGGTTGGCCTACAGAAAAAGAATACAGGTTTATTTAATGTGCTGGGACGGGTTTTGTATAGCAGCTGGCAGCTGCTATAATTTGATAAGTTGGTTTTAGGTTTGATATTCACTGGACATTCAGTTTTAGGGATTATTTGCGAATTACATCGACAGAACCAAAGCGCACAGTAACTCGAATAAAAAAACAATTTCTAGAAGATTCCAGTAAATGGTTAGAGGCCAATAATGGTACATTCACAAAAGCCTGACAGACTTACTACACTTGAGGTTTATTCATATTTCTATTCATATAAATATACAGTATGCAAATATTTTTGAAAAATATTTAGTGAATCACCCTACTCTAATTTTATGGTTTTAAAGGGTGTAGTACATTCACATAGGGCAGACTGACTTACTACAGGTGAGATTTTACCCATGTTTTCTTTCTTATTTGTACAGTAGACAAGTAAAAATATGAATGAAAATAAGAGTAAAATCTTACTTATAGTAAGTCAGTCTGCCCTGAATATACTACACACTTTAAAATCTTGTGATTTACTGTAAATATTTTTCAAATATATTTCTGTACTGTATATTTATATGAGCAGAAATATGAAAAAATCTCAAGTTTATTAAGTCTGTCTGGCGTTTTTGTGTACTGTATATATATTAATGGAAATATTGAGAAAATCTCTCCTGTAGTAAGTCAGTTTAGTCCCTATAAATGTGAGCACACGTTAAATGAGAAGCTTACATTTAGGGGAAATACTGTAAATATCTTTTCCTATATATTTGTGTGATGTATACATAAATGAAAGGGAAAATGTGTGAAAATAAAATTTAGGTGCTTTAGCTGATGTCTACTGTATGCTTATGATAAGAGATATTGCCTATTTCTGCTTTGTAATTACCGTTTAGTCAGAGGTATAGTAGCCTTGCTATCTGTATTATATCAGTCTGTTTTTTGCGTTACTGTGCGTTTTGGTTCTGTCAATGTAATTCGCAGATGTTCCCTAAAACTGCTGTAGACTGTACCCTACCCTTATCATAGTTTTGTCATGGGCAGGAAGGCGCGACCTTTGACAAAACCCAATTTTCGCTTCAGAGAAAACACCTTTAATGAAAGGGAAAAAAGAAAATCAATATTTAGGGTTTCTGCATAGTTCAACATATTTTAAGCAACTTTACTTACCTACATACACTAATACTGTACCTGCATAGGCTTGTGTAAAATATCATGTGGAGACATTCTTGGATTTCCTAAATGGAAATAAAAAATTAAAACATGTTTTGCAAATCTGTTTGAAAGTGGTTAAAACAGTGTCATTATAAATCATAAACTTCTTAAAGACGTTTTCTAAATGTCTTTTTAACAGGCAGTAGATGCTGCCATAACTATATAGGTGTCAAAATTTACATGGATTATAGGAATTGGGTCCATGTACTGAAGTAGAAGATGACATGATTATCTTGCTTAACCAGATGTAGACAGGGTGGATCTGTTTGATTGTACATCCTTTTTTTCAATATAAATGTTTATTCTTACAGTTCTTGGTGGTCCTTAGAGAAGTATTAGGCTACATGCCTACTGCATCTCAGTGGAAAATGTATTTTAATTACAACAGAAATAGTAGCCCTTCTGTTATGAGGTACACTCACCGGCCACTTTATTAGGTACACCTTAGTAGTTGGGCCCCCTTTTGCCTTCAGAACTGCCTTAATCCTTTGTGGCAACGATTCAACAAGGTACTGGAAAATTGGATTGAGATTTGGTGACTGTGGATGCCATTTGAGTACAGTGAACTCATTGTCATGTTCAAAAAAACCAGTCTGATATGATTCGTGCTTTATGACATGGCGCGTTATCCTGCTGGAGGTAGACAGCAGAGATGGGTATGCTGTGTTCATAAAGTGATGGACATGGTCAGCAACAAGGGGTGCCTCAGGAAGGTTGTGGCGTTGACACAACGCTCAGTTGGTACTAATGGGCCCAAAGTGTGCCATAAAAATATCCCCCTCACCATTATACCACCACTACCAACCTGAACCGCTTATACATAACAGGATGGATTCATGCTTTCATGTTGTTGACTCCAAATTCTGACCCTATCATCCGAATATGGCAGCAGAAATCGAGACTCATCAGACCATGAAACATTTTTCCAATCTTCTATGGTCCAATTTTGGTGAGCCCATGCAAATTTTAGTTTCCTGTTCTTAGCTGACAGGTGTGGCTCAGCTGGAACCAGTCTGGCCTTTCTCCTCTGACCATTAACAAGGCATTTACGCCCTCAGAATTGCTGCTCACTGGATATTTTTTCTTTTTCATTCCATTCTCTGTAAACCCTAGAGATGGTTGTGCATGAAATCCCAGTTGATCAGCAGTTTCTGAAATACTCAGAACAGCCAGTCTGGCATCAACAACCATGCCACATTCAAAGTCACTTAAATCACGTTTCTTTTCCATTCTGATGCTCTGTTTGAACTGCAGCAGATCGTCTTGACCATGTCTACAGGACAAGATGCATTGGGTTGCTGCCATGTGATTGGCTGATTAGAAATTTGTGTTAAAAAGCTGTTGGACAGGTGTACCGAATAAAGTGGCCAGTGAGCGTATATCTGAGTAAAATGGCTTCTCAAAGATGCAGGGTAATGCTTAATTTTGTCAGTGGTGATTGTGAATTTGGTGAATCTCCTGTGAGTTATTTAATTTATGTACTTTTGTCACTTTCCTTTTTAGGTTTTAGTTTAATTATTTGTTAATCTCAATCACTGAAAATAAGTGCTCCCTATATGCTTTACCAGCACCTCTCAGTTCAGCTTTCTGAAGAACAATGATTTAAGTCAGTCAAAATTTAATCAACCAAAATGAAATTCTAAATGGCCAAGTTCAATTGAAAAATACAATACAAATACAAAACAAAATGAAAACACCTTTTTTTACTTTTAACATAACAAACTTATATGTTGTATTAACTACTTGTAAATTGCTCAAAGATACAAAATGCTTAACTGTGTAATTTAAAATTTAATGTTTAATCTTTTATTCTCCATATGTGTTTCTTGCCATGACAGATGGTGTGAAGAAAGAAACGGTGAAAGAAGGAAATCCTGTCAATCTACGCACTGGGCTTATTGAAATTAAGGGTTATGATCTGGTTTTGTGGAAGACTAAGGATGTTACTGTGGCTGAAATCAATAAAAACAAAAATAAATTCTTAACACTTGATAAAGGTGATACGAGATATGGTGGCAGACTGGATTTCATTCAACAGTCTGGAAATCTCATCATCCGTGACTCGAGAACAACAGACTCAGGAGATTATGATTTACAGATGAACAGCAGCACATACTCCTTACAGAGGACCATCCGTGTTACTGTTAACAGTAAGTACATCGAAACTATCTGTATCTTTTCAGTGTCTGTGAACATGTCTGTGCAGAACTGTCTGTCTTTATCCTTTTTAGATCTTCATCAGGCTATTTAGTGCTGATGTAGTGTTTATTATTAATCAGATTTTAATAGTGACTGTTTTTATCAATTGCAGATTCAGGTGTGGCTACAGGTGCTGCAACAGGAATCGTTGTTGGTCTGCTTGTGCTCCACTGGTGTCTGTAGCTGTAATTCATCAAAACATCAGCAAAATAGCGGTAAGTATTACAGTAGATGCTGCAGAGTGTAAAAGTATAAATGGTTGTTGTTCTTGAGTTTGAGTGTTCTGCTGGTGTTTGATTCACTGTAATGTCATGTTGTCACTCCTCCAGCCGTGTCAGAATTAGATCACAGTAACCTAGGAGAGAAACAGGAGGCACTTCAGTTTTTTTTTCTGAATTAATATAAGTGATTTTACTAGGTCATGAATTCACTCTACACTACTACACTTAAGCTAAAAAGTTATTTTCATAGTTTGTCATTATGACATCACATAGTGTCAGTATCTAGGCACCAGTGTTTCCTGTCATTTGTTATCTTGCTGAACAAAACTCTTCTCTGTTAAATATATATTATGGCCCCGTGAGCAAAAACACAATTCATACTACTACATATGATGAACACAGAAACAACATCATGCAGTCAAACCTTTAGCTTTTATGTGCTGTTTACATTTGATTTGACCCTGAAGTGACTCGGTGATATCCAATCATACTTTTAAAAACAGAGATATAAAATAATATATGAAGGAACTATCACACTTTTTTTGTTTTTAATTTAATTATTACCTATACACAAATATAGAACTATCAAAATTAAATATTTATTTATTGGTTAAGATTTTCTCTAGTGAGATAAATGATATATTGTGATTACCTTGTGTGTGTGTGTGTGTGTGTATATATATATATATATATATATATATATATTAAGGGTGGAGCCGAACCCGAATACGGTATTCGGAAAGGCACGAATAGCGTGTTTTTACGAATACTTGATTCGAACAAATACTTGAAAAATTATTTGTATTCGGGAGCAAGAAAAACACTATATCAAAAAGCAGCGTTTCCTCATGAGACCACAGTGCATGCCCGAGTGAGAGAGAGAGAGAGAGAGAGAGTGAGAGAGAGAGAGAGAGAGAGAGAGAGAGAGAGAGAGAGAGGCAAAACGCGCCAAAGCCCGAAACTGAAAGCGAGACGTGACTTTTAAGGGGTTGTTTCATATGGATTTATTAATCATTCTTACTGTTCAGTGATCGCAAACTGCCGTAGTTTAGAGACGCAAGAAGACGCAAGACGCAAACTCCTCACTGCACGTCAGCTGCGCGCCTTCAGCAAATCTCCTCATTCCTGCAGCACGAGAGCTTTATGATTGTTTATGCGCGCCAAAAGTGGCGGATCTGTCCGGTAAAATATCTGACTGCGTGTCACCGCATCCCTAAGGACTGTTTGGTGAAATATTTGACTGCATGTCAATGCATATCAAACGACTGAAAGGATATAACTAGAGAAATCTCCACTGTGCTACTGGATGAGAGCGTATGGCAAGCCGTTTTAGCATTTAAACCTTGTTCTGACTATCCATAAATATATTTAGAGATATCTCTAATTATATTTTGACTTGTCATAATTATAATTCGACTAGTCAGATTGGAAATATCTGCAAATATATTATGATAGACTAGTCATATTCCTCCATTGACTTCCATTGAAAAATATTTGCAGATATCTCTAAATAAGTTGACTAGTCACAATTGTAATTAGAGATATCTCCAAATGAATTTTGACTAGTCAAAAATCCAATTCAAGATATCTACAACTGTAGTTAGACTTTTAGTAAATTAATTAGAGATATCTTCAAATATATTTGTAAATATATCTAAATATGATGAATTAAAGATATCTCTAAATGTATTATGACTAGTAAAAACTCAGAGATATCAATTACAATTGTTACTTTTCAAAATTCATCTGATTTCGTACTAGTACAATTGTAATTGCAGATATGTCTAATTGTCATTCTGAGTAGTGGAATTATAATTATGACTAGTCAAAATATAATTAGAGATATCTCTAATATATTTATGGAGCCAGAACAAAGATTTAAATGCTAAAAAGACTTGCCATAGAGAGTGCTTCTCACTAAACAGAGCACCGCGCAACCTTCTATGTAATGTATTATCACATGCACTAAAAGCATCCTAAAAGCATCAACACAGCCACATTCTGCCCCAGCAAGTCAGTTTCAAACATAAAAAAACAAACAAACAAACTTTATGTCTTTTTTGTGGCAGGCAGATGACAATTGCAGGGCTGTATCTTTTAGTATAGAATACTTTTGTTCTGCCAGATCTCCCGGGCAGGGTTTTATTTAGATTTATTTAGTTAATTTTAGTTTTTGGAATTCTGTCCATTGGAAAGAAGTTCTTTCAGAAGAAGAACAGTTTTTTGAAGTATTATTTGTTTTTATTCTGTCTATTCAGTGTCCTTCAACAAGAACGGTGGTGGTGGGGTTCATAATATTCACAATGGTATTTTATTAGTTGTTGGTTTAACCATGGATGAGATAATGGCTTCTATGTTATTTTCTTTTCAATTACATTTCTTATCACATGTTCAAAAAGAACAGCCAATACTGCATATCTATAATTTATATAATGGGTATAATTAAACAATACTTTCACTATAACGTAAATTAGAAGTGTAATAGAAAAAAATATATATATTTGCGCCATTTTGAATTTTACTCGAATACAAATACAAATACAAATACTTTTCCCCCCTCAACAAATACAAATACCGGCTGCTCCGCACATCCCTAATATATATATATATATATATATATATATATATATATATATATATATATATATATATATAAAATATGTTTATTACGTGTATATATCTTAAAAACAAAAAATGGACTTGGTTTTAAAAAAACAACACCATTTAGGTCTCTGGCCGATACGGTGGTACGGTATGTTTTTTTTTATTTTTTTTTTATGAGCCCGTCTAACCTGAGTGTTTTTGATTTTTCTTGCTTGCACTTGCATGCGTGTCTATATTTGAAACAACAACCTTCTTGAGCTGACAATAACATGCGCGTGATTATTAAAGTGCTTCCGACATCCGATCCTGTCAGAAAAGTAAAGGACAAACGCCAGAGTGAAGCGCCTAAAAAAGGAAAAGCCGGACAAATCACAGGAGCAAATAGTTTCAGCAACCATGAACATGAATCATGAACAAACTGCCACATTTATCATCACCTTTTGGACTATTATGAACTCGGATTGACAAAATTATTCTCTAACAGAGTTTACATGTGCTGGTGAAGATTATAGACACATATGAGAGGTTTGCACTGACTGTGGGCTATGTTGCGTGTTGTTTTTGAACCCAAATAAGGACTAAATGCATGCTGTGTAGTTCTTCTGTAGTTGGTAACATATCAGAGACTGTAAGGTTCTGTATGTGTTCATATATGTTCATTTATTTATTTATTTTATATAATTACTGACGTTACAGTAGGCTATTTTGCTGTCATTGATCTGCAGTTATAATCAAATAATGTTCATAGAAAAGTTAGTAATAAACATTTATACGGAAGTATTTATGTGTATAAAGCATCTGTTTTGTGAGAAGTGCTTCTCATATGATATGTAAGCGACCTGTATAACTTTACTGTAGACATTTCCTGGAGTGAGAATGATGTCGACTGAAACATTCTGTCGGACACCATGCCCACCTAGAGAGTACCGTTGGTACTCTTTGGGCAGGGGAAACACAAGCCTGATAAAGGTGACTCGTACCGACTTTTATCGTACCGTACTGTACCAGTCAGTGGAAACGGCTCAGGGTCAAACATACCCCACAAAAGGGCAGTTCTAGTCTTCTGTACAACACAGCTACTATTATTGTAGTGGTCAAATATGGCAAATTTATCAGCAAACCAAAAGTGTTTTAATTTAAATGAATGAATGATTGATTTGTTTTCTTGTTTTTGTTTGGCTTCATTAGTTAGTTTAATAATCACTATTATTCTGCAGAGTATCTGTTACATGCAGGTTAAAGACAGATTTATCTCTTTCTGATTGATTACTCTGTTTTTTTTCTTTCCACAGATATTTCCTCTGATGAAAGAAATTGATTAGCAAATCCAATTAAGTCTTATAATAGCAGTATTGTATGTGCTTTTGAGATGCGAAACTGCTTATTAAGGAATTTAATTTGCTGATAATAAGTAATATATGATGCTTTCATTCCTAATGGCGTAGATGCAGTATTGAGCCTGGGCTTACTTTACATGGACATCAGTATCCTGATTATTTACTTTATTCCATATAAGACGGATTTAAAGTGTTTGTGGGTGTGAGTTGTCTTTAGAATATTTCTTTCATGTTTCGCTTTTACATATTATAGTTTATACACTGAATAATGCCACACAACGTTACATTCCTAAGTGACATCCTCGAACATTCCCTCCAGAATTTTGCACATCAACACTCGTTGGTGTAGGACCATATAGAGTTTCGGGTGTTTAAGCTTCAAGTGCTGTTAATTGTTTGTCATGCTATTCACGCAAACAGATGACAGCAGATACTAATTCTTGCTCATTGCACTCTTTTGTTTGCCATATTGTTGACCACCGTTTACATTGTATAACAGATTGTCTTAATAACGTTAATATCAGAAGGTTGTTGTCCATGTAAATGTACTGAAGCTGTTCATTTTGTGTTATTTTATGAAAGGAACACTCCTCTTTTTTTTGAAAGTAGGTTAATTTTATAACTCCCCTAGAGTTAAACATTTGAGTTTTACCATTTTTGATTCCATTCAGCTGATCTCTGTGTCTGGGAAAGTTTTTTTTTTTCTTTTTAGCTTAGCTTAGCATAGATCATCGAGTCAGATTAGACCATTAGCATCTTGCTCAGAAATGACCAAAGATTTTTTTTTTTGATAATTTTCCTATTTAAAGCTTAACTCTTCTGTAGTTAAATTGTGTTCTAATACTGACTGAAAATGAAAAGTTATTATTTTCTAGGCCAATTGAATGAGCCTATTTTTTAAAAAGTGGAGTGTTCCTTTAAGTGTTTGACTAAATAAGCCTAATGCAGCATGTTGTACTGTATAAGATATTGCGAGAAGCAATCTAAAGCTAAATATGTATATGTGCCTTTATTTTTTGATACTTGCATTTTTACATTCCACATTGTTTTGTATGTCATGTACTTTTGTGTTTATTATCTAAAGATTTTAAGCATTTTGAAAAAACAACATTTGGACCATTGGGGAGCAATAAATAAATGTATTAGTATTATTATTGCTATTATTATTGGAAACAAAACCTTGTTAGAACTTGCTGTTTATAGATGTTCTTAATCTTTTTTTTTTTCTTGTTCACATTTCTCACTGCACCCCAGTCTCTAATTCATTTTTTATTTGTTAAACATTTCATTCATTCCTCTTTTGATCTTTTATAAACCTCTGTTACTACATGACAGGCAGTGTATTTTATTTTATCAGTTAAAATCTGTATCAGTGTTATAGTTATTAATTAAAAGCTTGATTTGCCATAAATTGTGTTTTGGTTGTTATTGGATTCCCAAGTTATCCAAAACATGCTATATTTTGCCAAAATTCCTTTGAAGTTAAAAGGCTTAAATCTTTATTCCCTTTTCTCTTCTTTTATTATGCAAATGGGTAAAGAAATTGCATCTTTATTATTTTGCAAATGTTACATAGATTTACAATTTGAATGTTCTGATAGGAACAATGTGGTAACAAAAACAAGACAAACATAAAAAAAAACTTAAACAAAACTAAATTTGTCATTAAAACTGCATACATTTATTTCTTTGTGCTAATAACATTAAAGAGCAAAAGTTCTGCTAGAAGTTCTATAATGTTTATTCATAACTTTGAGAGAATATAAAGAATTGATCAGGACATTTAGAGTTTCATTACATAATTGCATTATTTGTATTTTCAGTTCTACTGAGTTCACAGAAAAAATGCATATTGCATGTTTCTGTAAGTCCCATATTTTAGCAAACAAATCGAAAATACATTAAACATAGTCTAAAAGAAACCCAAAAGCAGGATTTGTTTAAACAAATTTAAATTGAATTTAAAACATAGTGTTAAATCAAACAGAAAAATACAAAGGTCAATACTTAATTTGCAATTAAATATAAGCGTGTGTTGTTGTTCTGTTATGAAATGTGTCATTCACCTCTGTCATTAAAGATTTTGTGCAAGAAAAACTTTAAAATGTGGAAAAAACACTTCTGCAATATGTGCTCAAAGTTAACAAACCACATACACTTTTCTTCACGTGCATTGGAAATCAAACTGGATTATATGCGTTGTGAGTCAGTGGCTCTGGCATTGCTTGTATTTGTGTGCAAGATTCCAATAGTATCTGGATGCAGCCTTAGGCCCCGTTTACACTAGTGCGTTTTAGTTTTGAAACGGCGTTTTAGAATGAAAACGATCCGCGTCCACACTGGCGTTTTACCCAGCGTTTCTGAACTGCTCTCCGTCCACACCAAAACGCTGAAAATGCACATCACGTGACCACACAGACACCCTCGGGCAAGCGCTGCAGTCCATCTACCCAGATGAGAGCAGTGCTAGTCGGACTTCTCATCAAGCATCTCCCGCTGGATCTAATCTCACTATATTTATTAAACGTGATATTTCATTCATCTTGTTGTCTTTATCTAACGACAAATTCCCTGACTTTGGGCATTGGAATCTATTACTTGTTCTCAGGTAACGTGTTTTGGCTGAGCGCAAAGATAATGATTGATTCATGTAACCGCACGTAGCCTATTCTGTATATTGACTGATCGCTTGCCTTTATTTCCTATAATGTATAAAGTTATTGTAGCCTATGTTTTACTTTATAATGGCCAAAACTTATGCGTTTTCAAACTAAATCGCACTAGTGTAAAAGGGGCCTCAGACACAATGCACTCAATGGAGTGAGTGATGTCACTGTTACGGGTAGGGTTAGGTGAGCGCATGTATACTTTAAGGAGAGTTTTATGATGAAATGTCAACGTGGCATGCAGAATATGGACTGAACCGTGGAAACCACAAAATATATTCAACATCAGATAAACAGAACTCTTTAAACAACGCTTCAGTACATGAATCATATCTTTGGAACAAATTAACAGCCAACTGCATACTCATCTCATGCTTGCTAAACATGCAGCAGTAGGCTTTTGTGATATTTGATGTGCATATTTTAATGTTGCTATGCTGTGCAGTCATAAAAAAAATAATACATGTGACAGCAAACTAGGAAATTAGTCTAATAAACTGCATATACAAAATGATAGGCCTTATTAGTATGACTAAATACACAAATAAATTCTATTTAAAACAATAATTTACATGAATATGGATGCTTTGGAAAAAATACGATTCGTATCTTACAACTCCGTATCTTAAAACTCCTTAAACAGTGTTGGTCTGATGATGTGTAGCTTTTATCTAGTCTGGTTAATGTTGAGGTGTAGAGCCACAACTTCCCACTGGCACGTGCACACATAGGGCTCTACCTGCCCTTTAGTCTGGGATATAAAGTGCCCTTCCAAAGTGGCCCCGCGATCTCCCCTCCCCCAAGTTTTAGGTTCCACCTCCCCCAAGTTTTACTAGCAGATACCCCCCGCCCCCTGCTCTTTAGTTCGCGAACGCCCATCGCCCCCACTGTTATACTCAACCCAACCCCCACCCGGTCCTCCTGTCGTAGGCGAAATCACATCCCCATAGTTTTCACTTTCGGTTTGAGGGTGGCATGATCGTCGTTTGCCTAGACTAGAGCGCCAGTTCAGCTTACTTCAGCCCTGATGGCGCCTCAACTATTTACATGGTATTTGAAATACAAACATAACAGTATTGTACTTTATGAAACATTGTCTCTATTCTTCTTATGATTAGTAGCCTAGTATTTGATAAAACTTATACACTGTTGGGCAGTTAAGAGCTACAATCCAACCTGCATTTTCAAGATAATCTATGGTGAATAAAGGCGAAGATGCAAAAATAACTAAAATGTCACACATTTATTTTCTGTACAAAGTAAGCAGTTAGAGAATCATCTGCCCCCTCGTGTCCTGATGTGAGAATGACGTCGACCTCACAACAGCAGCAGCCACGCCCACAGAAACACTGACTAGTGTCGACTAAAAGCCCACAGTTTTCTGCTTTCTGATTTTACAACAATCCAAAACAGTTTTTTATTACTAATAGTATTTAAATTAATATATAATGTTTGACGTTTTGAGTCTCATTAAACTCTCCTGAAATGTGTTACCGATTGTAGATGCACACCCACATTATAATTTTGTTTTGCGAAATATTTGCAATTAAATAATTAAGCAATTTTGCTAAATTAAAAAGTATTTTAAATTCACAGTCTCTCTCTCTCTCTCTCTCTCTCTCTCTCTCTCTTTTATATATGCATGTATTTAGTTAAACAGTATCTTACACAAAGTTTAAAATAATCATATAAAAATAGTTAAACCATAAACACTCAAATAACTCATCAACCTCAGATTCCAACATTTTCAAACACTCTGTATATGGTTTTAGCCAAGAACGCTGCACAATTACATGAAAACAGCCTGAGATTCACAAGTAAAGGTCATGTTTCCACTATAAAGAGTGTTATTGTGCTGTGTATGTATGTGGCTATAGTGTACAGTGCTGAACTGAAGATCTACTATCCTTATTTTTAATGGGTCTTTTGTACAGCAACTGCCAACTCTATTTCACGGAGGAGTCTGACTCCAACACTCGAGCTCATTTACATCTTTCAAGAATAAATAAATAAATAATATAATAGCAAATCGTCACCTTAAAATTATAAGGTTTTATCTGACATTTTTGTCAAATTTAGTTATTGACATGTTCTTATTAAATTAAATCTTTACATTTTTGGTATTTTTTATAAGTTGTTTACATTTTAAGACTTTTTATTTAAAAAAAAAAAAACAAATGTTACACACATACTGTTTGCTATGGAATGCAAAAACTAGTGAAGCTCAATATCTCAAAATCATTCAGAATGCAGATAGAACCTTATAATTCCAAGGTGACGAAATACAAATAAATGGTATACCGAAAATGTACTTCTTCTACAAAAGGGTACATAAAACACCTTGCAGGAACCCAGATACATCACTCAAATACTGTTAATATTATTAACAATAATCTTTTATTAATTTACTTTTTCATTATTAAACTACAGTTATTGCAGTTAAAAACATATAAATAACACTAACATGAATTTGACATTTGATGTTTGTAATTGTTCTCAACAGTAAATCTTGCCCATTTCCTAAAGTTATACACTGTAAAACCCAACAGTCAACTTTATTGAATGAAATGTAGTGCAGTTAACTCAAAATTGACTGAAAGTTTATTCTACTCATTTGAAAAGAGTTTTGAACTCAGTGTTGAAGGTAATGCGTTAATTAAATACCTCATTACTTCAACTTAAATGATTAAGGATTAGTTTAACTCAAATGATTTGCTGCAATCGGTTTCCTCAAACGGTTTGAGTTGCCTTAGCTCATTGGGTTTTACAGAACTCAGTTGGTTTGAGTTCTCCATTTATTGGGTTTTACTGTGCTCAGTTTGCTTCATTTACTTAAATGGATTAAGTTCACAGTACTCATTAGAATTTGTTTTTGAACTTAAATGTTTTATAACAATCGGTTTCCTCTAACGGTTTAAGTTTCCTTAACTTTTTGGGTTTTACAATGTAGTTTTAGTTATGAAGCAATGTCTCTATGCAACTAGGAAATATCTTCACCATATTAAAGTCTGTATAAAGCAGAAGTGGTCTAATTTTCCGGTTAAGATTGTGTGTAGATAGATATTATCTATTTTTGTTATTTTTAGAGGCATAGATCTTTCACACTGACTAAACGCTTGACACTTTAAAGGCCAGTGAGTCACAACTTTCCACTTTCAGAACTGTCAGACTTTTGACTGTCAGAAAAAAAAACTCAATTTTTTATTATAAAATATTATAAAACATTTTAAATTTCTAAAATCTAACTGGAATACACCATAATTGCACTGATATTTAGTCTTCTGTAGCTTTTGCAAGGCAGTATCATAGTGCAACTAATACTTTAAGCAATAGCCCACAGATTCTTTTTGAGGGCCTGTTTCACTTCTCATTTTCTCAGAAGCTACATCCTGTATCGTGCAGTAAACAGCCTGCATTTCCAAGGCACATTTTGACCTGGTGTAAACTTGCCTCCTATCGTCCTTAACCATTAAAAAGATCAACAGAGCACATCGCCCAGTTAAAACTAGTAAATTACTTAAGGATTATTCTCTTTTATCAACAAAATAGCAAATATATTTTATAAAAGTATTACGTTATTTGGGGTATATATGTATTTTACGTACCCTCTAATGTATTTCTATTAATGCTATCAAAAGTTGGTCATAGAAGTGTGGTCTCACTGATTATGATATCATAATAGATATAACATTATGATTGACCATGATAACAACTACATTAATTGGCCAAAACTGCCCTCTAGTGTTTAGATATCAGAATGACTGATACGTTGACGTTTAGAACAACAGGCACGCCCACAACTGCAAAAATGACCAATAAAAACGAGGTTCTGTGATCTCGCGTTGTCATCAATCCCCAACCTACCGAAAACAAGATACAAAATTGGTTTAAACAGCATAACTTACAATAATTCACAAAGGATTCAAAGGTTGTAGCATTATTTAGGAACCTAAAATGCTATTTTGAACAAAACAGTCAGGATTTATATCTGAAGTTGCAGATTTCTCCTTTGAAGTGGTCGACGCACCTGGAGCTCCCTCTAGTGACGAAACAAGTTTCTAACACGTCAACGCGTCATTATAGCATTACAAAACAAAATGTAAACTGTAAAACCCAAAAATCATATTCTTTGGTTACTCGCTTTATGTAGATCCTTTGCATTGTAAATTTATTATTAATTTATTGCTTTTTTGGCAAAATTTTACAGTTTAAATGTACACTTTCAAAGTCACACCCTTACTTTTTTAATTTTAGAAATGACTTTGATTTATATGTGAACTCTGTAAAAGACTCTAACAATTGCATGTAAAACGCTTTCTTGGTGTAAATCATTTAAACTTATTCAATTTGCTTGAATTTTATTTATGTGTCCCTCTTTGCCTCCTTGTTCATATTGTATCTTTGTAATGTTCTTTCTTGTATAATAATAAATAAAAAATACAACCAACAGTCAATTTTATCAAATGAAATGAGGGTAGTTTACTCAAAATTGACTGAAAGTTAATTCTACTCAATTGAAAAGAGTTTTGAACTCAGTGTTGAATGAGTTATATAAAAGTTTTATTACTTCAACATAAATGGAGTACGTTCACAGTACTCACACAGATTAGTTTCTTTTAACTCAAATGGTTTGTAGCAACGATTTCCTCTAATGGTCTGAGCTGACTTAACTTTTTGGATTTTACAGTCGTCAGTTGGTTTGAGTTCTCTCCATTTATTGGGTTTTACTGTGCTCAAATTGCTTCGTTTACCCAAATGGGTTATTTCAGAGTACTCATTAGGATTAGTTTTTAAACTTGAATGGTTGGTTCCAATCGGTTGCCTCAAATGGTTTGAGTTTCTTTAACTTATTGGGTTGAACAGTGTATGGAAACAAATAAAACCTTTACGTCACAAAATCATTTGTGTTGTCACATTCAAAATATGAAAGAAAACCCCTATATACAGGAAATCATTTGTATGGTCAAATAATATATATATATATATAAAAAAAAGATTACTTATTTTTTAATATTCAGTTTTGAAAAGAAAAGTGGAAAATCAGTATAAATAAATAAACTACAGGTAACCATAATTTCCATTGAAATCCAGCCACAGTTGTTCTTAATAAAAGCAAACATAAATATTATGAAAAACACATCAGTATTTCATTAATATCAATATGTTGTTGACCTCAATAGCTAAACTAATTGTGGGATAGTGTAAAAAAGCAGATGATTATTAGATTGTTTACAGTGTGGATGATGCTGTAAGTGCTCCATCTAGTGACCAAATATGAAAACAAAATCTGCAACTTTTGTCTTTCCCCCCTCAAACATCTTGTTTTAATAAAAATGGTAAAATAAAAAAAAGAGAATAATAAAATGCACTATATTATTATTTAATATTTATTAATAGTATTCTTTCTTTCTTCCCTGCTTTCTTTCTTTCTTTCTATCTTTCTTTCTTTCTTTCTTTCTTTCTTTAGCTATTTATACTTTACAAAATATTTTTAATGAAAGCACTGAAAAGTGTGGAAAACCAGTCAGAAAAATGTGGGAGATTGGGCTGCACATTAGAAGTAAATAATAATAATAATAATAATAATAATAATAATAATAACAATAATAACAGTAAATGGAAAATAATTAGCACAGTAAATAGGACACACAGTCGAATATTGATATGGAGAATCGTTTTGAACAGTCCTTGATGAATGATTAAAATCGATTGTTTATGTGTGTGTTAAGGGATTATGAATGCTGCAAGTGGTTTCACTTCACATTTGCTGATTCATGCTCCGGAGCTGAAGGGGCGGTAATGCACCAATTAGATGGACGAAACCCGCAGCTGAACGTGAAAGAAGAAGAAAAGAAGCCGCTTCTCTCAAAAGTTCACGCATATGTTTGTTCGTTTTGAACGTTTCACAACTTGTTGTTTTAATAAGTGAGCTTTATTTACAATTGAAGACATGCATTCAGCCCACCAAGAAGAACAGAAATGTATAAAGACAGAGTTTATTGAAGATTACAGTGAGAACAGGAGTGATTCAGAACCCTTCAGAATCAAACATGAAGACACTGATGCACAAAGAGGTTGGTGACTATTATTTATTCCCTATTAATGAAGCTATATAAGAGGACAAAACGTTAAACAGTTAAACAGTTCTTTAGATTTACTGGGTGCATTGTGTTTGAAAATGATAAGTAAATGCTAATTTGACCCACATAGTCGTTCATTACTAATTTGTGGTTTATTTATAGGTTGTAAAATGTTGTTTAGAAAGCAGCAGATTATATTGATGGCAGCCTCGCTGAATGGTGGCTTGCTGGAGTGTTAGTGATAATTGAAGTGTTTGTGTTTATTAATATAATAACGACTCTCCATGGGATCTAAAATAATATTGGACCTTACCTTTAAATTGTCCGTAAGGTCAGTTGGTTTATTCATTTCACCTGTAGTGAATGTATTGGAATTGTGGGGAAAACCAGAGCACCCTGAGCAAACCCACACCAACACGAGAGAACATGCAAACTCTACACATAATAGCCAACAGGATAAGCTGGGCCTTGAACTAGCAACCTTCTTGCTCTGAGGCGACAATGCTAACCCCTAAGCCACTGTGAGCCAATTTTTTTTTTTATTATATCATTTTTTTGTTCAATGTAGAGAGAAGATGGGATTTGATTATATTGTAAACATCCCCAAATCTCCACACCCAGGTAGACTCGTTCTTTAATGACAGAAGTTAAAACATTGCTGTGAAAAACAAGAGTAATGCTAAACCAAATAAAGAATAGGAGTGAAAATAAATAACTATTACATCATAAGATACATAAAGTCCATATAAACAAAGCTGTACATCAGAAGGTAGAAACAAATGATCTGACAATATCAAAAGTTATAATCCAGGACTTGACAGTTTTTGACTGAGCTCGAATAGTATGCGAATAGTATGCACACTATTGAAAGTTGCATACAAATAACATCCAGAAAAGACAGGCATTTCCACTGCTGAGCCAGTGCGAGCCAAGGCTTTTATAGGACCGGCCTGCGCCAATAGCCTGGGAGCTTGAATAGAGGTAAAGTTAGTTTTATATTCGCACATTCAGACTTTCTCCTTAATAATACAATTTTATAAAATATTTATTTGCAAACTATAAATAGTGAAATCATATTAGCAGCCAATGACTATTGAAGTACAACATTGTTTACAGTCAAATAAACAGTTTTAATGTTTTTTCAAGTCCCACTTGCAGGTTGTTTCAGACCGAATATTCAAAGTGCTGTGGTGTAAACAATATAGGGAGTGTGTCACAAGTTGTCTCTGAATTATTGTGTGGATATAAAACCAACTTTACCTTAATGGAGCTTGAGCAGTGAGGCAGAAATCACGTCGCGTTTCCACTGTCGGGCCAATATCTCGCAGCACAACACGCAAACCCAATATATAATGCTATGTCCACTTAATTGTGCTCACAAGCCATTTACATGGCCTCCGTTTCCCAGGTGAGTGAAATTATATGCTTATATACCATCTCTATAAATGTATTTGTTTTTATTTAAGATCATTTATCATTTATAATTTTCATTAGAACTTGAATGCACTCCAGAATCTGACAGATTGATTAGCTGTAGGCTCTAGAACAGTCATCTTAAAAACACTGTCACACATTTTTATGCCTGGATTTTCATCAATATCCTTGCATTTACTAACACAGATTAAATTTGAAGTATTTAAAAGTAATTTACAGTCTATAGGCTCGACAGTGGCTATTGATGTCTACTCATTGTATGAGGCGGGATGTTTACACATTTATTTAATGATTTGATTAATTTACTTAAAACAAACCTTTTTGGTGACAAAGTGGCTCAGTGGTTAGCACTGTCGCCTCACAGCAAGAAGGTTGCTAGTTCGAGTCCCGTCTGGGTCAGTTGGAATTTCTGTGTGGGGTTTGTATGTTCTCCCCGTGTTGGCGTGGGTTTCCTCCAGGTGCTCCGGTTTCCCCCACAGTCCAAACACATGCACTTAAGGTGAATTGAATAAACTTAATTGAGGTAGAGTGTGTATGGATGTTTCCCAGTGATGGGTTGCAGCTGGAAGGGCATCTGCTGTGTAAACATGTTGAATAAGTTGACGATTCATTCCACTGTGGTGACCCCAGATTAATAAAGGGACTAAGTTGAAGGAAAATTAATGAGTGAATAAAATGTTTTTACTTTCACTTTAGATCTGAAGGAGCACAGTGAAGAGGAGGAGAAACATCATGTCAAACCTGAAGAAATCTCATTGAGTTGCTCTCAGAGCAAAAGTAAATTTCCAGACAGACAAACAGCCGCCAAAACGTTAATTTGCTCTCAGTGTGGAAAACAGTTCCCATGCAAACAAACACTTTCAGATCACATGAGAACTCACAGCAAAGAAAGTCCACACGTATGTGATGAGTGCGAGGAGAGTTTTACATTAGAAGAAGAGCTTAAGGATCACAGGAGAAAACACTGTGGGAACGCACAACACATTTGCGATCTGTGTGGGAAGAGTTTCTCATTTAAAGTAAGTCTTAAGCGTCACATGAGCATTCATAGAGGAGAGAAGTACACATGCCTTCAATGTGGGAAGAATTTCACGTTAATCGGACAGCTTAAATATCACATGAAAATGCACAGCGACGAGACGGCATTCTCGTGTGAGGAGTGTGGGAAGAGTTTCAGACATAAAGGAAATCTTAAACGTCACATGAAGATCCACAGGGGAGACAAGCTATACTCCTGTGCTCAATGCGGGAAGAGCTTCTTATATAAAGCAAGTGTCAACCGGCACATGTGCATTCACAGCGGAGAGAAGCCGTACGCGTGTGATCAATGTGGAAAACGATTCAGAGTAAAAGAAAACTTTAATAACCACATGAAAATCCACAGCGGAGAGAAGCTGCACTTTTGTGAGCAGTGCGGGAAGAGTTTCAGGATTAAAGCGTATCTTAAACGTCACGTAAAGATTCACACAGGAGACAGGCCGTACTCATGTGTTCAGTGCGGGAAGAGTTTCTCGTATAAAGTAAGTCTCAAACATCACATGAGCCTTCACAATGAAGAAAAGCCATATGTGTGTGGTCAATGCGGGAGGAGTTTCAGACTTAATGGAAATCTTAAACGCCACATGAAGATCCACAGAGAAGATCAGAGATTTGCATTTAAAGTACATAACAGAGAGAAGCCTCACAAATGTAAAAAGTGCGGGAAGAGTTTCACATATAAAACAAGTTTTACCCATCACATGAGTGTTTGTAGTGGAGAGAACCTGCACAAGTGTGAACAATGCGGAAAACGTTTCACAGTAAAATCCACCCTTATTGATCACATGAAAATCCACAGTGGAGAGAAGCTGCACAGGTGTGCTCAATGTGGGAAGAGTTTCACACAAAAAGGACACCTCACTTACCACATGAAGATCCACTCAGGAGAGAAGCCGCACACTTGTGATCAGTGCGGGAGGAGTTTCAGACATGCAAACCGGCTTAAATCACATCTACATACTCATTCTGGAGAAAGACCTTATAACTGTGATCAGTGCAGCAAGACATTTGCTGGACCGGAAAACCTGAAGATCCACCTGAAGGTTCATGCTGAAAAGAAACATCACGTGTGTTTGTGTGGAAAGAGCTTTTCAAGACTGGGAGCTTTAAAGGTACACCAGAAAAGACACAGAGAAGTGACTTGATTAGTTAGTTAATGAATTGAAACTGCAGGAATTTACACAAAAAAGTGTTCATACACTGACTACGTTTACATAGACACCAGTAATCCAATAATTTGCCTTAATCTGAATGTCAATAATGTGATTAAGGTGTTTACATGAGTTACATTCTAAGTGTTCCTTTTATCATATTGTTTTATATCTTAAAGGCGAATTACCGGTTTGTAAACATTCAGGATGTGTGCGCAATGCGCATAGAGGTTGCAGAAAAAAACGGGGAGGGAATGACATCTGATATGGTACAGAGATTGTTTTTGTATTAGAGATAAGTTATATTGATGACATATTATATATTATTTTCATAATGCTTTCAGCGTATTATAACAGCTCGTCACCCAGTGATAAGCACAGTTATTTGGCAAAATTGATGTTAAAGTGAGTGGCATTTGTCTGACAGGTCCATTTGCGATAGCACCCTCCCAATGGATATTGGCGGGGCGGACTGGCCATAGGGAGCACCAGGACATTTTCTGGTGGCCTGATGGTCAATCTGGCTTGCCACCGTGACTCTGGCCTGCCGCGCAACACCCATATAACACCCTGAATAACAGTAACTTTTTCCAGGGTGAAAATGCTGTCCCAGTCCACCCCTGGATATTGAATAAGTCGAAATGGTCAAGCATCCAGCCCAAAATATACAACTATCTCATTGAAAGTCCAAAGGATTTTACAAGAGAGAAGTTATTAAAGGCCTACAAGTCTTTGGAGACCTACTATTTTGTTCTGTGTAGTCATGTGGACAAAATAATGTTCCATGATTACCAGATTCAAAACTTTGCAGTGCTAGAAACCGAGGTTCTGCCGAGTCAAAGAGAAGTAAAGAAGATAGAACTGTACAAGGCCTGGATAATCATCAACAAGCACAACAAGTGCATTCTGATAGTGAACTGCACCTGTACGGCAGGGTATGTGGACTTACATTTTTACATTTCATTCTAACTATTAAGTGTCTGCAGTTTAATTTACTGTATGTAACTGTTTTTGCTCAAATCATTGCTGCAATCAAAAACGAGTAATGTGTATGAATGAACGCTTCTTCAGATAATAAGACAATGTACAAGTGGAATCATTATGGAAATATATATTACTCCGCTTTTTTTTACATTTGAACAAAAGCGTGTAGTCAGAATTTGCCAGGGCTATGAATAATTTCGACTCGCCCTTGGTTTGCAACTCGCCATAAAACCAAGGTGCAAACTACGGGGGGTAATTACCCCCCCTAGTTAACGCTCGATCCCTCCTTAAGGAGGTCAAAACAACATTTATTGGGGGTCAGTCTTCTAAATAGTGAGAAATAGTTTGTTTTGATCTGTATCTTATGATAATATTAATAATTAAAGTAATAGATAAACACATTTAGGGTGACATGTTGGTGCAGTGGGTAGTGCTGTCACACCTTTTTAGTGCAAACACCTTTTGGCCAAATCCATTTTGATGTCCTGTTGGTCAGAATGGATTATGTGACAGGCTGTGTACTGAGCCCCAAATAAAAAAATGTTGAACACAAAATTTGTTGGCATTTGCAATTAAAGTAAATTTAAATTAATTATAAATGTGTGCTTGTTTGGTCATAATTTTTATTTGATATGTGTTTGAACCTTAACAATTAAGAATGACAATTATTTTTAAATTCTTCAGATTTGTCCAAGCTGTTTTTACCATAATGTATTTTTATTTCATGCCAAATCAGTATGCTTGTATATTTTTGTTTCATTTAAGCAATGGATCCACAAAAAAAGATTTTCAATGTTTTTCTAATACAATCACAAAAGCATTGAAGAACAGACATAAAACAGACATTATATATTTTGTCTATGAGGTCGTTACAAATACTTATAAGGTAGCTTTTTTTTTTTTTTAAGTTCAAAACAAAGACTGTAATATGAATCACTCTTCTGCCATCTAACGGTAAACATAAATATGCAGTTATTAAAACTGTATGTATATATATATATATATATATATATATATATATATATATATATATAAACAAGCTTTTAGTTTTTAGTAGTTTTTAGTTTCACGAAGTACTTGGCCTTTACACTAATATAGTGCCTTAATGAACTGTTTGTATGAGTCTAAACGAAACCGAAAGTATTGTAGGCAAACAATGAAACTGTCTTGAAAATGACTGCATGATTGCATATTATAAATTGCTAAAAAAAAATAGTGCTTGATTAAAAAAAATCTAAATATAAGGTACACAGCTTAAAGGACGATCACGCCGCCTTGAAGTGAAAACGAAAGTGACTGGTTCGCAATCGCAAAGACCGGGGGGAAGGGGGTTCTATGGACGCGACGGTTCTGGGTACACATTCATTGAGTTTTATTACGATATGTAATAAGAAAGTCATCGATCAGCTTAATCATAAACAAGTCTGCCATAAAAAAGATTGCGCTAAACCTTACAGGATGGATCTTATCAGGTGACCGGATACCTAACGGAAAAAAACTGTTCTACACCGCTGTTGGTTCAGACCTTCGTACTGTTGTGAGTATTTTTATTTATTTTATTTCAAAACGAAATACAGTTTTATGGGAGTTTTTTTCAGGAATGTATTTCAGTTCATAACGATGATGTTTTTCTCTTATATTAGGGTATTGTTTAATAGATGATGCCAAATCGAAAGCATGTTGGAAATCAGACCACTCGTATCTTTAGGCGGGCATGTGAGCACGCACATGGCGAATGATGTTAAATCTCTTGATCATTAAAAAGTGTAATTAGCCTACATAGAATAACCTCAATTCATTTAGTTTACGGTTATTGTGGAAGCATTTGAAATAAACACAATGAAATGTGAGCATGACGTATTTAGCAATTGATTTATATAGGCTGTGAAGAGAAATAACCCAGACAGATAATAGTGTGTTAGCCCCTCAGTGTTTTAAATCCAATGGTATTATTCTGTTTCGTACTTGCATTAAAAACTATAAATTGAGAAGAGATCTGAAATTTACATTTGCCTAACCCTGTTTGGTTGGAATGCATAGCATTTGTTTTAGAAAGTTTTTGTTTGTTTCAGAACTCTTTTTTTTTTTTTTTTGTCAACCCCACTTTCATAGTTATATCAACTTCATAACAGTACAGTTTGTGATCTAATTTTCCTCAACACAGATATCCATCAACAATGGCAGATTAGGTGCAGAAATGTCAGAGAAACAAGAAATGGACTCCAGGCAGGAGTCTCCAAATCTCCAAAGGGAACAGAGGTAAGACTGTGGCTGTTCTCCAACAATTATTAACTAACTAAGACTCTACATCAGGGATGGGCAAATTTGGTGCTGTTAGGAAGTGTCCTACAGAGTTTTGCTTCCACAGCAACTATACAAATCTGAACATGCTAAGCAGTGTTTTCGAGATCACTAGAAATCTATAGGCAGTTGTGTTTGATTAGGGTTGGAGCTAAACTCTGCGGAACATCCTCCCTCAAGGACAATGTTTGCCCATCCTTGCTCTACAGTTAATTGTGATGTACGCTTTCGGTGATTTAAATCATAAGAACCTAAATTGAACATGGTCAGTAGCAATGTCAAAAAAAAAAAAAAAAACAGCTCAGTACTAATAAAAATGTAATACTTTGGTTTATGCGTCTATAAAATCCAAAGTTCAGAGTCTTCAAAGGTGTTTTGCACTAAGCTTTCTTTTTCTTTTTTTCTTTTTTTTGCAAAAAGGGCAAAGTACATTTGTACCGGACAGAACTGGAGCTCATCCACTTTTCATAATTTTTATTTATTCATTAATTTTCTTTTCGGCTTCTTTTCCTTATTCATCAGGGGTCGCCACAGCAAAATAAACCAGATTTTATCAGATTTTTAATTTTATCCAGAATATGTTCTACATAGCGGATGCCCTTACTCGTACACTATTGTCAAGTTAGTTTATTCAATTCACCTATACCGCATGTCTTTGGACTGTGTGGGAAACCAGAGCACCCAGAAAATATCCTCACCAACAGGGGAGAACTTGCAAACTCAGAAACCCCAAATGGTCCAGTAGGGACTTGAACCAATGACCTTCTTACTGTGAGGTGACAGTGCTAACCACTGTACCGTCACTTTTCCTAATGTTAATCTCATTTAATGAAAATGTGCAGGACACAATTAAAGACAGAATCCATTATAATGAGTGATTCACACTTGATTGGATGCAGCATGGCATGTCACAACGTTCTGTTTTTGACAATCCATGCTTCTGCACTACTAACTGTATGTAAAAATCACAAGGAATCAGATGCAAAACTGGTATTCCATAGTGCTTTCAAACATGAAGAACATGTTCACAGTTCTGCTTGCCTTTTGGTGAGATCATAGCACAGGAACTGTGAACCATTTTAAATCTTGAAACTCCATTTGAAGCAAGTAAATTAGCTTGTTTCAGAACAGGATCGAATCCAGCACAAGGACTTCAGTGATGTAAGAGTATTATTTATTTATTTGTTTATTTATTTATTTATTTATTTATTTATTTATTTATTTATTTATTTATTTATTTATTTATTTATTTTTATTTAAAGTGCCTTGCAAGAAATTCAAGGCCACTGTACAACGTGTGCAATTATACAATAAAAAAACAGTAAAAAATAGAGAAGATGATAAAATACAAAGACATTCTTTACAGTCCGCCCAAGTAAAGTCTATGTGTGGAATGCACTGTTGCATTTTTAAATCTGTTCCACTGATGGAAGCACTTCCTGTTGTAAAATGATATTTTTGTTCTCCCTCTGCTCTTTGTCATTAGGGGAAGATCAGACTCAGAGGATTCCAGTGATGAGTCAGTAAAGAGTGATCAGTCAAAAGGTGATGTGCCACTTTTTACAGAAGAAACACCTATCGAAAGGTATTTCGCATGTTTTTTTTATTATCAGACTCACACACAAACTATATTTGGAAATATTTTAGGTTGCAGCTGGCCTGTAATTTTTTTTTTATTATGATATACAGTTGAAGTCAGAATTATTAGCCCCCCTTTAGATTTTTTTTCTTTTTTTAAATATTTCGCAAATGATGTTTAACAGAGCAAGGAAATTTTCACAGTATGTCTGATATTATTTGTTATTTTGGCTTGAATGTAAGAATAAAAAAAAAAATCAATTTTAAGGTCAAAACAGTTAGCCCGTTTAAGCTAATTTTTTTTTCGATAGTCTAAAGAACACACCATCAATATACAATAACTTGCCTAATTACCCTAACCTGCCTAGTTAACCTGATTAACCCAGTTAAGCCGTTAAATGTCTCTTTAAACTGTATAGAAGTGTCTTGAAAAATATGTAGTCAAATAGTATTTACTGTCATTATAGCAAAGATAAAATAAATTAGTTATTGGAGATGAGTTATTTAAATTATTATGTATAGAAATGTGTTGAAAATAATTTCTCCATTAAACAGAAATTGGGGGAAAAATAAAGGGTGGGGAAGATAATTCTGACTTCAACTGTATTTAGTTTACTGTAGTAAAGGCTGAAGTATACTATGGTAATTGGGGGGGATAATTGTGACTTCAACTGATGATATATGATATTATATGTTTTTATAAATGTTTGTGATATGAGAGTGAGTTACTATGAGAAAAGTGCAGAATAAAATTTGTCTTAAACATGCGTAATATTTTATGTAAAGGCTTTAAATTGCTTGCAAGTTTTATTTAATGGTTTCCATGGAGCAGGTATGTCTTCTGTGTGTGAGATGTGGTGTTTTCCTCATTGCATAACTTGCACAGTTATTGTCTTTATCTCTAAAGGTTAGAAATGCATAACAAAAACACCTAACTACTTTTAAAGGTTGTACTTTTTGTATGAATGAAGGCATATGAATATATTAGAATTAGCCGTGTTTTCTTCAATGACTAAAATAGTTATGTACTTTCGTGAGATCAAAATGGATAAATCGGACTAAAATATACATTTTGTTGTAGGACAATTAAGGTGTCAAATAAACCTAATTAATTTAGATGATTATAAGTAACAGTAACTGCAGTGAATACATGGGTTTTACCTATAGATTTTAAAGATAGTAACACTGATTTGCACATAACAGGTTGCAGCTTATATTTGTTTTCAAAACCTTCAAAATGAACATTTATTTGACAGCATTTGACAGGATGTAAAAATAAAATAAAACAACTAAGACAAATTAAGGAGTCTTCTTTGTGTTGTCAGTGAATGCTCAGGCTCACATGTGTCCTTCAGTGAGGAAACATCATTACAAAACGGAAGATACTTCAAGTATCTTCTTGCAATTATTCATATAGTCATGTGAGAAACGACACTCTTTTAGTTCGATTATTTTAGATAAACAATCTTACTATAGTGTGTTTTCTGTCTTTTTGTCCTTAGTGAAAGATCAGGTTCACCTGTTCTTAGTTCTGTATCTATGAAGAGTGACCGTTCAAAAGGTGATGGACCAAACTTCAGTGAACAACAACCATCATCTAGCAGAAGGTATTTGTTTCTGATTTATTCTTATAAAATGAGTAGTAACTTGCATATTTGCTTTCAGAGCCTTCAATTTGATCTTTGTTTCATTGGGTTGAATTGTGCAGGATGTAAAAAAGTAGATAGAAGATTGATAGTTTTGTTTTAAAATCAAAGTATAAAACCAGAATACAACACCCACCCACACACACGTCACTCACTGCAGAATTTAATGTGCACCTCTCCTATCTCCACCAAAACTGTTTACAGGATCAATATACATGGCCAGGCTGCTATAGCCAAACATTTGGTCACTTGTGCCAATGCCATACGTTGGTTTTAATGGTGCCAGCAGCGAAAATTTTGGGTTGTGGACAATGTGAAACATGTATTGTTCTCTGAGTCCACCTTCATTGTCTTCCCCACATCCGGGAGAGTCAAGGTGTAGAAAAGCCCCAAAGAAGCATCTGTTTCATGCCCAGAGTAAAGCATGGGGTGAATCAGTGATTATTTGGGCTGCAATATCATGCCATTCCCTAGGCCCAATACTTGTGCTAAATGAGCGCGTCACTGCAAAGCAATACCAAACCATTCTGAAGGACCATGTTCACCCAATGTTTTAAACATTGTATCCTGAAGGCAGTGCCGTGTATCAGGATGATAATGCACCAATACACACCACAAGACGGGTGACAGAGTGGTTTGATGAACATGAAAGTGAAGCTGAACATCCCCCATGGCCTGCATTGTTACCAATTCTAAATTATTATTATTATTGAGGGATGTTTTGGAGGAGTCAGGAAACGTTTTCTCAAACAGCATCACATAGTGACCTGGCCACTATTCTGCAATAAAGGCTCAAAATCTCTCTGGTCATTGTGCAGGACTTGTATCTGTCATTTCCAGGATGAATTGATGCTGTATTGGGCACAAAAGGAGGCCCTACACATACTAGAAAATTATTGTAGCCTAAAACCAGGAGTTTCAGTTTCATTGTCCAACTGTGTGGGTTTGTGTGTGTGTGTGTGTGTGTGTGTGTGAGCGCGCGCGCATGCATGAGTGTATATGTATTATAACTTCTCGTTATCGTGTTTTTTCTCTTCTCTATTTGTCATTAGTGAAAGATCAGGCTCACTTGCGTCTAGTTCTGTATCTATGAAGAGTGACCGTTCAAAAGGTGATGGACCAAACTTCAGTGAGCAACAACCATCTAGCAGAAGGTATTTGTTTCTGATTGTTAGTCGAATATAAAATGTATAAAAGTATTTGCACAAAATGAGTAGTAACTTGCATATTTGTTTTAAAAGACTTCAATACAAACTTTGTTTATTAGACAGAATTGTGCAAGGTGTCAAAAAATGAAACGCTGGCCAATTTAGTATTGGAGTTTCATAGCCAGTCTTCATTGAATGCACATTCCACCAGTAAGAGCAGAGTGTGAAGGTTTAATTTGCAGAGCTATAGCACAGTTTTGCTTAAAATATTGCCATGAACACAACATTATGGGTGACATATCAGAGTTCAAAAGAGTGCTTCTCGCTGGTGTATCTATGACCAAGACAGCAAGTCTATGTGATAATTAAGAGCCACGGTATCCAGGGTAATATCAGCATACCAACAAGGACGAACCACATTCAACAGGAGTAACTGTGGATGCAAAAGGAAGCAAATTGAAAGGGATGTACAGGTGCTACCCCAGATTGGATCCTAAAAACATAAAAACTACAGCTGCTCAACTCACTGCAGAATTAAATGTGCAAGTCTCCTGTTTTCACGAAAACTTTTCATCGGGAAATCCACAGGGTCAATATTTACATGGCCTGCACACTCAAAAGATCTAAATATGATTGAGCCAATTTGGGGTGTTTTGGAGGTACAGATCAGGAATTGTTTTCCTCTCCCAGCATCACTTAGTGACACGGCAACTGTTCTGCATTGAGAAGGGCTCAAAATCTCCCTGGCTGCTGTGCAGGACTTGTATCTGTCATTCCCAAGATAAATTGATGCAGCTAAAAGAGGACCTACACCATACTAATGAATTAATGTGGTCTAAAACCAGGCGTTTCAGTTTCACTGTCCAACCCCTAGGTTATTGTTTTTAGAACTTGCATCTATAGTCATCATGAATAAGACAAATACTCTACTAATAATCATTTTTATAACTTCTTGTAATGGTTTTTTCCTCTTGTCTATTTGTCATTAGTGAAAGATCAGGTTCACCTGTGTCTAGTTCTGTTTCTGTGAAGAGTGACCGTTCAAAAGGTGATGGACCAAACTTCAGTGAACAGCAACCATCATCTAGCAGAAGGTATTTGTTTCTGATTGTTGGTGACATATAAAGTGTATAAAAGTATTTGCAAAATGAGTAGTTACTTTCTTATTTGTTTTCAAAGTCTTCAAATTAATCTTTGTTTAATTGGACAGAATTGAGCAGGATGTAAAAAGTGTTTTAAAATCAAAGTATAAAACCAGAATACAAAACATGCAAACACATCACTCACTGTAGAATTAAATATGCACCTCGTCTCTCTTGTTTCTACAAAAACTGTTCACCGGGAGCTCCACAGGGTCAATATACATGGTCAGGCTGCTATGGCAAAATCTTTGGTCATTTGTGCCAGTGCCAATTGTTGGTGCCAGCAGTGAAAATCATGGGCTGTGGACAATGTAAAACATGCATTGTTCTCTGAGTCTACCTTCATTGTCTTATCCACACCCTGGAGAGTTATGGTGTGGAGAAGCCCCAAAGAAGTGTGCTACCCAGACTTGTTGGATGCCCAGAGTAAAGCATGGGAGTCAATCATTGATGGTTTGGGCTGCAATATTATGGCATTCGCTGGGCCCAATACTTGTGCTAGATAGGCATGTCACTGCCAAGAGCTACCAAACCATTCTGAAGGACCATGTGCACCTAATATTTCAAACATTGTATCCTGAAGGCAGTGTCATGTCTCAACATGATGATGCACCAATACACACCACAAGACTGGTGACAGAGTGGTTTGATGTACATGAAAGTGAAGCTGAACATCCCCCATGGCCTGCACAATCACCAAATCTTTGAGCCGCCGAGCCACTTTGAGGTGTTTTGGAGGAGGGATTCAGGAAACGTTTTTCTCCACCAGCATTATGCAGGCACATGGGAACTATTCTCCAAGAAGAAGGGCTCAAAATCTCTCTGGCCACTGCGCAGGACTTCTATATGTCATTTCAAAGATTAATTGATGCTGGATTGGCCACAAAAGGAGACCCTACACCAGTGGTTCTCAAACTGTGGTACGTGTACCACTAGTGGTACGCAGGCTTCCTTCTAGTGGTACGCGGAGGAATGAAATATGTCATGTACATGCTACACACATTTCAAAATTTACCAAAAATTATGTTTATAATACGGCATATATGACATATAGCCTATATTTCTGAGAAAATCTGCCACGTTTTTTTTAACTATGCTGAGTTGTGGCTGCTTTACTGGGCCTACTATGCGACTGTATTTCAATACTGCTCATACTTGATGAAAAAAGTTTGAGAACCACTACCCTACACCATAGTAATAAAATCTTGTGCTCTAAAACCAGGCGTTTTAGTTTCTGGGGTCGGACAATGAAACTGAAACGCCTTGTTTTAGACTACAGCATGGTGGTAGCTAATTTCAATTTCTGTTACCTACAGAATTAAACCTTTTTGAGATTAAGGTGTCTCCTTTGTAATGCTAGTGAAGGGACAGGCTCGAGTGTGTCTTTCAGTAAGGAAACACTATTGCAAAACAGAAGATACTTCATGTGCTATGTCATGTTATTTCTAGAGCTTGCATCTAAAGTCATGATGAGTAAGACAAATACTCTTATATTTAGCTTTTTATAACTTCTTGTAATGTTTTTTCTCTTGTCTATTTGTCATTAGTGAAAGATCAGGTTCGCCTGTGTCTAGTTCTGTATCTGTGAAGAGTGACCGTTCAAAAGGTGATGGACCAAACTTCAGAGAACAACAACCATCATCTAGCAGAAGGTATTTTTTTCTGATTACTGGTCAAATATAAACCGTATAAAAGTATTTGCACAAAATGAGTAGTAACTTGCATATTTGAATCTTTGTTTTATTGGACAGAATTGAGCAGGATGTAAAGAGAGTTTTAAAATCAAAGTATAAAACCAGAATACAAAACACACTCAAACACATCACTCACTGCAGAATTAAATGTGCACCCCAACTCTCTTGTTTCCACAAAAACTGTTCACCGGGAGCTCCACTGGGTCAATATACATGGTCAGGCTGCTATGGCCAAACATTTTGTCACTTGTGCCAATGCCAAACGTTGGTTTCAATGGTGCCAGCAGTGAAAATATTGGGCTGTGGACAATGTGAAACATGTATTGTGTCAATCAGTGAGGAAATACCATTGCAAAACAGAAGATACTTCATGTGCTTTGTCATATTATTTCTAGAACTTGAATCTGTAGTCATGATGAGTTAGACAAATACTCTAGTAATGAGCATTTTATAACTTATATTATCCTCTTGTCTATTTGTCATTAGTGAAAGATCAGGTTCACCTGTGTCTAGTTCTGTATCTGTGGAGAGTGACCGTTCAAAAGGTGATGGACCAAACTTCAGTGAACAACAACCATCATCTAGCAGAAGGTATTTGTGTCTGATTATTGGTCAAATATAAAGTGTATAAAAGTATTTGCAAAATGAGTAGTAACTTGTGTATTTGTTTTCAAAGTCTTCAAATAAATCTTTGTTTCATTGGACAGAATTGGGCAGGATGTAAAAAGTGTTTTAAAATCAAAGTATAAAACACGAATACAAAACACACTCAAACACATCACTCACTGCAGAATTAAATGTTCGCCCCAACTCTCTTGTGTCCACTAAAATGTTCACCAGGAGCGTCACGGGGTCAATATACATGGTCAGGCTGTTATGGCTAAACCTTTGGTCACTTGTGCCAATGCCAAACTTTGGTTTCAATGGTGCCAGCAGTGAAAACTTTGGGTTGTGGACAATGTGAAACATGTATTTTGTCATTCAGTGAGGCAATACCAATACTCTACTAATGAGCATTTTATAACCTATATTATTTCTCTTTTCTATTTGTCATTAGTGAAAGATCAGGTTCACCTACGTCTAGTTCTGTATCTGTGAAGAGTGACCGTTCAAAAGGTGATGGACCAAACTTCAGTGAGCAGCAACCATCATCTACCAAAAGGTATTTGTTTGTGTTGGTCAAATATAAAGTGTCTAAAAGTATATTTCTTCTATAGTTACAAAATTTAAGCTCTTGAATGACACCCTTCTTTGTGTTGTTAGTGAAAGATCAACATCACCTGTGTCCCTCACTGAGGAAACACCATTGCAAAACAAAAGGTATTCCATGTGTTTTATGTCGTATTATTGATAGAACTTGCATCTATAGCCATGGTGAGGGTAAACACCCTTCTAATAAGAATTGAGAGCTTCTTGTTACCGTGTTTTTTCCTCTTGTCTATTTGTCATTAGTGAAAGATCAGGTTCACCTGTGTCTAGTTCAGTATCTGTGAAGAGTGACCGTTCAAAAGGTGATGGACCAAACTTTAGTGAACAACAACCATCATCTAGCAGAAGGTATTTGTTTCTGATTGTTGGTCCCATATAAACTGTATAAAAGTATTTGCACAAAATCAGAAGTAACTTGCATATTTGTTTTCAAAGTCTTCTAATGAATCTTTGTTTTATTGGACAGAATTGGGCAGGGTGTAAAAAGTAAAAACAATAGTTTTGTTTTACAAAATTTAACCTCTTTGAATAAGACTAAGGAGTCTCATTTGTGTTAGTGAAGAATCAGGCTCACAAGTGTCTTTCATTGAGGAAACACTGCAAAACAGAAGATACTTCATGTGCTTTGTCATATTATTTCTAGAACTTGTATCTATAGTAATGATGAGTAAGACAAATGCTCTCATAATTAACTTTTTATAACAAGTTATAATGCTTTTTCTCTTGTCTATTTGTCATTAGTGAAAGATCAGGTTCACCTGTGTCTAGTTCAGTATCTGTGAAGAGTGACCGTTCAAAAGGTGATGGACCAAACTTCAGTGAAAAACAACCATCATCTAGCAGAAGGTATTTGTTTCTGATTGTTGGTCCCATATAAAGTGTATAAAAGTATTTGCACAAAATCAGAAGTAACTTGCATATTTGTTTTCAAAGTCTTCTAATGAATCTTTGTTTTATTGGACAGAATTGGGCAGGGTGTAAAAAGTAAAAACAATAGTTTTGTTTTAAAGTTGAACTATAAAACCATATTACAGAACACGCACATCACTCACTGCTGAAGTAAATGTGCACCTCACCTCTCCTGTTTACTCAAAAACTGTTCACCGGGAGCTCCACAGGGTCAGTATACATGGCCAGGCTGCTATGGCCAAACATTTGGTCAATTGTGCCAGTGCCAAATGTTGGTTCCAATGGTGCCAAAAATCTTTGGTTGTGGACAATGTGAAACATGTATCGTTCTCTGAGGCCACCTACATTGTCTTCCCCACATTCGGGAGAGTTATGGTGTGGAGAAGCCCCAGAAAAGCATGCTACTCAAACTGTGGCATGCCCAGATTGAAGCAGGGAGGTGGATCAGTGATGGTTGGAACTGCAATATCATAGCATTCCATAGGCCAAATACTTGTGCTTGATGAGCGCCTCACTGCCAAGGACTATTGAACCATTTTGGAGGACCATGCACACTCAGTATTTCAAGCATTGTATCCTGCAGGCAGTGCCATGTATTAGGATGATAATGCACTAATATACACAGCAAGACTGGTGACAGAGTGATTCGATGAACATGATAGTGAAGTTGAACATCTCCAATGGCCTGCACTGTCACCAAAGCTAAATATTATTGAGACACTTGGGGGTGTTTTGGAGGAGCAAGTCAGGAAACGTTTTCCTCCACCAGATTTCAGTGACATGGCCACTGTTCTGCAAGGACTAAAAATCCCTCTGACTGTTGTGTGGGACTTGTGTCTGTCATTCCCACAAGGAATTGATGCTGTATTGGCGGCAAAAGGAAGACCTACTCCATAATAATTAAATATTGTGGCCTAAAACAAAGCGTTTCAGTTTCATTTTCCAACTCTTGTTTGGACAATAAATCATTTAGACAACAATAATTCATTAGATAATTCTTAGCTCAGCCTAATTTTAAGATTACAATAATCAGACTACAGCACTGTGTTAGCTAATTTCAACGTGTTACTTTACTTTACAAAATTTATCCTCTTTGAATAAGACTAAGGAGTCTCATTTGTGTTAGTAAAGAATCAGGCTCACAAGTATCTTTCATTGAGGAAACACTGCAAAACAGAAGATACTTCATGTGCTTTGTCATATTATTTCTAGAACTTGTATCTATAGTCATGATGAGTAAGACAAATGCTCTCATAATTAACTTTTTATAACATGTTATAATGCTTTTTCTCTTGTCTATTTGTCATTAGTGAAAGATCAGGCTCACTTGCGTCTAGTTCTGTATCTATGAAGAGTGACCGTTCAAAAGGTGATGGACCAAACTTCAGTGAGAAACAACCATCATCTAACAGAAGGTATTTGTTTCTGATTGTTGGTCACACAGTGTATGATTTGCCGGCTGGTTTTTCATGAAGTGTTTAGTTACTTATTAACTAAAGAATTCACTTAGATTTTACAGTTGAAATCAACAATACTTCAGTAGGCTGAAGAGGAGGAAATAACCTTGATGAGTTAATAGTTGACCAGTGCTCAGCATTTATAAATGTTTATAGAAGTCAGAGAGAAGAAAATTGCCTTTTATACAGTCAAATATCCATAAATGGCCATATCATTTTTCTCTCTGTATGTATACACATTTTCTACCTAATATGTACAGTTCAAGTCAGAATTATTAGCCCCCCTGAATTATTAGGCTGCTTGTTTATTTTTTCCCCAATTTCTGTTTAACGGAGGGAAGATTTTTTTCAACACATTTCTGAACATAGAAGTTTTAGTAACTCATTTCAAACTGATTTATTTTATCTTTGCCATGATGACAGTAAATAATATTTCACTAGATATTTTTCAAGACACTTCTATACAGCTTAAAGTGAGATTTAAAGGCTTAACTAGGTTAATTAGGTTAACTAGGCAGGTTAGGTTAATTAGGCAAGTTATTGTATAACAGTGATTTGCTCTGTAGATTATCGAGAAAAAATAAAGCTTAAAGGAATTGATAATTTTGTCCCTAAAATGGTGTTTTAAAAAAACTGCTTTCATTCTAGCCAAAATTAAAAAAAAAACTTTTTGAAGAAGAAAAAATATTATCAGACATACTGTGAAAATTTCCTACTGTGTTAAACATCATTTGGAAAATATTTAAAGAAGAAGAAAAAATTTGAAGGGGGCTAATAATTCTGACTTCAGCTGTATATATATATATATATATAAGAAGAAGAAGAAAACTACAAAAACAGATCATGTTCAGATGTTTTAGTGATGTTTTTCTGTGGTGATGGGTTCACTTGTTTACGCAACACAATGGGTGTGCTGATTATCTGGAGCCTTTATAAAATCACACCAATTTATTGGCTGATAGGCTTCCTCTTTGTTAATCTAATGTTTTCATCCTTAAACTGGTTCTCCTTAGATTTGCCTGCCTTCATTAAACTGGCCCAAATTTTAGAGTGTCCATACAATAGTTTTTCAATTGCACTTCAGTCACTGCTAAATTAGACCTCTGTTCTCCTCTTGGTGAGGTGCCATTTTTAGTGCTTAGTCATGATTTCTTAGTCACAAACCTCTCTAAACTTTGCATAAGACACATATGTATTACACTAGTATGCTCTGTAAGTCACAGTGGCCATCATCTTATGAATTGATTGGCTTCGGTCAATTAGTACACCCAGAGGGTGTTGTCATTGCACCATAGCTACACAGCATCTAGTTCCTTGTGCAGATGGGTTTTGCTTAACACATTTTGTTTAACTATGAATCTAACTGCAAAACTAAGTCTAAGAATAAATCAGATTTTTGATCTCTATTTGTTTCTTTATTCTGTTTTCAGAGGATCAAACTTGCGTGTGTCCTTTAGTGATAAAACACAGTCACCAACCCAAAGGTATGCCATGTGTTTTACATTGAATTTGTTTTAATTGGGTATAGATTTTTAAAACTAGTGTTGAAAACACACACATAAAGACAATGCTTTGCAGTGTGAACACCAGTGTAAACCATACATTTCTTTGCTATAGTGTACAATATATGTAAAATCTTGAATGGATTATATAATAAATGCCCGCTCATACTGCCTTCAATTACTATTTGCAGTTTCACTTTAAATTATTATTTTTTAATATCTTTGTCATCAGTGTAAGATCAGGCTCACACGTGTCACTCTCTGTGAAAAGTGACCGTTCAAAGGGTGATGGACCAAACTTCAGTGAGGATTCGCCATGTAACACAAGGTATTTTGTGAGTTTCTTAAAGCTTTTTGTATTACTGGGTGATAAATGTAACGAATACCGGAGTTAAACCGAGTGCAAACCAATGCTAGAATCACACACTGCTCAGGACTAGCAGTCACATCTCCCATTTGCAAATGAAGTCAGTTTGTTGTCCTGTCGCTCTGATGAAGAAAGCGCATTGTTGGGGTAAACATCAATGTTTTATAGTGATTTCTGCATCCAGGATAAGCACAGGTACAGACCTTTTTTGGCAAACTTGCACTCCTAATTGTCTTGTCAACAAACCTTGTCACTGTTTTATTTTTTTATTTGCTTGTTTATTTGACAGAGACAATACACTTGACATTGTTATACAAAGATAACTGATGTTGCGAACATTGGGCGTATAGCATAAAGCTAATTTGCAGCCCTCGACCCTGGTTAGGCTTTACATTAAAAAAAAAAAAGAACAATCAAGAATAAAACACAATACAACAAATATGTACAATATATACAGAGCCACAGACATAAAATGGAAGTCAATCTGCATACAGAGAAATGTAAACGTGACCAACCTGAAAGAAGTGTATTTAATGTTCACATTGCTGTAAAGATTTCAACCATTCTTTCAGCCTTGTAGAAAAAAACTGGGAGTTCTGATTGTAACTTAAAATCGACAGGCATGGCATTCCATAGATGTGAACCTTTTACTGAAAAGGATGACTGACCCACAGCGGTTCTGTATCTGCAGATTCTACAGTTCCCACTAGGGCTGCTCGATTATGGGAAAAATCATAATCGCGATTATTTTGGTCATAATTGTAATCACGATTATTCAAAACGATTATCAGTTGAAGTTAAAATTATTTGTCCTGCTGTGAATTTATTTTTATATATAAATATTTCCCAAATTATGTTTAATAGAGGTTTTTGTTCGCAGTATTTCCTATAATGTTTTTTTCTTCTGGAGAAAGGCTTATTTGTTTTGTTTCAGTTAGAATAAAAGCAGGTTTGAATATTTTGAAACCTATTTTAATAGCTTGATATTATTAGCCCCTTTAAGCAATATATATGTTTTATTGTCTACAGAAGAAACTACTGTTATACAATGACTTTTCTATTAACCCTAATTAAGCCTTTAAATGTCACTTTAAGCTGAATACTAGTGTCTTGAAACATATCTAGTAAAATATAATGTACTGTCATCATAGCAAAGATAAAAGAAATCAGTTATTAGAAATGAGTTATTAAATCTGTGATGTTTAAACTGTGCTTTAAGCATCTTCACTGTATTTTTGATTTTATTATTGATTAATAATACAAGCAGTCGGCAGCAGCAGGAATATTGCACGCTGTCACTTTAAGAATAGTGCGGGTCTGATATGGTTTCTCTTTCTCGTGTCTTTTGATTCTCAACTTGTTACTTTATTACACAAATGAGGGTTAATATTAACAATCACTAAACACCGCGCTCTGACACAAATGTGCATGTATTTCACCATTAAAGCGCTCACACACTGAAAAAATTATATAAAGATGGTTCCTTGGATTTACTCAATTTTTTTATAATAAGTGGTTGTAAACAATTTATTTGTGTTGAATTTAAACAAACAAATTAAGTTAAACATTATTAAACTTAATTTGTTTGTTTAAATTTAACACAAATAAATCGTTTGCAACAGTTCTGCATGCAACACTTTTTTCAGTGCATTAAGATCGCGTTAGATGTGTGTGTGCTCTGCTTTTCGAGGCCAAGCGCGGGGCGCGCGCAAACACACACACACACACACTACCTGTCCGAGGCTAAGCACGGCGCGCGCACACACAACAGCACGTGCTCTTTTGCGCTTTTAAAAACATGAATATTGCGCATCCCGTGCTGCAAAAGTTACATTACAGCACATGCTTTTAGTCATTTTCACGTGGAACTGAGCTTTGCAGAGGCAAAGAGTTTTCACACGTGTACAACTGGAAAGGGGGCGGTACGTGATGGAATAATCGTTTATCTCGATTAATGCTTTTTCATAATCGTTAAAAGCCAAAATCAAAATCAAAATCGGATTTTCAATTAATTGCACAGCCCTAGTTCCCACTTACTGCCCCTCTAGTCTTCGCCCCATCACTACAGAACTTATGTACCAACTCACAGACTACTTTAGGGGCAAGACCATGTTTACACTTAAACATGGTTTTTAAAAATGAAAACTTAAAAAAAAAAAAACATCAAAACTTAACAAGTTTTATTTCCTTTACACTATGCTTTTATACAACAGCAGTTAAGCTTCTTATACAATTACATCCAAGACTGCAGCAAATGTTTTTTAGAAAACTTTTCAGCAACTTGCGGTTTCTTCCCTGTGCTCATCGAATAATTAACCACCAAATTTTATTGCAGGATAATGAACACTGAACACAAAATGCGTAAATCAGTTCCTTGTAGATGAAAACATTGATAAAATGTAATTTCATTGATAAAATTAAATGGCCAACCTAGCATTCTGATGTAAACCAGATTGAAAATCTTTGACAACATGTCTAGACAGCTTGAAATTTAAGGCTAGAGCGAGAACAGCAGAGAGATATTAGAGATTAGCGATGTGCTGAGAAAACTAAATTCAATACAAATGATTTAGTTTTGCATTATAGTAAACTTATCTCCTAACGGTAGCATATCTGATGTAAATTATATATGCAATAATGAAATAATATGTGCTTTTTCCACAATATTTTTGACTTTAGAGTTCACTCAGACTCGCGTGTTTCCAACATTGCATCCATGAAGAGTGACGATTCAAAAGGTGATGGATCAAGCTTCAGTGAAAAATCACCATCATCTTTCAAAAGGTATTTCTAGCTGTTTTAACCAAATATATATTAACGATGGTAAGCCTGTTAATTTCCTTCTTTTTTGTGTGTGAATTAGTAACAAAGAGCAGAAGACTACGATAAACATTGGTTCAGAATTTACACGATGGAAAACACTGAAAGCACAGAAGGGAATAAAGAGCGACATGGAATTGGCATCATATCTTCTCAACAAGTGGGGACTCAATTTACCATAATTACCTTACTTTGTGATGTGTATTATTAATACAATTCAATGTTCACTGTAGACACTACAGTTTTTTAAAGTTTGTATAAACAAAACATGCAAAAACATTCAAGTCTATACATTAATACTACAATGCAGGGCTGGGAGATTAATCAAAGGTGCTTTTCATGCCCATTTTGTCAGTATAGCCAGTTCTAGTAAACCTCTAGCACATGTGTTCAGATGTAGCAGGGCATCTGAAACCGCCTACTGCTCACTACTACTATTCGGACTTACTACATCCTCCATTTTGTCATAGTCAGTTGCGTTAATTTACCCCCATTCATGAGTTCTCTCATGGGGAATCATGGGATAGCATAGCGTGCATGGGATGTGCACTTCAGAATCTTGCTGTAAGTAGTAAGTCATCCAGGTACTTCTCGCATACTTATTTTCAAATTCTATGTTTTCAGACATACTACTCTGCTCTCATACTGGTTTTAGTGTACTATATAGTATGGAAGTATATGGTTTCGGACGCAGGCCCGGATTTAGTTTCATCAGCTAGACACCGGTCTCGCAGCTCCGTGAATGTCAGTGGTGTCACGGATTGATCCGGGATCGGTAAATGTAGCTTGTGTGGACGCTACTGCGCTACTTCATTACTTCACTAATAAAATAGCTTCGCTACTGAAAAGCTTTTTAGTGTATAAAGTAGCGACGCTACCACCACTCTACTGAGAAATGTAGTTAAGCTTGTAGCGATGCTTTTGCCCAACACTGATAATTTGATAAAATCGTTTTGGCCTAAATTTCACAAATAGATAACTTTGTGAGTCTTAATATAACATTTGAAATGAAAGGGTCTGTTTTTATTTCTATGCTTCCAATAACGGCAAAAAAATTGCTTTTATGAAATAAGAAATGCTGGGTTACATACCTGCAGATGTTTCCTCAGGTTCGTCATTGAAGCCTTTGATGTCGAAAGTATTTTAACAGCTGGCAAAAATTTTGTTGCACTGAACTGTTATATTTGTGCCCTTCTCGGATTTCAGGGTGAAATGATATTTTAATTTCCAGCAATTAAATGCATTTTTATCACTGGTCATGGTGGCAGCTCTCAGACTGGTTGTGGTAGCCTAATGCTTTCAGCGGCAGAGAGGATTAACGTAACTGGTAAATGTGGTGCGCAGCAAATTCAAACCGGAAAACCAATCAAAAGCATCAGAATAGCCCTGCTTCAATAAATGGCCTTAGCAGAAGGCATCGTGCATATCAAAAACAGGCAAAGCAACAGATTAATATTATTCAACATATTTAGATGAACCCCATTTGTAATCTTTAACATTTTCATAAGTAAATGTAATTTAATTACACATTTTTTTTTCTCAGTAACTGTAATGAATTACTGATACTTTTATTTTGCAATTAAATTACGTAACGCCGTTACATGTAACTAGTTACTCCAAGACGCTTCTCACTTCATAAATTCAGTTGAGAGTTTGAAGCAAATCCTGATGTGGATGATTCCTTAGTCATGTGATTTTTAGCCATGTTGAATCAATAAAAGCAATTAAATCATCGGTTTCTATTAAAATGCTATGGGAAATTTAATTTTAGAGGATTTACTACATATCACACTGTGCAGTCGTAACTGTGCTCAGTCATTTTGATTAATCCAGCCCAGCCCTTCCTCATTGCATTGCAATCTATTGAGGATCTAATGATTTAAAAAAAAAAATAATAATAAAATAAATAACTGATGTCTTAGTACAGGATAGTGCACCCAAATAACTCCATTCCAACTTAGCCAATTGTATTTATTACACTGCACATAAACATTTGTTCTTAAATCCCTTTAATTGCTTTTGTTTATAGGGTTCAATATGAAAAATCAGACTCAGATTTAAAGTATAGTCGCTCGCGCAAGAGTTTCAAAGAAAAACTCCTTGGGATTTTTAAGGTAAGCAAAAATAATTACATTAAGAGAATTTTGCCTTGTCTTGATTTGTATGTCTTGTTTTTATGTTTGTGTGTGTTTTTTAACTTGCAGGTCCTTGAGAACAAAATAATTGTGTTCCTGAAGACTGAGCTGGAAAAGTTTAAGATAATAATACAAAAAGGAAACACGCAATACTTTGTGCAGGACTTTACAGAGGAGATGGAGAAAATCAAAGAAGCAGCTCTTGACATCACACTCTATTTCTTGAAAGATATGAAAGAAGATGAAGTTGCTAATGCTCTGCAAGGTGGGAGGTTCATAGGTAGAAGCAGCGGCTATTGTCACTAATGAAATGTAAAAGAAAATTATGTCAAACTTTGTTTTTTGTTTTCATTTTGTGTGTTAGATGAACTGGTCCTCATTTATCAGAGAAAGCTCAAATTCAACCTGAAGAAGAAGCATCAGTCTGTATCTGAAGGAATTGCAAAGCAAGGTTCTTCCAAGCTTTTGAATGACGTCTACACGGATCTCTATATGACTCAGTGTGCCAGCAAACAAGTCAATACTGAACACGAGGTCAGGCAGATTCAGGCTGCTGCTCGGCGCAATGAAACACAAGAGAGACCGATTGAGTGCAAAGATATGTTTGAAGCGTCTGATCAAGAAAAGCAGATCCGAACTGTACTGACAAAAGGAGTTGCTGGCATCGGGAAGTCAGTCTCTGTGCAAAAGTTTATTATAGACTGGTCTGAAGGAAATGAAAATCAAGATATCAGCTTCATATTTCTTCTTGCATTTCGAGAAATGAACGTAAAGGAAAAAGATAAACAAAGCTTAATGAGTCTTATATGTCAGTTTTTCCCAGAGGTAAAAGGACTGAATCTCACAAGAAGTGACAAATTTAAAATCTTGTTCATCCTTGATGGATTGGATGAATGTCGTCTTCCTCTGAACTTTGATGGAAATGAGACGTGGCGTGATGTTTCATCACCAGCCTCTCTGGATGTACTTCTGACGAACCTCATCAAAGGAAATCTGCTTCCTTCTGCTCTCATCTGGATCACCAGCAGACCAGCAGCTGCCATTAGGATCCCCCCTGAATTTGTTGACCGAGTGACAGAAATACAAGGATTTAACGACGCACAAAAGAAGGAGAATTACTTCAGAAAACGATTCACAGATGAGAATTTAGCCAATGAAATCATTGCTCATGTTAAACAATCAAAGAGTCTCTTCATCATGTGCTACATCCCAGTCTTCTGCTGGATTTCAGCCACTGTTCTCCAGAACATTTTACAGGAGAAGAGAAATAATGAAAACAATCAGGCTGATGACGCTTCCAAAACACTGCAGGAATCAAACCCTGAAGACACTCCCAAGACTCTGACACAGATGTACACACACTTTCTGCGCTTTCAGATTCTGCAGAGCAGACGAAAGTATGGAGGAAAATACACACCAGATGTTTCCTGGAATACAGAAGCCATGCTATCACTGGGGAAACTGGCATTTCATCATCTGGAGAAAAACAAACTGCTCTTCTATGAAAAGGACCTGGAAGATTGTGGTATTGACGTCTCTGAAGCATCGGTGTTCTCCGGCATGTGTACCCAGATCTTTAAGGAAAAAACTGGAATCATTCTTGGAACAACATTTTGCTTTGTTCATTTGAGCATTCAAGAGTTTATCGCAGCTCTTTATGCACAACTGTTTCTAGACAACAAGAAGAAAAATGTGTTCATGGATGAGTCTCCAGAGCTGGAAAACAGAAATGAGTCCATGATTGATTTGCTGAAGACTGCAGTGGACAAGGCACTTGAGAGTGACACTGGACACCTGGACCTTTTCGTTCGCTTCCTTCTTGGGATGTCGCTCAAATATAATCGACCACTCTTTCAAGGTCTGTTGAAAGAAGAAAACAATGACCAGAGCACAGAAATAGTCCAATACATCAAGGAGAAATTAGAAGACAAGTTATCCCCAGAGAGATCCATCAATCTGTTCTACTGTCTGAATGAACTGAACGACCAAACTCTGGTGAAAGAGATTCAGACACAATTAAGCCAAGGAAGTCTCTCCTCTAATGATCTTTCACCTGCTCAGTGGTCCGCTGTGGCCTTTGTGTTGTTGACTTCAGATGAGGAGATGGAGGAGTTTGAGCTTCAGAAATTCAAGAAATCAGACGAGTGTCTCTTTAGACTGCTGGAAGTGGTCAAAAACTCCAAAAGAGCCTTGTAAGTACTAAGTATCTAACTAAATAGTGCTGTAATCTGTTTAACTTGGGGATTGACAATTTGGCAGGATGTGATTTAGAGTTGGGATTAACATACAATTATGAGCCTACAGAACTAGAAAACAAATTAAAATCTAGATTTGCTTAAGACTTTGGTAGACCAGGTGCCAATTCACCAATCTGCCCATCTGTGCATGACACGTTTACATGTTAATATAAGGGTTGCTTCAGCATCCAGCTGTCTTATATCTTTCTTTTCTATGACAATTTCAAATAATTTTGTTTAGAAAAAAGTTAACCCTACAGAGAATTAATGTCTACTACAAAAAGAAACACAGACATTCCATCTTGCTACAAGCAATTCTTGATCAAGTTAGGCAAGACAGGGATTAATCCATGAGACATAATTTAAAAGTTTTTTTTTATTTTGTTTGCTTGCATGTTATTGAGTATCTGTCATGATCATTAGTGATCTAACCAGCATAGATTTCTGGAAAACATTCACATTTCACACGAACTACAATTCTGCCTCATAATGGACTACAGATCCAGTCATGCAACACACACACACACATGCCCCAAGTCTCCACTGATTAAACACAGCTGAAGCTGCTCATGGACTGATTCATGGACTATTTACACACAACACAGGCTCATTCTGAAAATGTAGTCCCGCTGACGTTTCTGCAGACCTCGAATTATGTAGCCAGAGGTACGTATAGCTGCATTTCTTTTTTTAAGCGAACGCTAAGGGGCGGTATGACGCCTTTCCTTTTGTCGCTTACTGCCTGACCGATACCTCCGTGTGGAGGGCTTTCCCACCGCAACCAGTTTGTCCAGTTAGCTTGTCGTGTATGTCGCTGGACTTGAGAAGCAGAGAGGTGTTGATCACGATGATGATGATGACTGGGTTCGCGTCCGGGGAAGGAAGGTTCCAAAAATCAGGTAAGACAAAAACAGAATTAAAAATATAAAATGAACTACTGAACAACAGGGTGAGAATGTGGTAAAATCCGAAAACGTTGTAAAAATCAGACGAGGGCTTTTCTTTTTCTGGATGGCTTTTGTAAAACGTCAGTTGGGTTTAGGGAAGTAAGCGGGTGGGTTGTTTGGTTGGCCAGTCACCCAGTTAATCATTTAGTCGGTTGACAGCGACCTCTGGTGGGTTCACGTGGAAACAAAGTAGGCGCGAATGACACTCGCGAGAGAAATTAGAGTTGCGAAAAACTGAACACAGTGGCCTCTTGCAGATTCGCGAAAACAAAAGCTGCAAAAGTACGTACCTCCCGAGATGTATATTGCGGTCTTCAGAAATGTCCACGGGACTACATTTTCAGAATGACCCTGGGCCTGAGTCTTTTTGAACTGTATGTGAACATTACAGCGGGTTTTCCTTGTCTTGTTTTGCCGTGTGTTTTGACCTTCGCCTTGTTTGTTTATGTACGTTGCCTGCTGCCTACCTGTTGAACTTCTGCCTGTTTAATTGACCACGACTCTGGATTGCCCGTATACATCTGTTTACTCCTGTGCTGACTGTTGCTTGCCTGACCATCTCTGTCTCAGTAAACCTGCATTTGGATCTGCACCCTTGTTGTCAGCGTCGCTTCACTGCTACAGAAGACTCAGCCATAAAGTGTGTGCTTGTGCTGTTTAAATAGTCTATGAATCAGTCCATGAGCAGCTTCAGCTGTGCCTAATCAGTGAAGACGTGGGGCAGGTGTGTGTGTGTTGCATGACTGGATCTGCAGTCCATTATAAGGCAGGATTGTAGTTTGTGTGAAATGTGAATGTTTTCCAGCGATCTATGTTGGTTAGATCGCTATAGTATCATAATGGGTAAAACTTGCAAGCCTTTCTTTTGTAGTAGTCAGATGCATTATTAATGAGGCATTAATTAGATTACATCTATTGCCTCTGACCAGTAAAGGAAGTGATACCTCTCTTCAACCATGCTGACACAGAAGTGGTGGTCAGTTGTCTGAAAGTTAAATGTAGAAAACCAATACAACACACAGTAAATCCTTTCTCCATAGGGGTTGCTGCATGCAACTTGTTTTTTTTTCTGATAAAGTGAAGTGTACTTTTACAATCTGATCAGCTGAATGGGTAAAGTTAAAGTAGAAATGCTGACAATTAGTTGTTTAATGGAGTTTCACTTCATCTGAGCAGAGATTGTATAATGCAATTCGATTGCATCAATAAAATGAAAATACATCAAGGTAGCCCACTTGGATACTTTGTTTATAAACAATGCAAAAAAATGTTTATTAATTCTATTGAGTGTTTGTATTCTGATATTTCTTTCTAGGTTAAATGCTTGTGAGTTAACAAACGAAAGCTGTTGTAGTATGTCTAATGCCCTCTCGTCAGAAAACAATCTGATAGAGCTGAACATGAGCAACAACGATCTGCAGGATTCAGGAGTGCAGCAGCTCTGCTCTGGACTGAAGAGTACAATGTGTAAATTGGAGATATTGGGGTAAGTTGTGTGACAACAGAAAATGCTGTGAATGTTTTAGATATTTTTGTAGTAATACAGGCAATGGATATTTTATTTTCCAGTTTTGTTTTAGTCAATTCATGTTTGTGATGATTGATTGTCCATTGTAGATATATCTCCCTGTGTGTATTTTTGTAAATCACATGACATGTTTTGTAGCACGATTCATATTGAAATACAAAGAGTATGAATCAATGGCTATTTTATTTTTCAGGCTCAGTAAATGTGGTATAACAGAGAAAACCTGTTCAGCTCTTGCTTCAGCTCTTAGTTCAGACTCCAGTAGTCTGAAGGATCTTGATCTGAGCAATAATAATCTGCAGGGTTCAGGAGTAAAGCTGCTCTCTGATAACCTGAAGGACAACTGTAAACTGGAGAAACTCAAGTGAGTTCATGTTTAACGTCTCTGGGTTATTAGTTTGAAAAAAAATCTAAATGTTTGTAGAAAATACAAAATTTGCAATATCTTTTCTTTTTTTCTGATAGTTGTCTCGTATAATATCTATAATGTCTTGTTAATTAGCAGAATGTAACTTTTTATTTCTTATTTTAGTCTTTTAGACTGCGGTATCAGTGAAGAAGGTTATGAAGCTCTGGCCACAGCCCTGGAATCAAAGCTTTCACACCTAACAGAGCTGGATCTCAGAGGAAATGATCCTGGTGAATCAGGAGTAAAGAAGCTCCTTGACAGTCTACAAAATCTAAATCGTGATCTCCAGTTGAGGTGGGATGTGGTGTAATAACACATAATAGCATGTAGTTTCATTTTTTGAACTCTTAGAAAAAATGGTATGAAATCTGTCATCAGGGGATTTTTTAAAGGCACATGTTTGTAATCAAGGAATCCATGCTGATATCTTTTAGGTACATGTTAGTACCTAAAGTATACAGTACATATTAGTCTTGCATGGCCAGACTTCAGACTGACACCTGAAGACAACCCATTATGTTATATGACAGACAGGTTAACCCACCAATCACTTCTTTTTGTGCTGCATCATGTTTAGAAGCATGGAAAGTCCACAGAATAACAGCCTGGTCAGCCTGCAACCGTACATCATTCATTAATATATTAATAAGAGCTGTCATCAATATGATCATCACAGCTTTTTTTATTCAATAAGACTTGTGTACATGCTGGCTGGTTAAGATTTCTGCACACTTGACTCCCACAAATGCTGCATATTTAAATCAGTCAGAGGATCTGCAAAAGTGTTTCCAGAAAACTGTACCATACACATCAGATGTTTAGCCACAGGTCTGTGGGTGGTGCTTGGTATGACATTTGAGGCTGAGACTTTAGCATATTAGCATCTAAAAAGGCCATACCCCCTGTATTTCTGAGATTGTAGACCTTTTATTTCAAGTAATACTTGTTCCATTACATTTAATCACACTATTCACACTTTCAATTACAATAAGGTCATACACCTGCTTTTGTCAGTTGATTTCAATTTCCTTTAACTTTTCTCCTGCAGATTTTTGCATCCTGATGCAGAGAAAGCCTTCTCAGATTTGACTCATATTCTCAATGAAAACCTGTTACTTTTGAGAAAGCTGAATCTGAGTGAACATTACCTAGTCGCTAAACTGAAGGAACTTGCTCCTCTTCTGGCAGATAAACACTGTAAAATAAACACACTGACGTAAGTCTCACCAATATGATGTTTCTTTTTTTATAAGTTTGATGATTGTATTACTTTGTGCATTTATTATTGTGCATTTATTATGTAGTGAAAGTAGTATCTAATATAAACTGAAATGTGGTTTTCTCTTTATGCAGTCTGAAGAGCAGCAGAATTACAGAAGACGACTGTTGTGTTCTGATATCAGCCTTGAATTCAAACCCTTCAAATCTGAAAGACCTGGATTTGAGTAAAACTAACCTCGGAGACTCTGGAATGAAGATATTTTCAACTTTATTTGAGAATAATAAGTGTAAACTGGAAAAGCTGAAGTAAGCAAATCTTAATAAACAATACGAACACACCATTGCAAACAAGTGCAATGTTCAATTGTGAATAAACATTACATGCATTGCTTGATTTTCTTTTTTTTTTTTCTATTTCTATAGTTTGAATAGTGTCAGTATTGGAGAAGCAGGTTGTGCCGCTCTGGCTTCAGCGTTTAATTCAAACCCCACAAAGCTGAAAGAGCTGGATCTGAGTAGGAACCAACTAGGAGACTCTGGAGTGACACAAATCTCTGCTCTGTTGCAAAATTCACAATGCGCTCTGCAGATACTCAGGTAAATAAGCAGAATTTAATATAAAGTTTATAAACAGTTCATATATTTAACGTTGTTTGTCTTACTTTAGTCTTTCAGACTGCAGTATCAGTGAAGAAGGTTATAAAGCTCTGGCTTCAGCTCTAAAATTAAACCCTTCACACCTGATAGAGCTGGATCTCAGAGGAAATGATCCTGGTGAATCCGGAGTAAAGGAGCTCTTTGACAGTCTACAAAATCTAAATCGGGATCTCCAGTTGAGGTGGGATGTGGTGTAATAACACATAATAGCATGTAGTTTGATTTTTAATTTTTAATTTTAATTTTTTTTGTCCTACAGGATCCTCTGTGTAAAGCAAATCTAAAGTCAGTTATGCTGAAAAAATAAATACATTTCTGTATCTAGTAAGACTTTTCTAGATTCAGTGAATCAATATTAGAGAACAGATTGATAATACAAAAATGATAAATAACTAGGTTTTAAAGGAAACATTGGTGTACAACAGGCATTCACCATTACACATCCACAACAATCTTTAAATTTCACAGTTTATTTGTCATACAGTAAAGTGCTCTATGCTGCTAGACAAGTAGATTAATTTGTCAGATGATTCTTAGATTTTTGATTTCACGGTTTTGATTTGTACGATAGTTCTTAATTGTCAAAACACCCCTCAAAATGCTTACAGATACAAGAACAAAGTGTATAAATGCGATTGACAAAACATGAGATTTTGTATTTATTTTTAACATGTAAATATTTCAGACTCCATATACAATGAACTTTACTCTCATTAGGATAACTTCAAGTAGAACTAATTTGCGACTTTAGGATAATTGAGTAGATTTGATCATTTAGTCAATAATAGGCTGTTCTCTAATTTTGGTCTCCACTGTAGAGTTAGATGCTGTTTTTCATTAAACCAAATTTAGTAGTGCACTGAATTTAATGTGACCTTCTGTTCTGCAGGTTTTTGAGTTCTGAAGCAGATAACGTGTGTCAGTTTGTGAAAAGAATTGTGGGTGAAAACCCGTTACTTCTGAAAGAACTGAATCTGAATGATCGTCAACTACGAGACACAACTGTGGATAAGCTTGCTGTTCTGCTGCAGGACAAACACTGTAAAATCAGTACACTGACGTGAGTATTGTATATTGTTGTGCATTTTGCAAGCTAAATGTAAATGCTTAAAGTCTAATCAAACAAAGTTCTTACTGTTCTTGAAAGAACTCAATGAAAGAATATTCGTTGAATCATGTAAATTTGTCCTTCAAGTATTGTAACATTTCATGTCTGTTTTTTTTCTCTGCAGTCTAAATATTACCAGGATTACAGAAGAAGATTGTGCTGCTTTGACTTCAGCATTTATTTTAAACTCTTCAAACCTAAAAGAGCTGAATCTGAGTGGAAATAAACTGGGAAGCCCAGGAATATCTAGGATCTGCCCACTGTTGGAAAATAGACAAAGTAGATTGGAGAAACTGAGGTTTGTATTTCCACCAGTTTCACTTATATCTGTTTATATTGTAGAGCTGTTGTAGCTTTGATTCTGATTTGCTGATATATAATTTGAGGTGTGCAGCTTTTTTCAGATAAACCAAACAGGTATTCACCGCAATAGATTTCCTTATCACTACATTGGATTATTTCCATTACACCAAAACTAAATAGAAGGCTTTGGATGTGTACAAAACTAGTCCTACACAAAAGAGCAGTTTGAGGACAATAACATGGAAGTATTTTTAAAATACAGAAGCCTAAATCAGTCATGTTGCTGGGTGGGCATTAGGACCCGTGAGAGGCTGTTAGTCGGCAGAGGCTGTAGTGCTACATGGGTAACTGTGTAATTTTCTGAGCAGTGTTGTTTACAGCGTTATTCTGTACTCACATTCACAGTTTCAAAGCAGTAATTCAAATCAGTTGATCTAAACCATGGTTGAAAGTTGTGTAACTTGTATAAGCAGAATAATTTACTACAGTCTGTGAAATTATTATTAGAAAATTAATCAAACCCAAGGTGTGATGGCCATCTGCTTTGCATAATGGTTGCTATATTTTCAAACAATTCAATGGCCAATCGTCAATTGTTTTTTACACATTTAAATATAACAATAAATATTGTAACTGAATGTAAAATATGTAAGTTTGTTTTAGTTTATGTAGTTTCAGTCAGTGACTTGTCAAAAATTTGATAAGGCCAGAACTTGACCATATGTGACCCAACAAAGAATAATCAGTGCTTTTGTTTTACAGATTGTCAGACTGCAGTATCAGTGAAGAAGGTTATAAAGCTCTGGCTTTAGCTCTGAGATCAAACCCTTCACACCTGATAGAGCTGGATCTCAGAGGAAATGATCCTGGACAATCAGGAGTGAAGGAGCTCACTAATTTATCACAGTACAGATGTAAAGCATTGACCATTAGGTGAGTAAAATAAACATGTATTATGATTCTACAATCAAATAAACAAATGTCTGTCTTGCTGCTAGGGGCTAAACGAACATAAAAGTCGACATCAAAAAATCTCAAGTTGAGTCAGTGTCATCTAGTTGCTGGTGATTTGCAGGAAAGGTATCTTCACATGCTGTTTGGCAGTATAATTTTAGTATGCAAAACAAGTGCATTGCCAACACTTCATTTTGATAAGAATGCAAAATTAGAAGGGGTTAATTTTAGTGCTAATAAAATGCAGTCAACACATTGATTACAGAACATTTTACTAGGAATGTAATAATAACAAATATTTTTAGTGCAAAAATAATGTATACATTGTCTGCACATAAAACACTGATTCATGGCAAGTCATTTCAAAACAGAATAACGCACGAAAGACAAAGGTTTATTACGTCGGAGTCCTGCTCAAATGTATATTTTACAGCTCAAGAGAGTTGTATTTAAAATAATTAGTTTACCGAAAACTTAAACTACCTACTTTCATGTTGTTCCAACCCCATTCTTTCACTAGTGCAGAGATGGTACAGCAAAAGAACCAAGAATCTTGTAAAAACATTCCATGTTTTTTCAATGGTTCAAGTGTAACACGAAGCTTCAAGAACATATTTGTGCAACAAAAAAATAAATAAATAACAACAACTGTAAATATACAAAACTTTTTCTCTTAGCTTCTCTTCTATGTCAGTTGAGAGTGTGCTGTGTTTATGAGCGCACCTTAATCTGATGTTGGTACCATACCTCTGGACTATTGTTTTCATAATTTCATAATTTTTATACTGCAATTTCTTTTGATTTAATAAAATATCTTCATTTGTGTTCTGAAGATTGGAATGACTTGAAGGTAAGTAAATAATTCAGACTTAAAAAAGAATTTTCATTTTTTGAGGAAAAATTTATTTCTGGGATGCCCTCTTTTACCCATTTGGTTAACCTACTGTTGTGTGCAAGGCTTCCATGTATGTCAAGTCAAAAAAACCTTGCGATATGTGTAGCGCAACCAGCTGACATCAGTCAAAAAGCGTTATGGCAGAGCATTAAAATCAACTAGTCTGTGCAACCCCTACTTGCTGCAAGTCTCTAAAGAAGATTACTTTTAATTTACATTTATAATATTTTTTTTCTTTAGGTTTTTGAAAAGTTCTGGTGCAGAAGAAGCATGTGATCATCTCACTAAAGTTCTGGGAATAAGTCCATTATTACTGACAGAATTGGATCTGAATGAAGATAAGTTAAAAGATCTGGATGGAGAGAAACTCTCTGCTCTTCTGATGGACTCTCATAGCAAAGTGGAGAAAATGAAGTAAGTTAGATGATTATACCAATTATAACTTCTTAGGGTTAGTTATATTGTGTTAGGGGTTCTTCCAATGAAGCAGACTCACAAATAAATGGTTTCTTTTTAAACAATGCAAACCAAAATAAAGAATTTGCCACACAAACATTTAATTAAACAATTAATTAAACGAATTAAACAAAAAGTAATAAATTTAACGAAAGTAAAGTGTCGCAGATGTTTTATATTTGATTTGGTCCCCAACTAAAACCCATCTAAAAACCACAAACCAAACCCTTTAAATTAACTGTACTCCACCATTTATGAAAGAGGTCATTCACACACAAATAAAAACAAATACAAAAAATCATTCAAAACAAAGAAATAAAATAAATGTTCATGTACAATAATCCTAGAAAATTAACTCTCGCTCACAGTTATTTGTCATTCCTTTGTGTACACTCATGCAAATAGACAGGAGCTACCTGCTATTTCTCTTGCATGCTTAAAGACAACATAAATGACCTAACTTAACGCATAAACAAGCAAAAATTAATCCACATTTACTAAAAGAAAAATAAATAAATACATAACACATATCAAAACAAATACCCTTATTGAATTAACATTTAAACCCTTTAAATATTGTTTTAAGTTTACAGCGCGGCTGGTTTAATGTCAAGGAATTACTGGAGCGTAGTGACTGAGACAGTGTAGACACTAAAACCAAATTGTGGATATGATGAACTATATAATATAAATAATATTTACATTTATATATGACCTCTGCCCTCGCATAGTGAAAGTATGCTGACTTAATATGTGTGCTGAATAATAAATAATGCTATTTTTGTGTTTAGGATGAATAATTGTGAGCTGACAGAGAAAAGCTGTTCAGTTCTAGCTACAGTTCTCTCCTCTAAAACCATCCTGAAAGAGCTGAACCTGAACAACAGTCGTCTGCTGGACTCAGGAGTCAGAGTGATCTGTGAGGGACTGAAGAATATTGTGTGTGAGCTGAAGATACTCAAGTCAGTGCATTTTACCACTAGGACCATTCAAGTCCTCACATTCACAGAATCGTTGTACAGTACATATGAGGTCCAAATTTCTGTACTGTTTGTAAATGTGGACATGATTCAAAGTACAGTCTTGTACTATCATTGTTTTTTATTTTACGCCCAGGCTGAATAAGTGTGGTCTAACAGAGGAAAGCTGTTCAGCTCTTGCTTCAGTTCTCAGATCAGACTCCAGCAGTCTGAAGGATCTTGACCTGAGCAATAATAATCTGCAGGATTCAGGAGTGAAGCTGCTCTCTGATGGACTGAAGGACAGTAAACTGGAGATACTCAGGTGAGTTCATGTTTAAAGTGCTATATAATTCAAGTAAGTTTGTCTTAAAGTTTTGTATGAAAATTGTATACATTTTTAAATAAAATTTTCATTCTGGTTCTAGTCTTTCAGACTGCAGTATCAGTGAAGAAGGTTATAAAGCTCTGGCTTCAGCTCTGAGATCAAACCCTTCACACCTGATAGAGCTGGATCTCAGAAGAAATGATCCTGGTGAATCAGGAGTGAAGGAGCTTCTTGATGTTCAGCAGGATAAACTAACAATAAAGTAAGACAAGAGGAAATAATTCTAAATATATATTAAACAAATAATAAAAAATAAAGCTTTTAACAAGAGTTGTTATTTCACAATATATTTAGCAAGACTCCTGAACTGCTTGATCTTTTCTGTCTACAGGTTTTTGAGTCCTGCTGCTGATGAAGTCTGTCAGTTCGTGACTAGAATTGTGGGTAAAAACCCATTACTCCAAAAAGAACTGAAGCTGAGCGAACTTACACTAGACTTTAATAAAGTCAGTCAGCTTGCTGCTCTAGTGCTTGATAAACACTGTAAACTGAGCTCAATTCAGTGAGTATTTCAAATGGTTTTAATATCTAGAAACGCTAATATGTTTTTTTTTTTCATAAGAAATGTCTTTACTCTTCACTAGCTGGGTAAGTAGGTGGTAAGTTTAACACTTGTGCTATGTGTTCTTCTACATGCAGTTATTTAGTAGTTTCACGGGTGTGTACAGAAATACAGAAGCTAAAGATGAAGATAAGATCTACAGTGTTTCATGGTGAAAGATAAAAAAAAAATTCACATCAAATATTGAACAAACACAATCATGATGATGATGATAATGAAAAGCCTATATTTGTCACATACACACATCTTTCTGTAGCTGTGTATGTGTGCGTAAGCCTGTAGAGTGTCTTTGGAACAGGGAGCAGCAATTAAGAGCATCTCGTTATCATGTTTTCCGGGGAAAGTTGTTTGTCTACAGCCAAGGCTGTCTGGCTGGAGAGTCATAGGGAAGTCGAAAAAAAAGATTTTCAATTTGGGCCAATATATGCCAATTTTGCAGATATGTAATGTTCATTACTGGTCTCCAGGTCTCCAAATCACCTTGTAACGCTGCAAATGTGTGGTCTAATGCCAGTCAGAGTACCAATAACCCTGCTTACTACCCTTTCAATCCAGCCAGCCAGCTTGGTGGGGTTGTGAGCCGCACTAATCATTTTTATTAATCGTTGATACTCCTGGGCCCCACCTTAGGCCATCAGCAGAAACCCTGTTATCAAAGTTCTGAATAGATAGATATCTTCAATATCCTCAGGGCACAAAGCGGCCAGGCACATGTCCCACCCGTCCATTATGTATACAGCTGAAAATTTCCCCACAGGACAGGTGGGTTCCCCCGAACCCAGACTTCTCACTGAGATCATGGTGTCAATTGAGTTCAGAGACCAGTTGATCAAATCCATAATTCCTTATTTGTTTGAAGAGCAGGGCAAGACGAGCCTCAGAGATAGAATAAGACAAAGCAAGAGGAGCCAGCCTGGAGAGATATGGGAGGGAGAGTAAAAAAAATGTGACCGCCTTTGCCAAGGGCCAAAGAAGAAGATACGATCAATGAGACTTGACAAAGAAGACATGAAAGACTAAATGAAAACTTATTAGTGAAAGTTAAAGAATAACAAAAATAAGAATTTACATAGGTTAAAGGTGGTAGAAATGAGGGCCTGGAGGAACCCTAATGGAGGTATGATTTGCAGCCTAGGTGACTGACCAATGCTGAGCCAGAGAGACAAGGGAGCCTGGCAAGGCTGATGAGCCATGGCACAGATGACAAAGCATGAAGCCAATGACTTTGCCAATGAGCCAATGAGTTTATAGTTTGGAACCAAACCAGTTGTAGCTTGTGGCTGAAGGTTTTCTAGAAAACCGTTAAAGCCAGGTGTTAAAGATGGAGGATTAGCAGAAGTACTGACAGAAACCAGAAGTGGCTAGGCTGGTGTCTGGACAGGAGGATTAGGCTAGATTCAGGAGGTCCTGAAGATTCAGGAGACTTGAATAGTCCAATCAAATCAAAAGATTAAGTCGACTCAAGAAATTCAAACAGTTTAGACTGGTCAAAAGATTTCACCAACTCAGGAGAATCAAACATTTTTGATTGTTCAAGAGATTTCACTGACTCAAAAGATCCAGTTTGTTAACCAGAAAATGTTTTTAGTAACTGGTTTAAGATGATCAGAATATTTCCTGTCTGTTTTTTTCTTCTTTAGACTGAATAATAACAGCATCACAGAAGAAGGTTGTGCTGCTTTGACTTCAGCATTTAATTCAAACCCTTCACACCTGATAGAGCTGGATCTGAGTGGAAATAAACTTGCAGATTCGGGAATGAAGAATATCTGTTGTCTGCTGCAAAATGTTCAGTGCAGATTGGAGAAAGTGAAGTGAGTATTTTCAGTCAAATATAATTTTATCTGTTAAATTATTTGTTAAAAGGTATGCATTTAATTTAACAACTCTACTTTTTAAATGTGCATCCTTAATAAAATGTATTAATTCAGATAAGACCAGAATTGATTAATTTAACAACATTGTCAAACACAGTTATTAAAGGTGCCCTACAGTGCATTAAGTTAAATTGTGATATCTACATACTGTAGGTGGTATGTGGCTTAGATAAGTAAAAGAATTCCCCAGAAACGGTGCTCATTTATAACCAAAAAAAAAAAAATATCCCTAAAATGACAAGTTCAGTTTTAACTATTTTTGGAACAGTCATAAATATAAAGGCAAATCGGGATTGAAAAACCTGTAGTGTGAACTAGGCATAACACAATATCTTTGTGGTTGTTTAATATTTAAAAACAACATTCACGTTTTATTTTGTTTATTTTCCATAGAACACACTCCAACATAACCAGAACATACCCAACATATGACTTTTTATTTTTCAGACTTTCACGCTGCAATATAACTGCAGAAGGTTATAAAGCTCTGGCCTCAGCTCTGAAATCAAACCCTTCACACCAGATAAAGCTGGATCTCACTGGAAATTATCCTGGACCATCAGGATTATCGTGGTTCTTTAAGTTATTTGTTGGTGATATGGGTATATTAAAGAACATCAGGTAATTACAGGATTTAATTATTTCCAAATAATACTGAATTGCAATTTAAAGATAATCAATACATCACACAACTGATTTTAACAAATTTGCTGCTGCTACTGACACATTGTAAAAAATAAATTGTCATCTGTCATTGCTTCCCCAATCTCGAAATTAGGTAGAGTCATCATACTTTGGAATTTAATCACACTGGACCCTGAATGATTGAATTAAAAAAGCAGAACAGTTGTAACTGTGATGTCACTGCAACAAAATGTTGTCATTTTCTCTCATTTCTGTAGCTTTCTAAGCAGTCCTGATGCAGTAGAAGCATATGATTACCTTACAGATGCTTTGGGCACCAATCCACTACTACTGACAGAACTGGATCTGAGCAAAGTGGCAAAAGACTACAACTGGGAGAAACTTTCTGCATTTTTGCTGGACTCTTGTTGCATAGTGGAGAAAATAAGGTGAGTGAATGTCATTTTAAACATTCATGTAAATTGCATACAAAATAGGGCCTAAGATGGATCATCGTGGCTCTCATTTAATTCTTTAATCTAACTGCCCCTCACTGACAAACAAAATAGTAAATGTTGGAAAAAAATTAAACCAGACCCATAATAAAGCCTGTCCAATAAAAGTCACAATGGTTTTCTCATATAAACGCTCTGCTGTTTTTAACGCAGTTCTTCCTGTTCATGTTTTTGGAAAACTAAATACTGTAGAGAGGTGCAGGAATGACATAAGAACCTAGAAGAATAATTCACCCATTGATTCCATTGAGATTTTCCTATGGGCTTTTCAATTATTAAGGTCTGTGGTTAACATTACTTGATGTTTTGAGTAATGCTCACATCTCAATAATTTTTATTTAGATCAGTGTTCAAGTCTTGTCATGTTATGTTTACCACAGACAGCGTTATATTCATTAATTTTAACCACCATTGTAAAATCTTAATGGAACCACCTGTTTAATGCATTTTTGTTTTGGGTTCTGATATAATCCCTGCACCTCTTCTCTGATGTTGTTTTTGTAATAGTATACAAAGCACTTGATAAAATGTTACTTTCAGTCATTTTTTTGTCACATGTGAGCAAATAAAGAATTGATAACCTGATGTCTGCTTAATAAATATTACTTTTTTTTTAAAAATTTTTTTTAGGCTAAATAATTGTGAGGTGACAAACAAAATGTGTTCAGTTCTTGCTACTGTTCTCTCCAAAAATAAACTCCTGAAAGAGATGGACCTGAACAGGAGCCCTCTGCTGGATTCAGGTGTCAAAAAGATCTGTGATGGACTGAAGAAATCTACGCTTAAAATACTGAAGTGAGTGCATTTACACATCTCAGATGAAACAGTATAGTAAACATTAACCATTATTTGTTCATTAAATATGCTCACATTTGGAAGCAAGCCCGTGTAAAATTTTTTTCACTTTCAGATTATATTCACTGCAGAAACACAATGCATTTTCAAAGGAACACTGCAGTGTTATCTCTAAATACAACACTAACAATATACCAGCACAGAATAAATTAAAAACAATAATTATCCTGTTTTTACATTTACACTTTACTACATTTCTGATGGTCATTAATGAATTATTAACTAGGAAATAAGTGAGAGTGGTACTATGAGTGGTATATCTAACATTTTTCCTCCAGTCTTTCAGACTGCAGTATTAGTGGAGAAGGTTATAAAGCTCTGGCTTCAGCTCTGAGATCAAACCCTTCACACCTGATAGAGCTGGATCTCAGAGGAAATGATCCTGGACAATCAGGAGTGAAGGAGCTCACTGATTTATCACAGTACAAATGTAAAACATTGAGCATCAGGTGAGTAAAATACATATTTATTATAATTGTACTTTTAGCAATTTGTTGAAATGCAGCAAAACTCTTCACTTAAGACATTAAGGTAGGTGCTATTAAAATAATGATGAGCAATACTTTTCAAACTAGTTTAAAACATAAAAATATAAATACAAAATTTGAATGAACTTAAGGACGTTCCACAAGCTTAAAAAATATTAAGAAGTAGTGATGTTTTAGGAAACCCTTCATTTTGAGTAGTCTTCGGGTAAGAGAAACAGGAATTAAACAAATAGAAGTCTCACTGTAAATATATATACAGTTGAAGTCAGAATTAATAGCCCCCTCTTCTTTTTTAAATATTTTCCAAATTATTAAAATTATTTTCCAAACAGAGCAAGGACGTTTTCACAGTATGTCTGATAATAAAGGAGAAAGTCTTAGTTTTATTTTGGCTAGAATAAAAGAAGTTTTTAATTTTTTAAACACCATTTTAGGGACAAAATTATTAGCCCCTTTAAGCTATAATTTTTCTCGATAGTCTACAGAACAAACTATTGTTATACAATAACTTGCCTAATTTCCCTAACCTGCCTAGTTAAACTAATTAACCTAGTTAAGCCTTTAAATGTTACTTTAAGCTGTATAGAAGTGTCTTGAAAAATATTTAGTAAAATATTATTTACTGTCATCATGCCAAAGAAAAAATAAACAAGGGGTCTAATAATTCAGGGGGGCTAATAATTCTGACTTCAACTATATATATATATATATATTTTTTTTTTTTTTTTTTTTTTTAAGCTACAAATGTAATTCAGTTAAGAGAAGTGAGTGAACGATGTAGGTTTATTAGATTGCAGACAGTTCATCATACACCATAAGACATCATACATATCTGACACATACTGTACATTTTTTTTAAACGGTAGCATTCAAAGAAATAACTGCACAATAATTTACATAGATCATCATTTCTACTTTGTTCAGTATTCAGCAACACTTTAGGAAATAATCACTATTTAATCACAGTCTTTTTTAATCACAGTACTTTTAATAGTGCACTTCAGACATTCTTCTAGCCTAAAGTAATTTTCCAACCGTCAACTTGCAGTCATTAGAGTGTTAGGCTACCTGCTTAATATCTGATGAACACTTTATTCTGTTGGAACCCCAACACTTAATATAATGGGTAGCTTTGTAACTACACCCAAGCTTATTTTACTAAGCCAAAGTCCCTTTCAAGGAAAGTCTGTTCACTCATCTACCAATATTTGCAACGCCTCCAGGTAGGTCGTCCACGACCAAAGTCCATATCTAGATGAATGGGGAAATACTAAAACCACAAAACCTGCTTACTGTACTCAGTTAAATGAGCTATTTCCAATCAACCACAAAATCTGAAGTGACCTGTTCTTTTACTTTTGTTGCTTAAATACTAAATAATTTAAAAACATAACCGATGGATGCAGTTAACAAAAGCTGAAAGAGTACTGACAAAACCCTTAGCAAAAACTGGAGGATGACACTGGAAATAGATTACATTTGATGGGCTAAGATTGTTTCTGTCAAAAGCTGGGCAAGTAGGCATTAGTTGGAAAATGAAAGGGAAACAAGTAAACCTGGACTAATCCCTCCACAAAAGTATAAAGATTGATTTTTAATCTGATTGGAATGTGGTGCTTACTTCACTCTGTTAGCCATACTGTGCCTTGTAATTTACCCTAGTAATGCAAATAAACTGTATTTGTATATCTGTAGTTTTTGACTAAGTCTGATCTTAAAACAAACTAAAACCCTAACAGTACAATAATTACATGTACTCTAACGAGAGTAAGTTGACTTATAGTTGAAAAGTTAAGTGTTAGGACTTAATATTTAGAATAAAAATTAAGTGTATCTAATCAGTTTTACCACTATATTGACCTGGATTTGGCAAAATAGAATGCAGAATAATACAAATAAAAAAAAACCCTGTTATCATGAATTACTTACAAGCATGAGTCTGTTGAAAAAGCTTTTCTGTTTCCTGTTAATTAATATATATATATATATATATATATATATATATATATATATATATATATATATATATATTAACAACAGTTCTGTCTGGTTTTCAAATCTGATTGGCTGGTAGCCGTGCGATATTCTGCAATATCAGAACTCCTACAGCCTCTTTACCCTTTGTGTATTACTTTGTGCCCACATACAGCCTGCAAAAAGCAGACACTACAGATCTAAAGTTTAAAAGATGCTTGCTCAACTGTTTTAACTGTCAGCTTATTGTTTGAATCCAATGTGGAAGAAAGTATTTCCACATACAAAAGGGTTTTTGAGACTCTCCATGTTTGATTTTGTTTTTATATACACAATTATGCCGTCAAACTGTTGTATAAACGCAATATCACACTCGTAGCAGTGCGATATGGCTGTATATTGGCACTGGTGGGGGAGGCGTGCGACGGCACAAGGCTGAGTGCCTTAGTGCCCCCACCTTGTGCCGTCGCACGCCTCCCACCAGTGCCGATATACAGCCATATCGCACTGCTACGAGTGTGATATTACTCATATATATATATATATATATATATATATATATATATATATATACAGTTGAAGTCAGAATTATTAGCCCCCTTTTGATTTTTTTCTTCTTTTTTAAATATTTTCCAAATGATTTTTAACAGAGCAAGGAATTTTTCACAGTATGTCTGATAATATTTTTTCTTCTGGAAAAGATCTTATTTGTTTTACTTCGGCTAGAATAAAAACAGTTATTAATTTTTTAAAAAACATTTTTGGGACAAAATTATAAGCCCCTTTAAGCAATTTTTTTTTCAATAATCTACAGAACAAACCATCATTTTACAATAACTTGCCTAATTACCTTAACCTGCGTAGTTTACCTAATTAACCTAGTTAAGCCTTTAAATGTCACTTTAAGCTCATAGAAGTGTCTTGAAAATATCCAGTAAAATATTATTTACAGTCATCATGGCAAAGATAAAATAAATCAGTTATTAAAAATACGTTTTTAAAAACTATTATGCTTAGAAATGTGCTGAAACAGTCCTCCCTCCATTAAACAGAAATTAGGGAAAAAAATAAACAGGGGCGCAAATAATTCAGCGGGGCTAATAATTCTGACTTCAACTGTATATATATATATATATATTTTTTTTTTTACTCTGTATTGACAGTAACATTATTTAGCCTGAATAAGAGAAATGGTTCAAACATGCTTGTAAAAAATAAAAAATAAAAAAGGTCTGCTAAGTTTAAACCATACAATTTTTTTGGTTTTAAAATGACAAAAATATAGTACTACAAGTTGGTACTTGGCCTTTATCATGCTTTTATAAGTTGTTTTAGGCAAATAAAAATAATTAAATCTAATGTCAAGTAATGTGTCACTATATGATCTGTCTCCAGGTTTTTTCAAGGTCCTGCTGAAGAAACTTATCAGTATTTGATTCGTGTCTTCAAACAAAATCCATTAATCTCAAAGGAGCTGAATCTGAATGCAACCAAACTAGACCTAGAAAAAGTGAATCAGCTTGCTGTTCTACTGCAGGATAAACACTTTAGAATCAACAGACTTCAGTGAGTATCTTTTTCATTTATTTTTGTAGATTTTAAGTAACTGTAAATAATCAAGTGACCAAAATGCAACATTTAAATGATCAATGAGTATTTTTGACATAACATAGTTTGTATTTGTAAATTCTGCCACTCTTGTTTAATACTTCAGGCTTAGTAAATGTGGTCTAACGAAGGAAAGCTGTTCAGTTCTTGCTTCAGTTCTCAGTTCAGACTCCAGCAGTCTGAAGGAACTTGATCTGAGCAATAATAATCTGCAGGATTCAGGAGTGAAGCAGCTCTGGAATGGATTAAAGAATAACAACTGCACACTGGAGAAACTTAAGTGAGTTCAGGGAAGCACTAACTTCAGGGTTCCCACACTTCTTAAAAGTACTTATGGATTAAAAGCCTTGAAAGTACTGTATACACAGCTCTTTGAAAATGCTTAAATTAAATTTGTTTATTGTGTTATTTTAACAATTGCACAGTGCTGCTGTCAGAAAAAGAAAAAAATCATAGTTTAAATATCTTAAATCTTAAATTTAAGTCATATACAAGAGCTAAGACAAATAATGCATTTTATCAGTATTTCATGAATTGCGTTTGAATATTACAAGTTTTGAATTCAACAAATTGTATGACTGTTTTTAAAGCTCTAAATTTTTGAAAATGACACATTCAAAACATCCTCATTATTCGGACATTTGTGACTATAAAGTGTAAGTAAAATGCTAAGTTCAATAAAGTTGCGCTACATACGCTGGTGGTGGGAATTACAAAGGTGCTTGATTAAAATTAATGGTGCATTAAAAGTTCTTAAATTGGCTGTTTGTGAAAGAGTGGGAGCCCTGTGACTTAAAGTACATTTTCTTTGTAAATTGCTTCAATAAACTAGAGGAAATTCATGGTTCTGTAAGCAGTGAATAATGTTTTTGTTTTCAGTCATTTTTAATTATACTTCAAATCTATTTCCTCTAGTCTTTCAGACTGCAGTATCAGTGAAGAAGGTTATAAAGCTCTGGCTTCAGCTCTGAGATCAAACCCTTCACACCTGATAGAGCTGGATCTCAGAGGGAATTATCCTGGACAAACGGGAGTGAAGGAGCTCACTGAGTTACTACAGGATCGATATACTAAATTGAAGACTCTCAGGTGAAACATGAAAAAAAATATGTATTTTCCAACTGATTATTTAAAACAGAAATGATACAATATGTTGTGTACAGTATAAATTGATTTTAGGATTTAAAAGCATTAAATAAAACTTTGTAATATAATTTTCATTAAGCCACACAAGGTCAGTGAACTGCATTCAGCTCTGCTTCTAATTTACAGGTTTTTAAGTCCTGATGCAGAAAAGGCTTGTAAGTATGTGCCTGGACTTGTTGGTAAAGATCCATTTCTCGTGAGAGAGCTGAGTCTGCGTGATCAAAAACTCGGAGACACAAACATCAATTATCTTGCTGCTCTGCTGCAGGATAAACACTGTAAACTCAACACAATTCAGTGAGTATATTACAGGGGTTACTGTTAAATATTTTACCAGTGTAGCTGTTGATGCTTATATGTCCTCATTTATCAGGACTGCAATAAACATCTACATTTAGAACATACAACATTACAATACAGGACAAGTAGTTATGAATGAACAAATAATGAACAATACATGTACAGCATTTATTAATCATATTCAGCATTCAAATCAAACTCTGTGCTTGTTAACATTAGTTATTGCACTTTGAGTTAACTTTAACTAACAATGAACAACTGCATTTAACATGAAAAAACATGAACATATACTTTAATAAATGTATTGTTCTTTGTTTGTTTGTTAGTAAAAACATTAACCATCATTAACTATGTGTCCTGTATTGTAAGGTGTAAGCTATATTGGTTTAACAAAAAGAACTGGCATCAATCTGTAAATAGTTGGCTAAATGAGACTAAAATTAAATAAAAGTATTCTGAATATATGTTACTCTGATCTACTTATTCTAATTGAAAATTATATTATGTCATTAGATCAGTCAAATGCTGACCAGATTTTTACTTTTTTGTGCTATCTAAACATTGTATACTCAAAATTCTGTAATATCCAGGGCCCAGTTTTTCAAAAGGTTCAATCTGGAGAAAATTGATCCGGATTTAGTAATCCTTTTTTTTTTTTTTTTTTTCGATCCGTGATCACGTAATCCAGTTTACCTTTTGAGCCAGATTTTCAAAGCAACATCGGATTAGATCAGTCTGATTCAGATAGCAAAGTTTCAGGATCACTAAATCTGCATAACCAGTGCTCAAACAGGATAGGAAATCACAATGTAGATTTATAGATATGTGAAGAGCAACTAGTAGAATAGTTAGTGTGGGGTCAATATAAGTTTATTTTTATTTGAAATGAAAACACACAAATTTAATAAAAACTAAGAACAAGAAAAACCCCACCCCATCCTCTTCCAGCAGTTTGCTCATCTGAGACCTACAATACAAACACTGTACATTGAGGATATTTATAACAAGTTTCAAATATGTATTGTAAAAAAAGACAAAAATAATTAATATTAATTTTCTTGTCAGCTTAGTCTCTTTATTAATCCGGGGTCGCCACAGCGGAATGAACTGCCAACTTATCCAGCAAGTTTTTTTTTACACAGCGGATGCCCTTACAGCTGTAACCCATCTCTGGGAAACATCCACACACATTCACACACACAATCATACACTATGGACAATTTAGCCTACCCAATTCACCTGTACTGCATGTCTTTGGACTGTGGGGGAAATCAGAGCACCCGGAGGAAACACACCTACATTTTTAAAAAGACTTAATGTCAAAAACACAATAATTTTAGACTTCCTCATCTGGTGTGGAGAGACAAGCTTGTCTGAGCGTAGCCTTTATGAGGCGGATCTCAAGTCTGGCCTTGGTTTACTGCAGTTTGGTCAGAGTCAGTTGTTTCTAGATGGAGCTGTGCTTCTGCCCTTTCAGTCTCTTTTTGCAATTGTTGAAAGTGATTTATAAAATCAGTGATTGCCATTCTTTGCAATTTCAATAGTCATTTTGGTTATTCTGTAATCATTGCATGCATCACATTTAAATATTCTAAAAACAAAAATCTAAAATATTCTAAAATAATGTATATATCAATTAGTGACACAATAAAATGTATTGTTTTTGGTCAATTTTGACAGCTGTTTGGGGGATTATTTTATGAGGCCAAACTCTTACTTTGCTGTAGGCCTATACTAAAAGGCTGAATACGTTAAAGCCTACCTAATTACTGTGACCTGACAGATAAACAAATACAATTAAAACCTTATGAATAAATAGGATATCTTTTAAGATACTGCATGATCCAAATATAGTATTATTTGATACATTTTGTTTCATTAAATTTTGGGCATGAAATCCATACTGAATCCACCCGTCTGATGAGATCCGTTTAATCCAGATTTTTTAGATCAAAATGATCCAAATCCCACAAAAAAGGTCTTAAAAACCCAAACTAAACATTTGATCTGGATCAAAACCAAGATTTTATTATGTGATCTAATCCGATCATGAAATCAGTTTTTTCTTCTTTTGAAAAACCCATTTTCAAAATTTGATCCAATCCGTTATCCAAAATCCTAGTGGATTTCTTTTGAAAAACTGGGCCCTGACATTTGTTTGCAACACTTTATCCGGTCATAGTGAATCTTGAGCTTTTTTTTCTGAGCTTTTTTTATTTTTTTTATTTTAGGCTGCTTAATTGCAGTATTACAGAGGAACAGTGCGTGTTCCTGTCTTCAGCTCTGAAGTCAAACCCGTCACACCTGAGAGAACTGAACCTCAGTGGGAATAAAATAAGAAACACAGGAGTGAATCTCTTATGTGACATACTGGAGGATTCACACTGTAAATTGGAGAGACTTAGGTGAGAAGCATTTACATACAAGAAACTCAATCATTAAAATCAATTCAGCTGTTTAAATCGAGACTGAATTCTCATTATCTTAAGATCTTTTGATTTATCTTCCTCTTTTGATGTGACTATTTTTTTCTGCTCTCTCCCTCTCTTTTTCTCTTAATGTAGTTTATGCAGCTGTTCTCTGACAGATGACTGTTGTTCTGCTGTGACTTCAGCTCTGAAATCAAACCCATCACACCTGAGAGAACTGAATCTCAGTGGGAATCAAATAGAAAACACAGGTGTGAATCTCTTATGTGAGTTACTGAAGGATTCACACTGTAAACTGGAGACACTGAGGTGAGAAACATTCACTTACAGCTTATCTGTTATAGTTTAGAAAATGGTAATAAAATGTGACAAACTAATTTAAACTGTGTAAATAATTTAATCTTGATAATAAATTATCAGAGAAGAAAGGAATCAGTCAAATATTATGCGACAACTGTCAGTATATTAACACCAGTGTTTGGTGTAATTGGCTAGAAAGTAACTATTTTTGTAATAAATTACTTATCTGATGAAAAAATAAAGTAAGAGATTAGTTTTTAGGTAATTTAATTACAGTTATTTATAACCAACAAATGCACATGCTTACGAAACAATCGATTTGTTACAGATAAATGACAGTATATGGTATGTATGAAGTGTGTCTTTACTTTGGCTGCGTTCACACTGCGAGGTTTAGTGCTCAAATCAGATTTTTTTTTCGCAGATCCTATTTTTTGCATAGCTGTTCACATTGTTGTTATAAATGTGGTCCTAAAATGATCCGCATACACAAAAGTACATTACGGACAGCACAGAATGTCTAATTATGCACACAATGAGTATACTGCATGAAGTAAGCACAGTGTCAGATTATGCTTTATTGCCCTTCTCACAGACAACCGTGGTGTATTTCAAGGTTGTTCTTCTACTACTTATGTGTATTTCACCATTTGAAACCTACTGTAAAATAAATCACTTGTGATTGAAAACACTGATCATTTGTGATTTATGACCAATGCAGTGTGTCTTTCTGACCTCCGGTGTAGTTAACTTATCAAGTTATTCCATTATAATTCGTTCTAAACAACAGGCACATGCAGAAGGGGGGTTTGGGTGCTTGAGCACCTGCCCTTTTTTTCTCTCAGAGAGAAAGTTCATCAAGTCCTCTCTCTTATGAGCATTGATCCCCTATCCGTAACAACCCCCGATGCTCTTCAGCTTTGCGATCAGCCCGTGCCTTATCCGTTAATCAAACTGGTTATCAAGCACAAGTTTTGCCTTACATTATTTTTTTTTCAAATAGAACAACCAACTTTCTGTGGTAACGTAATTGCCCTTTGTGCCATTTTACTATGCTGCTGAGGAGTAGATGTTTGCAGCACAGAATGATGTTGCATGTCGCTCAAAGATTATATAAAAGCACATGAAATCCTACATAACTGTTCACACTGCAGTCGCACTGCAAAACATCAGAAAGTGGCACAAATCTGAATTAAATAGATCAGATGTCATGCAGTTTGAGCTGTTAACACTCTCAAGACAAAGACAAATCCAAGTCACATGTGGGCATAAAAATCTGATTCGGGCCACATTTGCCTGCAGTGTGAACGTAGCCTTTGACACATTTTGGGCCCTATCATAGACCCCAATAAGGCGCAAGACGTGTAGGGCACGATTTGTTGCTATTTCAGACCAGCGCAATTGTCATTTTCATGTTTTGCACCACAATGTTTAAATAGCAAATCCATTTGCACCACTTTGTGGACTCATGGGTGTGCTGGTCTGAAAAGGAGGTATGTTATGGTGCATTGTTGGCACATTGCTATTTTGAAGAACTGAAATAGACCATGCCATTGACCAACTGAAAGTCAGTTAGTTACGCACCTATGCAGATGCAAAACCCGTACACATTGCTTAATACACCCAGGATGTACAGCAATACACAAATATCTTTATTTATGAAAAAAATGAATATTAAAATGTTACAAAACATTTATTTTCTATATGAATATAAAAACCACTACCTGCTCCCATGCCTTTGGGGGCTTTGGAATCCAGCTGTTTATTATAGCAAGTATGCATTACAATTTGCATTTGTATAATGCAATTATTATTATTATTAATAATATTATTATTTATTAGTATTTATGATGCTTATTTTTATTTGTTTTATTAAAAACAAGTTTAGATTTGTCCACCTGTCGGGTTTTATATGAGGCAATAGAAAGTGTGTTTGGATATAACTCAGTTTTTTGACCACACTTCGTTGTTATTGTTCGTTTGTCTGTTTGCTGGAAATAAGAACTGAATTTAGAATTAGTTTTGCTCTTAAAAAAAAATACGAAATTAAATATGTAGGCTAATAGATGTCTTCAGTGGAGTGAGTTTCCACCATTTACTTATCCTCGAAAACAAAGAAATAAAGTAAAGGAGTAAAGAGTAAAAGTAGAGAGAAAGTAAAGAGGCCGAATGGAGGGCCTCATTCTTTATCCTCGCGCTGCAGATGGTCTGTTTAAATGTTTTCTCGCTAGTGAAGCGTTCAGTTTTTCCTCTTACAAAGTGGAAATGTTTTTGCAGCATGCGTTATAGACCAAGCATGTAGTTCATTAAAATGGAGCCCTTTGTGTTTTGATACATGTTACTTTTAACTTTTTTTAAGTGTTACATTTTTAAAAAAAGCTAAAAAGCCATGTTTGACTATAAATTAAAAGTTCAATTTCTATAGTCTATGCATTGAGATATATAGTGGTTTTAAATTGTTTTGCAATAGTTAATTGAATTCTTTATTGAGAAACGAAATTCAGTCAAAGGGGTTAGAAGAGTATGTATAAATGTATATGCATACATTAATGTAGCCACGTTTCTCAACACTGGTCAACCTAAACAATCAATACTTTTAACAAAACCAGTCTTATCCACAGTAGCTGTTTCCATCCACCTATTTTTATGCACATTTTTTGGAATATTGCAAATATTTTATTTTAAAAAATTGACCTAAACTGTGATGGAAGAAAGAGCCTCACAGCTCCAAAAGCCACCATGAATAATTTATTACATAAGATAAAAGGCCCACAGTGGATTCTCCTACCACAGCAAATTCCTTTTTTCTGTTTTGATTTTTGGATGGGGAACAGTGCTGCATTTGCAAATATTTTATGTGATATTCCAGTTTTTTGCATAGGTTTTATTCGCATCTTGGAATGGAAAAGTAGCCAGTGTCAGCTTGTAGTCTCTGCTGTAAACCAGTTTATGCAAAATGAACTTCTATATTTTCAGCATATTATATATCTGCAGCTGCTTCATCACTTCCGGTTGTTTTTAACTGCACTGTGTGAAGTGGGTAAAGCAAAATAGTGTCTTGTACCCCTGTTAAAAAATATCAGAAGTTATATCTGCATTCTGAAATTTGTTTGGTTTCATTGTGACTGAACAGTCCATTTGTTTAATTTCTCTATAGGTTGAGGTGCTGTTCTCTGACAGATGAAGATTATAAAGATCTGGCTTCTGCTCTGAAAGAAAACCCATTACACCTGAGAGAACTGGACCTCAGTGAGAATAAACTAGGAGACTCTGGAATGGAAAAACTTTCTGATCTACTGAAGAACCTGCAGCACAAGCTGGAAAAACTACAGTAATTTTATGGAAATTTTACTAACTTAAAACAACAGAGCCCAGATTGCTGTGCATTAATAACTTAACATAACATGACTGATGATAGAGGTCTTTTACAGGACTTGCAAAACTTTTCATACATGTTACCCTGGATCACAAAACCAGTCATAAGTTAGATTTTTTTTTAGAAACTGAGATTTGTACATCAAAGAAAATCACTTTATTTTTGTCTAAATTCCATTCTTAGCATTACACATTACTAAACAAACATTTTGATAGATGCAATGCAATATAAGACTATAAGACAATATATTTTTAATTATAGGTAGTCATTATAGTTAATCAACATTGTCATTGTCATTGTTTTTTCTCTTTCTGTCTTCAGTCTTTATAATTGCAGTATTACAGAAAAACAGTGTAAGAGCCTGACTTCAGCTCTAAAATTAAACCCGTCACACCTGAGAGAACTGGACCTCAGTGGGAATGAAATAAAAAACAAAGGAGTGAATCTTTTATGTGACGTACTGAAGGATTCACACTGTAAACTGGAGACACTGAGGTGAGAAACATTCACCTTCAATCACATTCAATCAACATTCTTTAAACTAAGATTGCTCATTTCTATATCTAATGATGAAATAGTTGAGGATTTGTTTTACCACAACCTATTCACTAACTCTTTTCTGTTTGTCTTTCACTTTTTTTAGTCTGCATGACTGTGGCATCACAGATGTTTCTTCTTTAACTCAGTGTTTGATGAACACAAAAGCTCTGCAGTTTCTAAAAGAGCTTGATCTGAGTAAAAATAAGCTTGGAGATTCAAAGAAAGAGCTCAGTGAAATGATAAAAGTCTCAGACTGTAAACTGAGGTCAGTAAACAAACAGCATTTTCTTTGTGGTAATGAAACTATCATTAAGCTTTATTAAAACACAAGTAATTTAGCTAAGTTTTTTTTAAATCTGTATTTAATGCTGAAAGAAATCAGGGCTAATTAAGCTTCAGCAGCATATCCTCAATGTCTTGTTTTTTTCTGGACTCTAGTTGAGTTTTACTTTAGGATACTATATTCTTGTCATCTATTACATAAAATTGTACCAATCAGCATGTTTCACTTTTAAAGCGACTCAGTAGAAGTTAAAAGCTCTCAACCAAAAAAATGAACATATGTCATGTTTTAAATGTATTCTGTTTAAAACATTTAGAAATGTCTACTCAAAATAATGACTTTAAACTATATATATTTTTTGTGTAATATTTTACATGTACTTAAGCAAATGAAATGGAGCAACTACTTTGAAATGTCAAACTTCACACTAATCATTTTTCTCTCTTGATTCTTCCTTACAGACTAGGCAATGAAGAGGCTTCAAAACACACTGGTTTATGGAATTGGTTAACTTCCAGGTTTTAATCAGGTGAGATTCATCAAAATAAGACTCATTATAATATTGCATTTATGAGGAGAGATGAACATGAATTTGTAAAAACAAATGTGACTGAAAACCTACAGCATTATGAATTCAAAATCTGTTTGTTTGATATCAAATCTCAAGGCATAGTTTACCCTAAATGAAAATTCTGTTATCATTTCTTCACCCTTACTTGATTCAAACCTTTGAGGTTTTTTTCTTCAAAAATGTTGGAAACCTGTAACCATTGATCTCCGATAGCATTTGTTTTTCCTACTATGAAAATCAATGGTTAAAGGTTTTCTGCATTCATTCTTTAAATTATGCAAACTGCTATTCTTTTGTGTTCAACAGAAGAAACTCATAAAGATGTGCAAACGCTTGCCGTAGTGTAAATAAAGTGAGCAAATTTTCATTTCTGAGAAAACTATGCCTTTAATTTTGTTTAAAAAGTAAATATAATTACATGTATGCAGCTTGAAGAGGGTCAGACTTACAAAATAAATAATTCAGCAATAATAGAACCACAATTCTGTGTGTTACAGGTAGAATGAAACCGAACCAAGCCAGAGCTCAGGTGAGCCTGTCATCAGGAATAAGGGTAAAAAGTGGAGTCTAATAGAAGATACTAAAAACATGTATTTAATTCAAAATAATTGTTTTTTATACTTGTTCTCGTTTCTGCTTCTGCATGTCACAAATTCAGCTCTATATACAACTTTAAATGTATTTAAAAGCAGAATTCATCCAATTCCGGATTATTGAGTATGGCTTGAATTAAAATTGGGATATTTGTTTAATGCTCTAATAACATTTCTTCTATATAAAAAAAATGTAATTTACAGCTTTTAAATAAATAAAATTTACATTTTACAGATTTTGTACATTTGTTTTCATTTAAAATTCAAGATTAAAATGTAATAATTCCACCAAATGTTATTTTTAAATCACATTCATAGACCTTAGATTATTCATTTATTCATTTTCTTTTCGGTTTAGTCCCTTTATTAATTTGGGCTCACCACAGCGGAATGAACCGCCAACTTATCCAGCATATGTTTTACGCAGCGGATGCCCAGCTGCAACCCATACACTCGCATTCACACACAGATATTACGGACAATTGAGCTTACCCAATTTTCCTGTACCGCATGTCTTTGGACTTGTGGGGGAAACTGGAGCACTTGGAGGAAACCAACGCGGACATGGGGAGAACATGCAAACTCCACACAGAAACGCCAACTGACTCGGCTGAGGCTCGAACCAGGGACCTTCTTGCTGTGAGGTGTGACGCCTGGCCTTAGATTTTGCAACAAAAATAAGTCACTGTACAATAAAACCAAGTTTCAGAATACAACATTTTCTTCTTTGTCCTACAACAGCTGAAAAAATAATAAAATGCTGTGGTCTACACATGATGTAATGGCAAAAGATCAGTGCAAACTTCTACGTCACTTTATAAAGATCAATGTAATTAAGAAAGTCACAATTTGTATTAATAATTATTATTAACTTGTACAATTTTGTATAGCTTACTAGCCTAGCTGAGTGGTGGCTTTCTAGAGTGTTATGATATAATTATTATGATATAGTCACCTTAGGTAGGATAAGGTTCTATCTGCGTTCTGAATGATTTTGAAATATTGAGCTTCAAAGTTTTTGCATTCCATATAGCAAACAGTATGTGTGTAACATTTCTTTTTTTAAATTAAAAAGTCAAATTGTAAACAATTTATAAAAAAACATCCAATAATGTAAATAAGCTGTCATTTAATAAGAATATGTCAATAACTCAATTTTAACAAAAATGTCAGATAGAACCTTATAATTCTAAGGTGACGATATATTGGAGCAGAGATCACTGTGGGGCCACTTTAATTTCAAAACCATTTAAGCTAGATAAAACATCAAGGGAAGGAAGCAGGGTTAAGCTTTGTTGAGATAAGGTGGGTAGATTGGCAGTCTATGAATTAATGGAAAACTTGATGGAAGAAAATGAGAGTGAAGAACTGAATGAAAAGGAGAAACATGTCAAGACTGAAGAAAACTAATACATGTGCTGAAATGAAGGATTTTTTTCAAGAGAAACCAGAGGACAAACTAGGTTTTGAACTGCTTTATTTGTCAATGCAAACACACTAAAGTGTAAATAATGTGTAAACTTCAATTATTTACATCATTTGTGCTTGTTGTGCAGTAAATGAATTGCATGCAGTCATTCCAACATGGCTGTATACAAATAAATCATTTTAATAATTGAAAAATTGATGTAAAACCCATCAGGAGTAATGAAGCATGACAAACGAAAAACAAATTGCAAGAATTGATGAACAATAAACATCCTTCCAAGTTGCATCTAAAGCAAAATCTTTGTCTATAGGGTGGTTTTTCTTTGTCTATAAAAGGTTTTTGTCACAGACTCATTCACTGAACGCAGCTGCTGTTTTGACATTTTATATATATATATAACTATATTTCTTTTAAGCATATTGTGTTGAACTCAATTATATTTTTCATTAATATTACTATGAAAAAAACTGCTTTCTACTACTGTAGATTAGGATTTACTCTGGGTCTTGAATTGGTTTACTTGTTTGGGAAACCAAACCCTGGATGTCATATTTTATTTTCCAACATAGAAGTTTGTCCATTCACTCTCCTGTCCAGTGGGCGGCGGTATAAAAACCCTTCGGCGAAATCCCATTCCCAAAACCGAAACCGACTTACATGGTTGTTGCTAGAGCGGATACGTTTGCGGCCGGAAGTTAACGAGAAATATTTCTATTATTTATTAAATTTCTCATTTATTGTATTTTATTAACGTCTACCCCCACCCCAACCCTAAACCCAACCGTCACAGTAATGTAAAAACAGTTGTTGTACCGAGTATTAGTTATGATATCTATTAAATTACCCAATAAAATGTATTTTTTTAACGCCTACTCCCAACTCAACCCTAAACCCAACCATCACAGTACTGTAAAAATATTAATTATTGTTATACATTGTCATTAAAAAATGCTGCTTTATTAATGTGCATATCGCACTTCCGGCCGGCCGCATATCCGATCAACGTTAGACTGTGGTGGCGTAGATGCGTTAAGACCTTGCTAATTCAATTTTTTAACATATAAATTTACAGATATCGATTTAACATGGTGCATAGATTCGCAATCCATCTACAGCCAGTCGGACTTATTCTGCTGGAAACATGTTTGAGTTTGGACGTATTTTCTTCGTAATTAACAAAACTGCTGGTAAGAACGACTGTTTTCTCGAAGACGGTGGTAAAGGTCGTTAAATAGGCCTATCGTCAACGCGTAATCTGCATTTTTCATATGGGAAATGATTCAACTAATATAAAAGATGTGAAAATATGAAAATAATAATAAACTGCAGTAACTGAGTTCACTTTACCAACACAATGTTTTGTTAAAATGTCTCGTTATTTAAGAGTTTGTTTTTCGAGCCCAGTGTTAGTTAAACCTACAAAGTCATGTGAAACGACGAAGACCATTAAATTACAATGTTTGTTCTGGAACTCTACGCGATTTGTTCAATAAAAATATTTTCTTACCTGCAGTATTTGATCTCCTCCTCAGGCGAGCTCAGATTGAACTGGTGAAGGTTTACACAAGCCAGCGTTGATCTTCAGTATGTCAGAGATGGAAGGGGCCTCTCCTAAGATGAGTCTCCCAGAGAAACACCGGTCAGAGAATTAGTTGTCTCTTACAAAACCTTAAGCTTTGTTTGTCGAATGGTTTGTTAAAATGTTTACCAAAACAGCTTAACATATACTGTATGAACGCCGAATATACAGTATGAGCAATTGCATATACACAGCAAATAGACACAGCTAATATTTGAGCATTGTTTCAGTGCTTGAAACTTGTACACAAAGTATACTAAAATAAAGATATAAACAAGTAAAAAAAACAATAACAACAACAACAACAACAAAAAACGGATATCTACTCATGTGCAGTATACTGCTATCAAACACTGTTTACCTGGTCAGTTTAATGGTGAAGGAATTGATCGAGTAGGCCTATTGATGGAAGGTTTGCAAAGAAGGTTCATGCTAACTTGTAAAAGTATTTTGTTGTATTTTTAAAATGCAAAAATACAGTATTTTGTTGTGATACATATTTAAGCTACTGCATTTTGTAGTGTGTTGATACCATACACCTAAAATTGAAGTGTTTGTTTTTTTATTATAAATTACATTTCCCTTCATTCTTTGTGTCATCAGTATGAGATCAGGTTCACATGCACCCAGCTCTGTGTCTATGAAGAGTGATTGGTCAATGGAAAAACCACCAGACCTGACAAGTGAGGGGAAACCTGCATCTACCACAAGGTATTTCATGTGGTTTTTATTTTAGACTTTATCTGTTTTCCAACTGTGAAATAAGAACACAAATGTCTCTTGCTATATTAAACTCTAGAGTTTGATTCTAGTGAAGCATTTATACAGGCAGCCACAAGGGGTCTAAATTCACCAGTTCACCACAGGAAAACAGATCAGTCAACCTAACAGGAATATGTAATTTCTTTTATCTGTGGTCATAGTTTGACAAATGCACAACTGTACATGCATTTAATGATCATTTACAACATTAAACATCTCTTCACATGTTTCCAGCTTTTTGTCTCTGAAGAGTGACTGGTCGATGGAAAAACCACCAGACCTGACCTGTAAAAGAAAACTCATGTCTACCAAAAGGTATTTTATGATGTGTCTTGTTTTTGGTCTCCAGGGCTCCCACAGATCACAGATGTTGTCAAATATCATGGAATATTAAAAGGGATTTTCCAGACATTTAATTTTTTTCTATATTTGTTGTTGATTTTTATATGCATATTAAATTCAGTCTAAATTCCAGTGCAGATTTTTGTACGTTAGCACCCTGGGATTATACAGAAAAAAATATACATTTCCCTTGTTATTCTTTCTTTGCTCTAAATACAGTAGCTGTGCTGTCTTGTTAGTTAAATTGGGTTTTTGCTAAATGTTTGTGAATTAATTAAAGCTTGCAAAATTAAGTTTGCTGCCTGCTTTTCTGTACATTATAGGTCATGGAAATTCTAAATTAAGAAGCTCATGTAGATGGAGTTAGAAAATTATAAAAGCTGGAATTCTGTAATAACTTGCTTGCAAAAAAAAAACCAAAAAAAAAAACCTTTATTTATAATTATATCGAGATTCATGTTATGTCATAATTGGATTTGTTAAAGAGCCTCTATTGTGGGTTTTCAAAAATGAGCTTCCATGTAGTGTGTAACACAGATCTAAGTGAAGTGAAATATCCAGCTAAGGCTTAAGGGCCCTATCATACACCCGGCGCAGTGGGGCGCAAGACGTGGCGCAGTAGTCTTTTGGTAGTTTCAGCTTGGCGCAAGAGTCGTTTTGAGGCGTTGCGCTACGCTGTTTAAATAGCAAATGCATTAGCGCTAATTTGTGCGCTCATAGGCGTTCTGGTCTAAAAAGGAAGGCGTTCTGAGGCGGACCGCTGGCGAGTCGCTATTTTAAGAATCTATAATAGATTTTTCATTAGACCAAAACAAACCCGGTCTAAACTCTGGCGCAGAGTTGCGCCTCGCTTACACACTGCTTAATACGCACAAGAGAGCAATAGGCAAATATCTTTACATATGAAAAAATGTAAATATTAAGGATATATATTGGATATAATAAGAATAGACATAGAATATAAATATAAAGGATTAAAATATTACAAAACATTATTTTCTAGCCTACATAAATATGAAAAATCACTGCTTTTATGTCTTCATCTCGGGAGGCTTTTTCAGTTCATTCATAACAATTTGCTTTTGTATAATGTTATTATTATTATTAGCAGTATTATTTATTATATCCATATTTATTTTTGTTTTATTAAAAACAAGCTTAGGTTTGCCCACCTGTCAGGTTTTAGACCATATGGGGCAAAGCATGTGTTTTAGGATATAACTCAGGTTTTTGAGCACATTTTGCTATTATTATTCTTTTGTTCGTTTGCTGGAAATTAGAACTGAATTTAGAAATAGTTTTGAAACGAATATTTGCGCTTAACAAACAAAAGTATTTATTTAGACTAATTGATGTCTGTGCGTAAAGGTTTCCCTATCCAAGAGTGAAAGTGATCCATTATCTCTCATTCTCACGCAGTAGATGCTCTGTTTAACAGTTTTCTGTTAAAAAACTTTTAACTGTTAACTGTTTGCTTGTGAAATGCTAATTTTTTCCACTTAGACTCACTTTGAGTCCTGTAAATAGCGAATGCGCTCTTGGCGCAACGCAGCTGACTCTTAAAGGTAAAGGAAGATGAGACTCTAATTGGTTTATTCTCAAATCAAACCTACAACTCATTAAGAAAATGAACTCAACCCTTTTAGAACATGCGCCGCGGCGCAAGGCAGATTTCCCGTCGTAAAATTATCAAAAACACGTTCTGACACGCCCTGAAAGCGTTTGCGCCCTGCGTTTTGCGCTCTGCGCATGGACCGTCAAAAAAAAAGAGCACTATATCTGAAAGTGGACAGTTTTTAAAACTTTTGATTCATCTAAAAAGAGTCTACTCATAGTAGTTAGAATTAATCGTCTTCATAACGAGTCTTTAGCCGTTTCGGCTTGACGTAACTACGAAACATAATTGTTATGGGCGCAAACCCAGAAAAATTTAAACCTGCGCCCCGTCCACTAAAACAACCGCGAAGACAAACAGATCTTTGGGCAAAGTACAGGTAAGCCCTAAGAACATATAACACTTCACGCAAGGGGTGCCATAGCAATAATTGCAAATAGAAATGATCTAAATCAGGGGTTTTCAAACTGTGAGTCGCGACCCACTAATGAGTCGCACAGTGAACAAAGGTGGGTTGCGCAACGTCACATAGCTGCAGCTATTTACATTGCGGTGAATCAAAACCAGTATGATTGACGGCAATAACTCAAAAACCTCTTATTCTAAAAATATCTAAAGTGTGTTTACTACAAAAAGACAAAGCTGGTTATGTTTCACCGCTGTCTTTTTCTTTATTTTTTTTCGCTCAGCATTACAACCACGGCTATGTTTGAGGCCTTGCAATCTGCGTTTAGCCGGGAGAGCTCGCGCAGAGCGGAGCTCTATGTAAGGGACCGTCGGAAAAGTGCTTTTTTTTTTTTTTGCTCCTTGATGCGTGCTTTATTTTAAACACAACTAATTTTCTCTTAAATGACTATGACGGTCACGGGGTTATCGCGCGGGGCCGTCGGCCGGGGGCTTAACAAACCACGCTGGGCATTTGTCTAGCACTGGGCATTTGTCTAGCGATGATCGCTGTCGACCAATCGCAACAGGCTGTCATCGGTCCAATCAGCGCTGATTTGCTTCGCGCTAAAGAGGTGTTTGGGAACAAATGAATCAATGAACGATTCATATGGGAGTCGCTGGGATAATGGGGTAAAAATAAATGCATATTATAAGACCATGAAAGTGTTTTTTGACCTTGCATGCATATCAGTATGTTGTTGGAGATCAATATAACCGAAATATGACCCTTTTTCATGTATAATATGGACTCTTTAAAATATGTTAACAGGCTTTTATCTGAGACACAAGATTTCCAGGCTCACAAAAACCACAAGAATTTTACAGACAATCTTCAAGAGATTTTCAAGGTTTGAGATTGACACTTTTTTGAAAATTACATTTCTGGTTTATTTGTACAGTTTTCGTTTTATTTATCAAAAAATGTTAAATAAAAATTAATTATAATTATTTTTGTAATTATAAAATTGTTTAATTTTAATAATAATTAAAAATGTAATACAATTTTAAGCAATATTGTTGGATCTATATTTTTATGTACAACCCCAAATCAGAAAAGTTGGCACATTATGGAAAATGCAAATAAAAATAAGTAGTGGTGTCTTAACTTTGACTTTTATTGTACTGCAGACAATACAACAAAAATATTTAACTTGCTCCTCATGATTTTTATAGTTTAAAAGTAATGAATTTATCGTTCTAAATGTTCAATTTAATAAAAGAATACTAACTTTTATTTTACAACTATTTTCTTGTACTGCAGACTATATTTATCTCAGTGTTTGCTTGCTTGAGTAGGTGTGTAAGAGATAGATGTTTTGCAAGTTTTGTGAGAACATTTTGGCCAGAAAAACATGTTGCTCTCCATAAACTATATGGGTGATTCTATAGTTGCAGGTACATTTAATGACCAAAGCCATCTTTTTTCAGCGTTAAAAAATGTTTCATAGATCACAACATGTTACAATAAAATATTCTGTGTAAAAATTATCCTAAATTACCAAAACAAAATCATGATTGCTTAATTATCACGTAATCAAAATATTTTATTTAGATTTAAAAAAATATTTTCACCAATATTTTAAAGAATCGATACTGTAAATACTGTTTCTACGTTTTAAAAGTAAAACTGAATATTTCATTAATTACACATTGGACAATTAAAAAATATTTTAATCCTAATTTCATTAGTGTCATGTGAGCATTTATAGGAAGTAGAATGTTTGGCTAAAAAGTTACTACAATTTATCAACTACCCATAAAGATTTTTCATGCTACAATTTATTATGATTTTTTACGTATTACTAAATTCATCCATTACAGAGTTGACAAACAATATATATAAAAAACATTTTATTCCCTAAAAGTAAAACATGAATGAAAAATGAATATAATAATATTTACAACTGAAGTGTTTTCTTAATGCTGGAATTTCCAACTTCGTGATGATACCTTGATAAATATCAACATTCCATAACAAATTCCATATTATGTGATGTAAAAATAATCTTGATATTATTATTAATTATTATTTAATGCACCAGAGCCAATGTGGACATTATTACTTTTTTAAACTAATATAAACTCATTTTTGAATAGCACATTTTTGCATATTAGCCTACTTGTTAGTGTTAAATAGCTAATACATTACCATTTATAGCCCTTAAAAACATTTTAAGCATTTATTTCATATTTAACATGCTTTAATCGACCTGATCGCTAAAGCATCTTGAATTCTCAATAGTCATTATTGAATCCTGAATTTTCAATATTTCACTGCTGTTAAGCACAATAGTTAACAGTAACAGTTTAACACATCTAGAGTGTATGTTTTTGACATTTTTTCCTTGTCAGCTAAAAAGTCCAATAACTGAAGGAGATCACATATAATAATTTGAGAGGTGTAAAGTGAAAAAAAGGACAACTCTTCAATCGACAGCACTTTACACGGCTGTGTTATTTAATTAATGGAATCAGTGATATTGATATTAGCTTAGTTATTAAACATTCAATATTGTTTATAGCATGTGACAGCAAAGTGAAAGCAAGATTATGTGTGGTTATGTATCGAAATATTGATATTTTCGACACAAACTGCAAGAAAACCAGGCCCAATACATCTCCCGATTATCCTACACGGTACAGCTGAACTGTTTGCTTTCTTTAAGACTTTCTATTGTATGAGTTACGATTGCATGAAATGATAGAGAAAGGGAAGTGCGTTTTGTAATGTGCACAGAAATCTGTGCTCTATGCTGAATTTGGTTCTTTTTCATTTAATGCAGCTTGAATAGTTTAAAATTAATAAAACTGAATACTTTAATCAAGATTGTAAATGAACCTGGCATGCCATGTTTTTAAAGATTAAGGTCACATTGTAGCTATGCTGTTTTCTCGGTTATTCTCAGACTATCATTCTGTGGTAATTTTTTGGACTTGAGTTTAAGCCGACAAAAGACTTTAGCTGTGTTGGCTTCTGGTTTCATGGCACACTAAACTTAACTGAACTCTTCCCGAAAAGAAAAGAAAAGAAAGAAAAGTAATGAAGATGGCAGTGTTTGGCTGTGCTGTTATCCCATCTTCCCATCTGCTCGCTGGATCTGAAGAGTAGCTGTCCTGAGCTGGAACAAGGCTTGGGACTAACCATGGTAGACTGTATTTACTGGGCCACTGGGGTGGTTTTTGGTGGGCCATTTGGTTATCCTGCGTATTTAACGCAAGTTGAGGTGTCTCCTTGGAGTGTGGGGCTGTTCTATCATCATTTTGATGATGATCTGTTGGTTTTTAATGTATGAGTCTCAGGAAGGAATTAATTGTTTCTGGAAGAAAACTTTGTTTAAACCATTTGTTCAGGTGTTAACTTGGATGTTGACTGGGCCTTGTTCTTGATACAATTATCACGTGTGCGTGAATTGATACTCTAAACAGCAACAAAGGCAATGCATAGTCTTGGAAGACTCTGTGGCGACTTTGTCCCAAAATTATGTGGTGTTGATTTGTTGTTGTGATCAAAGGGACGCATAGTGTTAAATTCTTTTGCCAAATGTGTACACCGTTATTACAATATTGTACTCCAAAATCTCTATGTACCTTTTAGCAATAATGGTGTCATCACGGAAGTCCAATTTATCTTTGCTAAGGGCACTGACACAACATACCACGACAGACCCTGGCTTTTAAACTTGTTGCTAGTAACAGTCTGTATGATCCTTTTCTTCGTTGGTCCAGAGCACACGGTGTCCATTTCTTCCAAAAAATAAAACATAAATAAAAATTACCTGAAAAGTGATTCATCTGACCACAGTACACGTTTTCACTGTGATGCTTCATCCCAGATGCCTCTGAGCTGAGAGAAGTCGACAGCACTTCTGGACACTGTTTACATAGCTTTCTTTTGGCACAGTACAGCTTTAACTGGCATTTGTGGATGTAACTACATATTGTGGTACTTGACAAAGGTTTGCCAAAGTAGTTCTGAGCCCCTCTGGTGATTTTGCCTATAGATGAATGATGATTCTTGATGCAGTGCTGGCTGCAGGATTGGAGATCCTAGTTGTTCAGCTTGGCCTTGTGACCTTGTCCTTTATGCCCTGAAATTCCTCCATATTTCTTGAATCTTTTAATTATGTTACGCACTGTTGAAGTGTATCCAAATGTGAAATATCCAAATGTCTTCCGATCTTTCTTTGAGAAACATTTTCTCATGTATTTGTTGCCAAACTGGTGATCCTCTATCCATCTTTGCTCCTAAAGGACCAGACCTTTCTTGGATGCTGCTTTTGTACCAAATCATAATTACAATCACCTGTTGACATCGCCTGTTTCAAATCACATCACTATTTAACCATTTTACATGATTATCAGTCCTAAACAGCTTCTGTCCCAACGTTTTTTGTAAAAATGTGTTGCAAGAACCTAATTTAAAATACATGTTATTTTTAAAAAAACAAATAAGTTAAATTTGGAAATCAATACTTTTTTATTTGCATTTCCATACTGTCCTAACTTTTTGTCATTTGGGGTTGTAGATGTACACTTTTTGTTACAAATTTGTCTATTTCTTTGCTTTGTAGAATCTGGAAAGCCAAATAATCTCATTCCTTACCAACGAGTTTGAAATGTTTAAAAAAATATTACTAAGAGTAAACACAAATAATTTTGTAAAGGATTTTAATGAGAACAGATGCAGCATCAGAGAAGCAGCTCTTGATCTCACACTCTACTTCCTGAGAGAAATGAAGCAAGATGAAGCTGCAGATACTCTAGAAGGTGAGAGACTCACTGTCGTAATGTCAATTATAAAATGTCAAAGAGAACAATGAAAATTGACACTATATTCCTCTGTGTGTAGATGAGCTGTTCTTCATTCATCAGCTGAAATGTGGCCTACAGAAGAAGTATCAGTGTGTGTTTGAAGGAATTGCACAGCAAGGAGACTCCACACTCCTGAAGAACATCTACACAGATCTCTATATCACTCAGGGTGGCAGTGAACAGGTCAATACTAAACATGAGGTCAGACAGATTGAAGTTACTTCTAGACACCATGAAGCTCAAGAGATACAGGTTGAATGCAGACATTTGTTTGAAGCGTCTGAACAAGACAAGCAGATCAGAACTGTACTGACAAAAGGAGTCGCTGGCATCGGGAAATCAGTCTCTGTGCAAAAGTTTGTTCTGGATTGGGCTGAAGGAAAGGAAAATCAAGAGATCAGCTTCATATTTCCTCTTCCATTCAGAGAGATGAACTTAAAGGAGAAAGAAACACTCAGTTTGATGGAGCTTATAACTCAGTTTTACCCAGAGACAAAAGGACTGAACCTTACAAGAAGGAATCGATTCAAAGTCCTGTTCATCCTTGATGGATTGGATGAATGTCGTCTTCCTCTGAACTTTGCTGGTAATGAGACGTGTTGTGATGTTTCGTCACCAGTCTCTCTGGATGTTCTCCTGACGAATCTCATCAAGGGAAATCTGCTTCCTTCTGCTCTCATCTGGATCACCAGCAGACCAGCAGCTGCCAGTAAGATTCCTCCTGACTGTATCGACAGAGTGACAGAAGTTAGAGGATTCAATGATGAACAAAAGGTCGAGTACTTCAGAAAAAGACTCACAGATGAGAATCAGGCCAAAGAAATCATTGATCATGTTAAACAATCAAAGAGTCTCTTCATCATGTGCCACATCCCAGTCTTCTGCTGGATTTCAGCCACTGTTCTCCAGAACTTTTTACAGGAGAAGAGAAATAATGATGTGAAACACAATCAGGCTGATTCCAAAACACTGCAGGAATCAAACACTGAAGACACTCCCAAGACTCTGACACAGATGTACACACACTTTCTGCGCTTTCAGATCCAGCAGAGCAGACGAAAGTATGATGGAGAAAACACACCAGATGTGTCCTGGGATAAAGACGCCATCCTTTCACTGGGGAAACTGGCATTTCAGCAGCTGCTAAACAGCAACCTGATCTTCTATGACACAGACCTGGAAGCCTGTGGTATTGACGTCTATAAGGCCTCAGTTTACTCAGGCATGTGTACCCAGATCTTTAAGAAGGAAACAGGGATTGTTCTTGGTACCATGTACTGCTTTGTTCACTTGAGCGTTCAAGAGTTTATTGCAGCCCTTTATGCACATCTGATTCTAGACATCAACAAGAAAAGTGTGTTTGATCAAGACTCTAGAAACAGAAATGAGTCCATGATTGATTTGCTGAAGACTGCAGTGGACAAGGCACTTGAGAGTGACAATGGACACCTGGACCTTTTCCTTCGCTTTCTTCTTGGTCTGTCTCTCCAGTCAAATCGGCGACTCTTACGAGGTCTGTTTGCACAGCACGACCACAATAACAAATGGAACATATGGAGCATATGGAAAATATTTCAGTACTTCTTTAGAACAGCAGATCAGCAGCAAGACCACAATGACCTTAGCAAAGAGGAAATAGTTCAGTACCTCAAGCAGAAGTTTGAAGCGAATCTTTCTCCAGAGAGATCCATCAATCTGTTCTACTGTCTGAATGAACTGAACGACCAAACTCTGGTGAAAGAAATTCAGACTCGCCTTAGTAAAGGAAGTCTCTCATCTGCTGATCTTTCACCTGCCCAGTGGTCTGCTTTGGCCTTTGTGTTGTTGACATCAGAGGAGGAGATGGAGGAGTTTGAGCTCCAGAAATTCAAGAAATCAGACGAGTGTCTCATCAGACTATCAGCAGTCATCAAAACCTCCAAAAGAGCTCTGTAAGTCAGTCAATTTAAATGCAAATTTTCATTTACCTAGTTAAAACCTAACAGACAAATGCTTTTCAGCTTTGGCTAAAGTTCTTTGATCAGATAGCAGTCTTAAAGACCAGGGTCCTCATGTAAATGTGCGTACGCAGTAAAAAAATCAGATGTATGAAACACTGCATACGCCGAATCACACGCATATTCTCTTTGTACATCCGCATGAACGTGATACTGAGCGCAACATGCACGAGCACAAAACCCCTCCCTGTCTCCTCCCCCTTATGAATATGCTAATGAGTCTACTTTGGCTAAACTCAAACGAAAAAGCAATGGTAAAAGCAAGCAAAAAGAGAAACTTTGAACTGAATGTGAATTGAAGGTGCTCCTTTCGGAGGTAGACCAGAGGAAAATGGTGTTATTTGCAAGTTTGTCCTCCGAAATTAATAACAAAAGAAAAAAAAAATAGAGTGGGAGTGTTTAGCTAATGCCGTTAACACAGTTGGGTCTGAACATCACACTTAGTGGATTAAAAAAAGAAATAGTGCGGTGTAAAGATTTACACCGCAAGGTGCAAAGATCAGTGAAAAATTTGAAGTGGCTTTAACAGCGTGTGGCATAGCTCATAAAATGCATGCCAACATGTTTTGACACGTTCGAGCATGAACTCGGTGGTTTGAATCTGGCATCTAATAAACTCATTCTTTTTTTCCCCCCGCTACATATCAGATTTTGCCTATACTCTTCATCACGAGGAAGACAAGTATGAATCATTAATAAGTCTGTGCATCATATTTTATTTGCACATTTAGTGAATGGAAATGTTTTTTATTCACGTATGCAAAATCATCCTAAGATTGTGTCTTTATAGCAATGTGCGTGCAGTAGTTAGCTCTGATTACATTGGGGAAAATGGCGACCGCTGCAAATTGCGCTTTAATGTTTGGCTGGTCAACTGCATGGTATGGAAACCTTATATACCTGCTAGACATGTGGATGAACCCGTCTCATACACCTGACATTGCACGGCTCAAAGACACTTTGTAGTGTGTAATTTAACACAACTGCCTCTAGGAGTCGCCAATGGAAATAAGACAGACACACACAAGAAATGCACGTACATCAGGCATGAAGCTGGCGTGGAGCTGCGCACATTCACACATTTATTTCATCGTTAGTAAATCCAAACATGAGCGTGAAACCTGACGTACACAAAGTTTTTGTGTGTACACAGCGTTGACACATAAGGCCCCAGGACAGGAGCAATGATAATCTACAGCAGGGGTGTCCAAACTTTTTGGGCCGAGGGCCAGATGCAAAACAAAAAAAAAAAAAAAAACGTCCCGGGCCAAATTTTACATACATCACACAGATTCGCATATATATATATATATATATATATATATATATATATATATATATATATATATATATATATATATATATATATATTAGGGGTGTAACGATACACAAAAGGCACGGTTCGGTTCACGGTTTTGGAGCCACGGTTCGGTACGGTTCGATTTCTGTTTGCTGTGGGGTTAGGGTTGATGTCATGCTAACAGCAATGCTAAGGGACAATTCACTTAATAACAAGAACATCTTACCTTTTTCTTTATTAACTTTGTCATCACATTTTTAGTACAGTCAGGATACCCGAGTAAACAACTAGAATTAAATAAATACCTCCAATATAGACTAGTCAGAAAAAAAAAACTATTCTCTTTAGTGCAGCCATCTTAACTAAGTAAACTAAAATTAAATAAATAACTGCAGTGTAGACTAGTGAAAGATCTTCTTCAAAAACACCATAATATCCACATTCTCTGATAAGAGGCTTGATCTCTGTGCTGACACAGACGCTCATTTTTGATAATATGGTTTCATTTAGATAGATAGGTTTCTGTTTAAATTAATGAAAAATATACATATACTGTGTTTGTAAAGTGTTTTTACATGACATATTCACCAGTAAAATGCATTGCAGTTGTGTCTGAAACTAATGTTAGGGTTGTAGCCGGCTGTATGTTTGCCTCCCGATCTCTCTCTCTCTCTCTCTCTCTCTCTCTCCCGCTCCCTCTATGCTGGTCATTTATGTAGGTCCGCCTTCACGACAGCTGATGCCTGTCATTTCTGTAGGCCCGCCTTTTTGACAGCTGATTGGTCAGGAGACCGATCTATCATCATTTGGCGACGCAGCGCGGGAATGTAAGAAGCATGTCAGGAAGAGCGGGAGAGAGAGCGCTTTTTCCTTTGATCTCGTTTTTCGTGTATTTTTCTGACATGATTATTATTTTCGTTGTTTTTGCTTAACTTTCGTTTGGGTAAAATTATTTTGCATTACTTTTGCCCACTTTAAGAAATTTTGTGAGGTTTGTACATTTTTATTTCAATTGATTTGTATATTATTTTTTAGCTCCGACAATATAGCTGTATCTCCTCAAGTTCAGTCTTAGTGTAAGGTGGATAGGGAAAATGTCATACGATTTCTATTTTGCAAACGCGTAGAAAATGTATTGTTAAAGACATCAGGTAAGAGGTGAAGGTCATCTTTGTTTATTTTATTCAGTATAGGGAAGAATTGGCGCACGGCGCTGAAGACCTTTTTTTTCTTTTCATCAGTTTTAGCGAGGTAAGAGGGGTTATTCATGAGTTAGAATTGTTTTATTATATTTATTTCTTTTGTTTGTCTTCACTATCACCCCCTTGCTCGAGTTTAACAAATTTTTGTTTGATACTTTTGTTTGAATTTGTTACTTTATTATATTATTTTTATTAGTGTAAATATTTCTCTTTTTTTGTATAATTGGGCATTATTCTGGTTTTACTTTTGTACATTAAATCACTTTTGTTGGCAGTTCTGTTGCTTACACCCTCACATTGTGAAATTACCACACTTTTTAAATGTTTTTCCTTACAAGTAAGGCTTTGTCTATGACACTAATTCTATTCCTGTACTCAACTGGAAAACCAAAATGTTTCCACACAGATGACTTAAATGTGTCTGGGGGATCTGCAATCTCAGTACTATGTGAAGCAGCCATCCTGCTTCCAGTAGTAACGAGTGTGATGCTTACTCAAGTCACATGACATGACATGCACTAATATACTAACTTTAGAATATAATATTTAGAACAAATCCTCATCATTACTAAAACAATTTAATAAAATATGATAATAAAGATGTGTTTAAATTGGTTCAATTAGTAAGAGACAAGTGACATCAACCTCAACAATGGGCAGCAGGGGGCGTGAGAGTACCGCGGTACGCCACGAGAGTTTCGCGATACGTATCGTGGTAGGTGTATCGCGATATTTCGGTTCGGTTTTAATATCGTATATGTATATACATATACATATGTGTGTGTGTGTGTGTGTGTGCGTGTATATGTGTGTGTGTGTGTGTGTGTGTATTATGGAATTATTTTAATTATTTCTGTGTTTCTAAAAAGACTTACGTTTTTAAAATCTTGAATCTTCTCAAGGCAAATTACAGTTGCAACACTCATCAGACACTCCTATACAAATTCTCCTTCAGTGAAGGGTTCGCTGTGCATAACTAGCCAGCGTAGAATTTTCTTGCTCTTTATTAGCATGAAAAAACTGCTGTTGTTGAGCTGATACAGCAGCTGCTAATTGTTTTACTTTCCGATCTAATTCGGCACCAGTGTAAAAGCTGAAGGCCTGATGTTTTGTTTCATAATGTCTTTTAATATTATATTATTTCATTACTGCAACTGATTCCTGGCAAATTAAACAGACACATATTCCGCTGACCTGTGTGTAGAAATATTCTTTGCCCCAACGTGACTAAAATTCCTGCTCTCACTGTTGAATTTCCTTTTTCTTGGTTGTACCATGGCTCGCCAAAACGTGATTATCAATTATGTTTCCTTTAGTTTGTTCGGTTCGTTTTGCTTCATTACAGGAACCGCTGCCTAATTGAAGGTGTCATAGCGACACCCGGGGGCCAGATTCTATTAATATTTATAAAAAGCCTTTATAAAAAGGCCGTAGTTTGGACACCCCTGATCTACAGGATTCAGGAGTAAAGCTGCTCTTCACTAGACTAAAGCTTAAAGGGTCACGAAACACCAAAACACATTTTTTGAGCTGTTGACAGTCACATATGTGTCCCACACTGCTAAAAACACTATTAGGACAAAGTGAAAAAAATTGGTTGTTTTTGCATTATTTCGAGCAAATTCGTTCTTCCAGTTTAAAACAAATTTTTTAAACTGCATCATGGCGATTAGATACTTGCATGTAGACTGGCTGTCTGTACCTGGGAGTACCTTGTGACGTGTCTGAGTGTGCTGCATTCATTCATGAGTAATGCTTGGTTTAATCCAATCAGCGCTCTCTATTGTGTATGCGGTGCAACTTCATTAATAGCATGATAGCCTCCAAGACTGTTTTTACCTGTACAGTGTTCAGATGGCAGAGAAATGTTGTGTTGTGTTGCCAAAACAAGTGGAAGAAGAAGAATTGTTTGGAGATACGGGTCGTCAGTGTTGCTTTTATAATTTGCTGCAAGGAAGGTTTTATTTTATTTCCCGCTATGAGAGCGCAGCTGGACTCACGTGTGGATAACAGCACATGCGACGCGTGACAAAAGTACATGTCTAAGGAACATTGTTTACCCGAGAGCTTTTCTCATCTGGAAATGGTGAAATCTGGAATTGCTGCTCGTCTCTTTTTAAAAAAGACACGGCTCCAGTTGGTGTTGATTGTAATGTCTTAACAGATTTGGTAAGTAAGTGATCAATGGTCTTTGTTTATGTTTATTTAGATAGCGAAGTTAGTTCGTATCATCAGCAGTACTCTTTCAGTGTTTAAAGACAGACCTTAGTCAAATGATTTCTAAGTTACTAAAGTTTACAGTACGTTAATATCACTACAATATTATAGACTGAAAGATCTGCTGTAAATGCTGTAAACATGTAAACACCGCAATCAAACTATTACCGACGTGTAGGATTTTCACCACATTTGTAACAGGAATAACACACATGCCTTTCTGATGCTACTTGCCGAGTGCATCTAAGTTACAAAGAAATGCAGAGTTTTTGAAAAGGGCCATGAAACCCCCCATTTCAGCAGGATGTTTTCACACCTTTAGTTTGGAAAAAGTCTGGAAAGTGGGTGTGTCTAGCTTTGTTTGGGTGGAAGTGTTGGGGGAAGAAAAATAGGCAGGGTTTGAATAAAAATGGGCAGGGTTTGAATAAAAATGGGAGTTGCCATTTGGGCACACGCTTCTGACCAGGTACAAACAAACACACACGCAGGAGAGACAGTGTGTTTAATGATGGTGGGATGTTTGATACCACACGTCGTATAAGAAAAAAAGCTTCTGCATTTCTCTGTAACTCAGATGCACTCAGTAGGTCAGAAAGCCATGTGTGTGTGGACTATCCTGTCACAAAATGCAGTGAAAATTCAACACGACGGTCGGCAAAAGTTTGCTTAGTGTTCACTTGTTCACACTCAGAGAGCAGCATTTACAGCGGACCTTTCAATATTGTAGTGATATTAACGTACTGTAAACTAAGTAACTTAAAAATCATTTTGACTAAGGTCTGTCTTTAAACACTGAAAGAGTACAGCTGACCATATGAACTATAACTTTGCCATCAGAATGAACAAAGAAAGGGCGCTGATTGCATACACTTACCAAATCTGTAGACAGGACAATCACCACATACTGGAGCTGCGTCTTTTTTAAAGGAGACGAGCAGCAAATCCGGATCTCACCATAAATGAGAAATGCTCTTGAGTAAAAAAATGTTTCAAATAAACGCATTTCTAGTTGTAATGTTTTTTAGATTTTACTAATATTATACATGTTATAGGAGCAGCACATTATATGACTCATTCAGCATCTCCTGTGTTCAATAATGTGGTCAGTATGCAGAAAGTGCTGTTTAACTGTCTTTATCAGTAAAATAATTTCTTATTGTCTTATCTGGAGATGCACTAATTGCAATTTCCTAGGCTGATTTCAGAATTTGTCTAAAAGTGTAACCTGCTGATATAGGTATTTGCAGATTCCGATTTTTTTCCCCCTTAAGAATATCTGTATACTACCACTAATAATAATAATAAATAAATAAATAAATAAATAAATAAATAAATAAATAAATAAATAAATAAATAAATAAATAAATAAATAAATAAATAAATAAATACATACATCAGTCTTTCTCCCATACTGCATTTACACACAGTAACTAAAGAATAAATCATTTTCAACTGTCTTTACTACTGTCTTTACTAATTTCAGTCCAAAGATAATCATATGCTTTTAATATATTCTGTTAATATATTTTAATTAATAACTGTATAGATTTGTATTATTGTTTTATTGTTATGTTATCTTTTGTTCAGAACTTTTAAACTTCAGCACTACTAAAAATCTGATTAATTTTGATTGTTGATTTAGTTGCTTAAATGGTTCAGCTGTTCATCTTCAGTGTTGTTGTTTATTTTCAGGCTCAGTAAGTGTAATCTAACAGAGGAAAGCTGTTCAGCTCTTGCTTCAGTTCTCAGATCAGACTCCAGCAGTCTGAAGGATCTTGACCTGAGCAATAATAATCTGCAGGATTCAGGAGTGAAGCTGCTCTCTGATGGACTGAAGGACAACTGTAAATTGGAGAAACTCGGGTGAGGTTAAATTTGCAAATAATAGTTATGTATTTTTGTTTGCAGAAAACAACAACAACAACAACAACAACAAAATCCTGTTCCAGACTCTCAGATGTCTTGTAAATGTCTGTTCTGTATTTTTGTTTGAATATAAAATGAATTCCCTGTTCCAGACTATCAGACTGCAGTATCAGTGAAGAAGGTTATAAAGCTCTGGCTTCAGCTCTGAGATCAAACCCTTCACACCTGATAGAGCTGGATCTCAGAGGAAATGATCCTGGACCATCAGGAGTGAAGGAGCTCACTGATGCATTACTGGATACAAAGTGTAAAGCAAAACTGAGGTCAGATATGATGTGGAAAAAATCTAATAAATAGATGTATGCTTTTATCCAAACATTTTATTTAATAAATTCTGTTTAATCAAAGAAAACTAACCTGTTTTATAAGTAGTCAGGTTTAACATTTTATTAAAGCAAATTTTAATTCTTATCTTCTTATCTTATCTTAAATTCTTATCTGCAGGTTTTTGAGTTCTGCTGCTGATGAATTCTGTCAGTTTGTGACTGGAATTATGGGTAAAAACCCGTTACTCCTGAAAGAACTGAATCTGAGTGATCGTGAACTAGGAGACACACGAGTGAATCAACTCTCTGATCTACTGCAGGACAAACACTGTCAGATCAACACACTCATGTGAGTATATTGTGTGTTATAAACATTGACACGTTTTTAATAGACTATGTGCATGGATCATCATATCTAATGCAACTGAAAATCATCCTGTATAATTGTTGGTGTGACTATATTCAATTTCAAAAGGTTCCTTGAATGGCAATGACAGTAAAATAATCACAATAATCCGGTACATTAAATAGATTTACCGTAGAATGTCTTATTTAAGATGTTTATTCACTATAGCAGTCTCAAAGTACATGGCAGTACTCTGGCTTCAGGAGAGTAAGAATGAACCATGAACATTATTAAACTGAAACCTTATACTGTTTTAATTTACTGCCTTTATAAGTTAATGAAGATGCTCCTTGGCTGTCGTCACAGCTGTGCTTTGTTAATGCAGTTTTGACCCACCGATGTATGAGATTCAGGTCCCTTGTTTCCACACCCATCCCTATTCTACGATTAGTACCATTTGCTCAAGATGTGGTCATCTCAAATAGTGCAGAGACAACAACTGTTGACTTGTCTTCCTTATCATAAGTCAGCCCTTTTGGGAAATGAGCATCAACACAACATTTAGGGCCCTATCATACAGCCAGCGCAAGACGCAACGCAATTGTTGTTTGCTAGTTTCAGCTCAACGCAAGAGTCGTTTGGATGTTTTGCACCACGCTGTTTAAACAGCAAATGCATTTGCGCTCATATGTGTGCCCATAGGTGTTCTGGTCTAAAAAGAGGCATGTTAAGGTGCATTGCTATTTTTAGGAACTAAAATACACTGTGTAATAGACCAGGTAAGAGCAGGTCTAAAGTCCAGCGCAGAGCGCGTTAGTTGTGCACCTTACTTAAACGTTGCTTAATACACACAGGGTGTACAGCAATACGCAAATATCTTGTGGAAAAAGAATTAAAAAGAAAAAGAATTAAAGGATTAAAATATTACAAAAATTATTATTTTCTAGCCAACATAAATATAAAAACCATTCTTTCCTGCCTTCTTCATCTCGGGGGGCTTTTTCAGTTTATTCATGACAATTTGGTTTTGTATAATGTTATCACTACTAGCAGTATTATTTATTATTTGCATATGTATATTTGTTTTATTAAAAACAAGCTTAGATTTGTCCACCTGTCAGGTTTTAGACCATATGGGGCACAGCATGTGTATTTGGATATAACTCAGGTTTTTGAACACACTTTGTTATTATTGTTCATTTATTCATTTGCTGGAAATTAGAACTGAACTTAGAAATAGTTTTGAAACAAATATTTGCGCTTAATAAACTAAATTAATTATTTATAGGCCAATGGATGTCTGTGCGTACAACACGTTTCCCTATCCCTTCCCTGAGGAGGCTCATCTCTCATTCTCGCACTGTAGATGCTCTGTTTAACTGTTTTCTCTCTTGTGAAGTGTTCAGTTTTTCCATTTACAAAGTCTGTCATGTAAATAGCAAATGTGCCATGGCACAACACAACTGATTCATAAAGGTAATCGGACATGAGACTCTAGGTTATTCTCAAAACACACCCATAACTCATTAAGAAAATAAGCTCAACCCTGTTAGAACATGCACCACTGCACAAAGCGGATTTCTTTGTCCTTAAAATAGCAAAAGTGGATTCGGACAGGCCCTTAATGCTTTTGCTCCTTGCGCTTTGCACGTTGCGCCTAGATCATCAAAATAGAGCCCTTAGAGTGGAAGTTGGGTCAAAGCAGACTCATTTCTTACAAGACCCAAGTGTTTATTCAGTTTTTCAAGCACAAAACAAGATGGAAAGATGTTTAAATATAAGTTTTGTAGTGGAGCACAATAAACTCACGGAAATACTGTAATAAAGTATGTCCGACGTGAGACCCACATAACCACTGATTTTGATAAAGGAATATTTTACAAGCAGCCAGTTTATAATGTCCTGATAGTTCACCAGGTACGTCCGTGGATGGCTTAGCGTAAATTAAAAGTCCGCTTTTATGGAGCCCATTCTGTAAGCAGTTCAGATTCACACTGTCATAGTTGTTTATTGAAGAAGATTCATACATAAACTGAAGAAGGTGTTCTTTTTTTTCTTTTAAAGGCTGAAGAATAACAGGATTACAGCAGAAGGTTGTGCTGACTTGATGTCCGCATTTAATTCAAACCCTTCACACCTGACAGAGCTCAATCTGAGTGTGAATGAACTAGGAGACTTAGGAGTAGAGAAGATCTGTCCACTGCTGGAAAATACACTGTGCAGATTGGAGAAATTAAAGTGTGTATTTTATTATGTCTGTCTACTTGACTACTTGAAGACTTTAATCTTACCTAAGATACTGTGATGAAGTTAGAATTTTAGAGTTTTTCAATGAGGCATTTGTTGCATGCTTAAAATATGAAAATTCATTTTTTAAACAATTTCCACTTTCTATAAAAACATTTTAATTCTAGGCAAGGCAAGTTTATTTATATTGCACATAGGGATGCACCGATATGGATTTTTTGGCCGATACCGATAACCAATAATTCTTCAGACTTGGAGGCCGATTGCCAATATATATAGGCCGATAATTATAAATATTTCAAAATGTTATATTTTTACACAGCAAACTTCATAAAAGCTGAAACTCGGCTCTTTTGAACTGAATAGCCTATACTCAAAGCAAAAAGCTATGATTTCAAAATTATATATTCAATTATATATAACCTATATTCACGATTTCACACAAATCAGCATGCAAAAAATACATTATTTCATTTTCTTCATAGTAAATTAACATTCAAATTGACTTGCATAAAATTAAAAAAGGTTAAATAACAAAATGGGATTTAATTAACAAGCAAGGTAAATATATTTTAAATAAGATGAAAATTAAAGAGCTAAGGACTAAAACCAGCTCAAATGTTCTTGAATAAAACGGGTTACAGTAATGTACATGTGTACAAATATGTCATGTCCGAAAAAGCCTTTTTTAGAGTGGGTTTTGACAGTTCAGAGCCACAGTACAAGTGATAAGCTAGATACAGAATGTATTATTTTTAAAAATGCGACATAAATTCATCCTATTTGGCGTTTTAGATTCTTTCGAACACATGTAGCATCAAAGCTGACAAACACAGAGCAGAATACAAAGACAGAACGTGTGGCCCGTATGCTGGATTCAGTGACCGATGCACCACTCTCCCCTGTTGATCTGTGAAGGCTCAAGATCTATGTGTGTGTGAAGGCTGTCAGATCTATATGTGTGTACGCGCGCGGTGAAAGCTGTTGCGCGCTCGTTATAATCAATATGAATATTCTGATCAAACTGAATACAATCTTACATCAACAACACATGGGAAGCAATGCGTTGATAAAAAAAAATAATTATATTAGATTAAAAACCTTCTGTAAAGTTTTTGTTTAGCGCGTCACGTGTGCAGGTCAGTTTGATGTGTGTGTGTGTGTGTGTGTGTGTGTGTGTGTGTGTGTGTGTGTGTGTGTGTGTGTGTGTGTGTGAAGCGAAGAGGGAGAGACAGAAAAGAGGAGCTCTTTTTTTCGGGTCCTCGTTCATTCACCGGCTGCAACTAAAAGAATTAACCCCGAAACTAATATTATTCGGCCCTGGAGTAATAAGTAAATCTCCCTGCTATCTCTAACACAACAAAGAGAAAGTGCAGGAAAGGCTTTCATATGTAATATTTTTTCCTGAGGCGATTTGAAGCAAAATACACAATGGCACTCAATCAAACATATCTACAATGATAAGGATAATGGTTACTCACTGAGTTATTAACGCACAGCAATACTACGTGAAGAAAGGACGGACTTTGAAGGAATAATCAGTGTAAGGAGAGATCCATGAACAAGTCTGAACATGTTCCGCCCACGCGTGCGCGGCAACAATTACGTAATTTATCGGCTTAAAGATATCAGCCTAATATAGACATCGGATCAATAACGATAATATTAAAAAGAGCATTTATCGGCCGATAACGATATGGCCTCCGATATATTGTGCATCCCTAATTACACATTTCATACACAGTGGTAATTCAAAGTGCTTTACATAAACAAGAATAAAATATTCTGTTTATATATGTTTTTGAAAAGAAATAATACTTTATTTATTTGTGTACTGTGCTTCAAGCATTCATTGTTGTATTTAGTTTCACATGTATTTCACACATTTTTTTTCTCTATTTACAGTCTGTCAGACTGCAGTATCACTGGACAAAGTTATGAAACTTTGGCTTCAGTTCTGAGATCAAACTTGTATCTAAAAGAGCTAGATCTCAGAGGAAATGATCCTGGAAAATCAGGAGTGAAAAAGTTCATTGATTTCCTGCAGGAGGGATCATGTAAATTACAGATTATCCGGTATTAATCTATTTATATTCAGTATTTGGAACAAACATAGAGTCAGAAATGTGCTACATGATAACCATCAAATAGTCAATGCAGAACATTAACTTCTGTTCTACTTCCTGTAGGTTTCTGAAGAGTCCTGATGCAGAGGAAGCATGCGAGTATCTCACTAAAGATTTGGTCATAAATCCATTATTACTGACAGAACTGGATCTAAGTAAAGTTAAATTAGGACATCTGGATGGAGAGAAATTCTCTGCTTTTTTGATGGACTCGCATAATAAAGTGGAGAAAATAAAGTAAGTGACCATAATTTTAGAGAATCTGTGATCCTGGACCACAGTGCATATGTTGCACAGGTGTGTGCTGAAATTAAGTACATGTAGGCTACTATAAGAATCCATTCCATTCCACAATTTCAGTTTACACACATCTTGAACCATGTTTTCCTGTGTTTTTTTTTTTTTTTGTATTGATCATTTTTCCTGAAAATGTGACTGCACATGTGAGAAACATTTAAACTTGATGTCTTCGACCTGATAAAATAAGATGTTTTCAGCTGTAAATTTGACATGATCATAGGTTGATGCAGCAATGAGCACAGATTTGACACTGTTGTGCAGACTTGTGTATAAAAGTTCACTAAACTCTAACTGAGCTAGTCAGTGGTTACGGTGGCAACAAAACGATATGATATAGATTGGTAAGTGGCAGTAATTATAAATCTATGGAGAACTAAACAGGTATAAACTTGTGTGCTTAATTATATGACTTTGTTTTTCATCTTATTGCAACCTATCATTGATAAATGTAGTCAGTTATTAATCTGTGTAATTTCAAGAGTTCACACTTAGCTGATGATTTACAAAGCTTATTTGGCATGCTGTCCCGGGAGAGAGCCCCGAGCTCAAGGGCTCCTCGAGCCCGGGGCTTCCTTCCGTTGGCAGAGCAAGAAGGGAGCCTGAGCTCGGTGGATCTCAGAACTCCCCTGCCGCTGTAGCTAAGGGAACGTAAGGAATTAGACCAGCTTGATTGTTAAGTATGTTGAATGTCTTTGGATGGTGGGAGGAAACCGGAGAGCCCGGGGAAAACCCACGCGGACACGGGAAGGACATACAAACTCCCCACAGAAACACTCACCGGTCCTATCGAACTAGGACCGGCAGTATTCTTGCTGTGTGGTTCACAGTGCTAACCACTGGACCGCCGTGCCGCCCAATTACAGGTAAAGGAGGAGAATAGGGGAGGAGGGGGGTTTCTTCCAAACGAAGATAAAGTGAACTGAAAACTTAGACTATTTATGGTGCCTTAGGGCTCATATGATTGGAAGATTAGTGATTAGCAAATGCGAGACTGGACGTGATAAATCATAAGCACGTGATCCTCTCGAAATTAGTTTATGAATAAACTTCACTTCAAGAGTTCACACTTAGCTGATGATTTACAAAGCTTATTTGGCATGCTGTCCCGGGAGAGAGCCCCGAGCTCAAGGGCTCCTCGAGCCCGGGGCTTCCTTCCGTTGGCAGAGCAAGAAGGGAGCCTGAGCTCGGTGGATCTCAGAACTCCCCAAAATGCAGAAATTAATCGCTCGGGACAGCAGCCGCGTATTCGAAGAAAAAACCCCCCAAAAGGCAGGAAATTTAGAGCTATATCCGGCTGCTGGATATAATAGAAGGAAAGAGGTTAAATGCATGGGCATTAATTAGATAGGATTAATAAGGGTGAAAAGAGGATTCTGATAACTCTTGCTGGAGTTAGAGTTTGAAGGAACCCCTGCGGGGTTCATGGTTTTCGGGGTTAAGAAGAAGGGGAGAATAGGTGGTTTGAAGCAGTGGAAAGAGAACTTTGAGTGAATCTTGTGGGAGTTGGAGCTCTAAGTGACCCCTGCGGGGGCCAGAGTAGAGTGAAGGTATGGAGCAGAGAGAGGAGGAGAGTAGCTCTTACGAAAGATGGAGCTTTGTGAGAGTTTGAGTTTAGAGCGGCCTCTGCGGAGGTTAGAGCTTGAGGGTAGGGTGTAGATAGGAGTGACCTCTGCGGAGGTTAGAGCTTGAGGGTAGGGTGTAGATAGGAGCGACCTCTGCGGAGGTTTGAGCTTGAAGGTAGGGTGTAGATAGGAGTGACCTCTGCGGAGGTTTGAGCTTGAGGATAGGGTGTAGATAGGAGCGACCTCTGCGGAGGTTTGAGCTTGAAGGTAGGGTGTATATAGGAGTGACCTCTGCGGAGGTTTGAGCTTGAGGGTAGGGTGTAGATAGGAGTGACCTCTGCGGAGGTTAGAGCTTGAGGGTAGGGTGTAGATAGGAGCGACCTCTGCGGAGGTTTGAGCTTGAAGGTAGGGTGTAGATAGGAGTGACCTCTGCGGAGGTTTGAGCTTGAGGGTAGGGTGTAGATAGGAGCGACCTCTGCGGAGGTTTGAGCTTGAAGGTAGGGTGTAGATAGGAGTGACCTCTGCGGAGGTTTGAGCTTGGGGGTAGAGTGTAGATAGGAGTGACCTCTGCGGAGGTTTGAGCTTGAGGGTAGAGTGTAGCTAGGAGCGACCTCTGCGGAGGTTTGAGCTTGAAGGTAGGGTGTAGATAGGAGTGACCTCTGCGGAGGTTTGAGCTTGAGGGAAGGGTGTAGATAGGAGTGACCTCTGCGGAGGTTTGAGCTTGAGGGTAGGGTGTAGATAGGAGTGACCTCTGCGGAGGTTTGAGCTTGAGGGTAGAGTGTAGCTGGGAGGAGCAATGAGTGGAAGAGAGTAACTCTTGCGAGAGTTGGAGCTTGAAGCGACCTCTGTGGAGGTCAGAGCTTGGGGGTAGAGTGTAGATAGGGGGAGATAGGTAGCAGTGAGTGGAAGAGAGTAACTCTTGTGAGAGTTGGAGCTCTAAGCGACCTTTGTGGAGGTCAGAGCTTGAGGGTAGATTGCGGATAGGAGGAGATAGATATCAGTGAGTGGGAAAGAGGATTTGGATAACTCTTGCGAGAGATTGGGGCTCGGAGCGACCCCTGTGGGGGTCAGAGCTAGAGGGTGAGTCATAAGGAGAAGAGAGGTAGTTGAAGTAGAGTGAAGAAGTTTTAGCTTGAGCGGACCCCTGCGGGGTTTGGAGCTTGGAGAAAGAGTCTAGGCGGAAAAAGAATAGGTAACATCGTGAAGAAGAAAGGACTGTGGCCGCTATGGCCGAATCCTGCGAGAGTTGTAGCTCAAGGGGGCCCCTTCGGGTGTCTGAAGAGTCTAGACAGGAGAAACAAGATCATTAGAGGTAGAGTGTAAAATAGATTAGTTGGGAGTGGAGTGTAGAGAAGAAAGGAACGAGAGGCTGAAAAGTAGGGTTATAAGGATAAAAGATTTGGAAAAGTTGGAAGAAGGGAACAAGCACAAATATAATACATATGTACAAACGCAGTAAATGCGCAAAGAACATGTGGATACAAACGTCTGCATCTGTAAATAGCTATTGGTGATTGTAGAAGATGCTAACTGCAATGGCCCTTGAGGGAGTCCTTGGCAAACATGTAAGGGTGCCATGGGTGGACAATTGGGCTTCTGCGGGGTTTGGTTTGGATGACTCTTGCGAGAGTCGAGGCTCTGTTAGACACCTTTTTGAGTTGGAGCCGTGTGAGGAGGTGCTTGGGGGTTGGTTAAAGCCTGTTGGGCTTTCTTGAGGTGGTATTTACTGAGACGTATATAAGATTTGAAAACTTCAGAAGACCAGCGACCAAGGGTCTGGATCTGATGGTGTGAGAGCCCGTTGTAGTGGCTGCGCCAATCCTGAATGAGTGGCTGGAAAAGGGCTCTGGGAAAAAACCTGATAGGCGAAAGATTTCTTTAATGTGTTTTTGAAACCAGAATCGAGATACTGGACGGTTAGCGTCATCAGTAAAAAGCGGGGCCAGTGGGTTAGCCTCTTGAGATTTTCTAGGCTAAGAGGGTTTGGAATGGGCGTGTAGGTGAAGGAATATTGAAAATGAGGATAGAGTGTCCTCTCAGGAATTAATCTGTTTTGCTTTGTTTGATAAGGAAAGAGATAGTTTCCCTGTCTTGCAAAGCTAGATCTGAGATGGTGGGATGGAGTAGAGGGTTAAATTTGGATGTAACTGTTAATTCAGAACATTTAAGAAACCCCCCAAAAAATGCTAGATTGAACATAGCATCTAAGGTGCGGGCTGTATGGGAGGAAATGTAACCTTTACAGAGGGTGTAGATGCATGAGGTAAGGATTTTGAGTGTAATGGGTTGTCTAGCATGGTATGGAATTGTTTGAACGAATTCCATGCTGTGAGGTATGCATTGAGGGTTCTGGGAGCTATTGCTTGTAGGATAAGAGATAGAGAAGTTTGATGAAGATTATGAAGTGGGTGGTTTATGGAAATATCGTTACTGAATAAGGAGGGACCGGCGTTGGGTGAGGGTCTGCTTCCGGGGCTAGTTGCCAGAATATCTGCAAAGAGAAATGAGAGAGAGAGAGAGTCAGCGATTTGGTTTTTGCAACCAGGTACATGTTCAGCAATCATGATAAATTGTTTTTTAGCAGATATCCAGATAAGGTGTCTTAAAAATGGCATAAGCGATTGGGAGTGGGAGCGCCCTTTGTTAATGCAATGCACTGTAGCTTCGTTATCGCAGTGAAAGAGAATGCTAGATGTAGACCATTCGTCCCCCAACAGGATGGCTGCTGCGATGATAGGGTAGAATTTGAAGAGGGCTGAAAAACATTGGTCTTTGGAATGGAATTACAATTGGGTTGGCCATGTTGAGACAAACCAGTGTCCTTTATATTAGCCACTGTAACCTATTGGAGGGGCAGCGTCTGTGTATGTGTTGATGTCAATAGGGGATGCAATCAAGTCGCTGTAGAAAAAGGAACAGCCGTTCCATTGCTTAAGGAAAGAGATCCATAAGCAAAGTTCATCGCGACTGGGTTTGGAGAGAAAAATTGTTTCTTCTAAACCATGAACTGTGGTGGATAATTGATGGAGGTGGGAAATGAAAGGAATAATGCGCATAGCGAAATTTAGATGGCCGAGAATTGGTAGGAGTTCTCGTTGTGTGCACATCTGTTTTTCAAGGAAAATTTGGGATAGAGAAATTATTCGATTGATTTTCTCTTTAGGAAGGGATGCTTGGAATTTATGCGAGTCTAGATTAATACCCAGAAATTCGATTGAAGTACTGGGTCCTTCCGAGATCAGCGAAAACCTGCTGGGTGATCGCTAGGTGTTTGGCTGGAGGAGATGACGGGGGGGAAATAAGAAAATCGTCTAGAAGGTGAATGAGGTATGGTATTTCGTAAATATTAGACAGAATCCAGCATAAAGCTTCTGACATTATGTCAAATATTTTTTGGGCTGCTTTGCATCCGAAAAATAGAATTGATTTCGCCAATAAATGCCAAAAGGTGCCAGAAGTCTGGGTGGATTGGCATGATTTTAAAGGTAGGGGAAATGTCTTCTTTGGCTAGCCAGGTGTTACGACTGGCTATCTTTATGAGAGAGATCTCTTGATCAATGTCGTGGTAGTTAAGTAAATATTCGTCCAATGGGATAGTGCTGTTAATGCTAGGAAAGGAGCAATTGTGTTGGGACGAAAGGTCGACTACAAGGCGTTTTTGCCAGAACATTTTTTGAGTAGCGACACCAATGGGGCTAATGCGCGAGATATTAAAAGGAGGAGCCTTGGAGTTCCAATCATGAAGTTGTTGTCGATTTCTTTTTAATAAGATAATCGACGGTTTCAGGTTCGGAGGTTGGAGACTGCAGGTTAGGACAGATTGGATAAAGTGAAAATTGGAATGTATCCTTTGTGAAGAGGATGTGGAGTGTAATAGGTTGGATGAGGGTCAGCTTCTGGAGCCAGCAGTCATGATCTCTAAAATAGAAAAAACAAAGAGAATCAGAAATTAAATCTTTGCAAAATAATACAAGTATGGCAGACATGAAAACTGTTTTAGTTTATATCCATGCGAGGCATCTTAATAAGGGCATGGGCGGCTATAAATGGAAGCGCTTTTGATAATGCATGGTCCGATGACTTCATTGATACGATGTGCAAGGATGGTATGGGTGGGTGTTCGTCTCCTAACGGGATGACAGATGAATGGAAAGCTGAGGACATGGGATATGGCTAGTCTGGTGGTCCTGGAAAACTGGTACCCCTTGAAGACTGAGCATGTGAAGTGATAGTGAAGTTTAAATTTGTATTTATAACAGTCAAGTGGGAAGTTTGTTTCTTTGCCGTTTTCACATCCGACTGACTTGCTATATAATCTTATATGACGCTTGTAAATCAACACATGAGTCGCTGGCGTATTACAATTGGACTTCTGTGCTTGATGGCATAATGTTTTTCAATAGCTTGTTAATATTTACTGGTTGGGTAATAATCTTTTCAGAAGTTAAATGTCAAATGGAATTTTATTTTATTTATTTATTTATTTATTTATTTATTTATTATTATTTTTTTTTTTTTTTTTTAACTAAATTTACAAGCGTGTCTGGCCTATTCATTCATAAGGTCTTTGCAACAGAGTCAAGAGAGAGAGCGGGACCATCTCCAGTCTTTTAGCTCATTGGATTGAGACGCTTATCTTTACAGCTATTGGCTTAAGGAGTTTCAGTCAGGCCATGCAAAAGGTGCAAAAAGCCTGGCGGCCATTTTGTTGATCAAATTCAACATTGTTTGTGGCTGGAGCTGCTGCTCTGCTGAACACATTCCAGCAAACAATCTGTTAAACGATGGATAGCATGTGTACTGCTAGGAGAAGGTGAGGGTTCCGTTTTATTGCAATAGCTTTGGAGTTTGGCTTATATCTTGCTGGGAAATAAGGTTGAAGACACAGCAGATGCGTTGTGGAGGCTCTTTGAAGTGGAAGGTTTTGGTGTTGTTGTTTAAGCTGTTGATGAAATTGTTGGAGTTGTAGTTGTTTGAAATGGTAGCAATAGTAGTTGTTGTTGTTGTTGCTGTAGCTTGTATATTGTAGTTTGTAGATTGAAGCTTTTAGATTGTATATTGTAGATTGTAGCTTGAAGCTTTTGTAGCTTGTAGCACTTGTAGCTTTTGTAGTTGATGAGCAGAGCAGAGCGTTCTTCCAAATGAAGATCCTGAAGATTGTAGCTTGTTGCTGCTTTAGTTGTCCATGCTGGTTTAGAGTTGGTTCTTCAACGGAGCTAGCTACGGTGAAGCTGCTTCTTCCAAACGAAGATAAAGTGAACTGAAAACTTAGACTATTTATGGTGCCTTAGGGCTCATATGATTGGAAGATTAGTGATTAGCAAATGCGAGACTGGACGTGATAAATCATAAGCACGTGATCCTCTCGAAATTAGTTTATGAATAAACTTCACTTAGGAGTGATGAAGTAAGCAGCATGAAAAAATCTTCTAAAGCTTCTAAAATACTACATAAAACAGCACCTGTAGCCACAGTGAGGCATATGTGAGCCAATATAAAGTGTAGTAAGAGTTAATAATGCTGTTTTTGTGTTTAGGCTGAATAACTGTAAGCTGACAGAGAAAAGCTGTTCAGTTCTAGCTGCTGTTCTCTCCTCCAAAACCATCCTGAAAGAGATGAACCTGAACAACAGTCGTCTGCTGGACTCAGGAGTCAGAAAGATCTGTGAGGGACTGAAGAATCCTGTGTGTGAGCTGAAGATACTCAAGTGAGTACATTCAACAAAAGTGTTTACATAGATTTCTTCAATGTCTTATTAGAGGATGAGTGTTCTGTTTGTGTAAATGTTGGATAATTTAGAGAAACATTATGATTCAGTCTAATAATGAATTTGAACCTCAGTGCAATTGTTTAGTCTTTCAGACTGCAGTATCAGTGAAGAAGGTTATAAAGCTCTGGCTTCAGCTCTGAGATCAAACCCTTCACACCTGATAGAGCTGGATCTCAGAGGAAATGATCCTGGACAATCAGGAGTGAAGGAGCTCTTTAATGTCCTACAGGATCCTCAGTTTAAAACAAAAATTAGTTCAGTTATGATGTGAAAAAAAAGGCATGCTTTTTATCCAAACAGTTTTTAGAAAGAGTATCAAAAAAATATGCATAAAATGCATTTTTTAATTATAGCATAATTAAAAGTGAATTAAATTTAAATTTTGATTTTTAGGTTATTGAGTCCAGCTGCTGATGAAGCCTGTTCGTTTGTGGCTGTACATGTGGGTGAAAACCCGTTACTCCTGAAAGAACTGAATCTGAGTAATTATGAACTAGGAGACCCACGAGTGAATCAACTCTCTGCTCTACTGCAGGATAAACACTGTAAACTCAACACACTCATGTGAGTACAATGTACAATATTTTATAAATATTGACACATTTTTCACAACCTATATGTATGGGTTGTGTCTAAGGCCACCAAAAATGATCATGCGAAATGGTTGGCATGACTTCAATTTCATGAGGTTTCTTGAACAGCAGTGACACTGTAATATAATCAGAACTTAGTACAGTATATTAAATTGAACTAAGTATTCTATCATTTGTTTAAACATAAAATGAGATGGAATGATGTTTAAATGTAAGTGTCTTGAGGAGCTGCAGCGGAGCACTAAAAATCCACAGAAAATATTGTGGTAGAGTAAATGTTCATAATATAAGGCACAATGCAATGTAACATAGTGATCCTTGTCTGACATGAGACCCATATTATACTGTGTCTCAATTAGGCAGTGCAGATCACTGATTTTAAAAACAGGAAGATACTGAATGTGGTGAGTTTATAATGTCCTGACAGTTCACCGTAAGCATTATATCACTCTATATTATGTTCAGGCTCAGTAATTGTGGTCTAACAGAGGAAAGCTGTTCAGCTCTTGCTTCAGTTCTCAGATCAGACTCCTGCAGTCTGAAGGATCTTGACCTGAGCAATAATAATCTGCAGAATTCAGGAGTGAAGCGGCTCTCTGATGGACTGAAGGACAACTGTAAATTGGAGAAACTCAGGTGAGGTTATGTCTGACATGTTAAATTTGCAAATGATAGTTACATATTTTTGTTTGCATAAAAAAAACAAAAACAAAACAAATCCTGTTCCAGACTCTCAGATGTCTTGTAAATGTCTGTTCTGTATTTTTGTTTGAATATAAAATGAATTCCCTGTTCCAGACTATCAGACTGCAGTATCAGTGAAGGAGGTTATAAAGCTCTGGCTTCAGCTCTGAGATCAAACCTTTCACACCTGATAGAGCTGGATCTCAGAGGAAATGATCCTGGACAATCAGGAGTGAAGGAGCTCACTGACTTACTGCAGGATCCACACTGTACACTGAAGACACTGAGGTGAGATGTGATAAAATTATACAAATTCAGTGAAACAAAGATTTTTGTTTTTGTTTTGGAAAACTGTAAAAGAACCTGCAAATTTGGCAGTGAAAAATTAATTTTAATTTTGAATGTTTTCACCAATAACTTTAGTTAATATTTAAATTAGATACAGTTTCATCTTCCCATCTGCAGGTTTCTTAGTTCTGCTGTAGAGGAAGTCTGTAAACATTTGTCTGATGTTCTCACTGGGGACCCGTTAATCCTGAAAGAACTGAATCTGGGTGGATGTAAAATAGAAGACAAAGTGAGTTATCTTGCTACTCTACTGCAGGATAAACACTGTCAGATCAGCACACTGGTGTGAGTATTGCACATGGTTTTATGCTTTACCTGTTAAATTTTATAATTTTTTTTATTAAAGAAGATTTTGAAGTGAATTTAAGAACATTTTGGTTTGTTTTCTTTCTCTGCAGGCTGAACAATACCAGTATTACAGAAGAGGGTTGTGCTAATCTGACTTCAGCAATTACGTTAAACCCATCACACCTGAGGGAACTGAACCTAAGTGATAATAAACTAGGAGACTCTGCAGTGAAAAACCTCAGTGATTTACTGATAAAGACACAATTCAAGCTGGAGAAACTACAGTTCGTAACCTTACTAAAAACTACTTTGCCTTTTGTAAATCTTCAGTAAAGTCTTTTATAAATGACTACTTGTCTTTTTCTCTTTCTGTCTTCAGTTTGAGTAATTGCAGTATTACAGAGGAACAGTGTGTGATCCTGACTTCAGCTCTGAAATCAAACCCATCACACCTGAGAGAACTGAACCTCAGTGTGAATGAAATGGGAGACTCTGCAGTGAAAAACTTAAGGGATTTTCTGATGAAGCCACAATGCAATCTGGAGAAACTACTGTTAGTAACTTACACATATAAAGCCTCCAAACTATCATCGCCAAATTCTAGTTGTCCTTCTATCTTGGACAAAATATTGCCCAGAAGTTTCCTGGTGTATTAATGATTAAATGGTGTTTATGATGGATTTGACTCGCATGTTTTGAACGTTAGTTTCTGTGTACTTAACATCAATATCTTTTCACTTTCTTGTCTACAGTCTGCGTCAATGCAGTATTACAGAGAAGCAGTGTGAGATCCTGACTTCAGCTCTGAAATCAAACCCATCACACCTGAGAGAACTGGACCTCAGTAGAAATGAAATAAACAACACAGGAGTAAATCTTTTATCTGAAGTACTGAAGGATTCACACTGTAAACTGGAGAGATTGAGGTGAAGAACATACACTTTAGAGAATTACAATGATTAAAATCAAAACACTATTTCAGCATCTTATAGTGGTTGTGAGTACATATTGAAGTTGCAACATTCTTTATTTGTTTTGTATCTTTTATCTTCTAGTCTAATTGAATGTGGCATCACAGATGTTTCCTCTTTTGCTCACAATTTGATGAACACAGAAACCCTGAAAGAGCTTGATCTTAGAAACAATTCTATATTAATTTCAAGGCGGAAACTGTTATATGTGCTATCAGACTCTAACTGTAAACTGAGGTGAGTAAACTTTTGGTGCATTGTAAAAGTTTACCTCTTGGATCTATATGAAATATGAAAGGAAAATAGCATTACACTATTGAAACAAATGGCTAATTGTTAATTTAAGCATTTTTAAGGTGCGATAGACTTACATTTGCTGACAGAAACACTGTTTTAATTCACAATTTGAAACATTTACTCCTGGTTCATTTATCAGCTTTTTTTTAAACATTGCGTTCTTTAGTTTAATAAACATTTATATCAGTGTTTTGAATGTATGGTATTTAAACATTTTTATAAATGTCTACTTCAAATAGTTTGATTCAAAATGAACTAGCCAACACATTTTTTCATTCTTCCTACAGCCTAGACAAGGGTAACTTGCATCAACGTTTTGCTGAATTATTTTTTGATAATCAGTGAACCCATCATCATCAGGTGAGAATCATCACAAAAGCTAGTTGGTCCCTCAACAACTTTCTCAATACTGCTAAATGCCAAGTCAAGCAAATGCTGCAATATTGCTGCATATTTTGGGCAGCTTTATGTGGAATCATGTGACGTCACTGTAACACAATATTTGTAAATTGATCAAGATTGAGTGTGCTTTATAAAACAGACTAGCATGCTGATAGAATGTGTGATGGAGATGCTAAATGAAATTTTCTATGATGTTTATGTTGGGAGCTATCAATACTTCTGACAGTGTGTTTTTTATTTTTTTTCACATTTCATTTTATCAAAATTATATATATATATATATATATATATATATATATATATATATATATATATATATATATATATATATATATATATATATATATAAACACACATATACACACACACACACACACACATATATATATATATATATATATATATATATATATGTGTGTGTGTGTGTGTGTGTATATTAGTATGTCTGATAATATTTTTTCTTCTGGAGAAAGTCTTATTTGTTTTATTTCTGCTAGAATAAAAGCAGTTTTTAATTTTTTAAAAACCATTTTAAGGACAAAATTATTAGCCCCTTATTATAAGCCATTTTTTATAAATTATATAAATTTTATAAATTATAAGCTATTTTTCCCCTTGATAGTCTACAGAACAAACCATCCTTACCTAGTTACCTAAACCTAGTTACCCTAATTAATCTAGTAAAGCCTTTAAATGTCACTTTAAGCTGTATAGAAGTGTCTTGAAAAATATCTAGTAAAATATTATTTACTGTCATCATGGCAAAGATAAAATAAATCAGTTATTAGAGATGAGTTATTAAAACTATTATGTTTAGAAATGTGTTGAAGTAATCTTCTCTTTGTTAAACAAAAATTAGGGAAAAAAATAAACAGGGGGATAATAATTCGACTTCAACTGTGTGTGTGTATATATATATATATATATATATATATATATATATATATATATATATATATATATATATATATATATATATATATATATATATATTATTTATTTATTTATTTATTTTTTTTTAATGGGATAGGATAGTGGAGGACAGACAGGAAAGCATTGGGAGCAAAGATAGGGGAAAGATCGGCATAGGACATTGAGCTGGGAATCAAACTCCAGTTGCCTTGAGCATTATGGTGCTATATGTCGGCGCACTTAAACACTAGGCTATTGGCGCCGACCAGATTTTATTATTTTATAAGCCAAATTAAATCAGTTGTTTTTTTTTCACAATACTATAGCACATTACTTACATACAAATTCATACAAATATAATTAGTTTTCTTTTAAAACTTTGAGAACTTCATGCACATTTCTAATAAAAAAATCTCTTCAAATAGTACATGTGATTTTTTTTTTCATTTCACTTGCTCTTTTGTATTGCTGTTTAAAAATGATTTGTGGAAGAGGCTTATACGTACAGTCGAAAACTGCAGCAATAATAGATTCACAATTTCATTTTATAGGTGCCATGGAGGATGAAGAATGGTCTGCTCAGGGCTCAGATATGTACTTTCAGCAGACATCTGGCTCTAAAGTATAAAGTCCTGATGGAAGTAATTTGCCTTTCAAAGAATATAAGTGTTAAGTGTATACCTTAAATACGTTATACTCCATGTGGCACTTCTGGTTTACATTATATCTTTCTGACATTGAATATACGAACTATGTTTGTTTACATTTAAACCATAATAGTTGTCATGAATGAACAAATCAAATAGTCTTTAATCTTCTCATGTATTAGTTTGCTGTATTATAAATTCATCCTGTTTCAGGACGTTTTATTAAACTTTTACTGAAATGAAGCTACCAAAATGACTAATTTTGTCACAGTGTGCTGTAATAATAAAAGACCACCAGACTTACAGAAAATCTTGAATTTAACATGTTTAGTGCTTTAAGTCAAAACCAGAATAAAAAAAAATAACTGACAGTTTTTATAATCTTCATCATATTGTTTTTGAGTGATTTTTTTTTTTATTGTATAATGTGCCATGACGCTCCTGCCCTAATTTAATTGCCCCTTGAGGGATTAATAAAGTTGTTAAACTATAACAATGTTGTTTTCAAAATTTTTATTATAGCAAACAGTATTTTGAATATGCACTTTTAGACAGAAAGGTACAAAAGCCGACACTGGAGTGATACAGTTTTAAAAGTACATTTTTATGACTTTTTTTTTTTTTTTTTTTTTGCACCTTTAGATTTGTGAGTGTATAAAAATGTCCACAATATGTACGTTTATCAGTTGTGAAAACAGTTTTCACAGATAAGTGTAGCACTTTTTACTCATTACTTTTGGATTTCACAACATGTGAACAAATTGTGAAGGATGGAAACGCTATTTTAAGGATACTTAATGCTTTTCTGGACAGTTTCTCATTAGATCAAATTGCAGCACTCTCACAGTTTATGATTAAGTCAAAGATCATTTTCAGAGTTATTCATTTTGCAAGCTCAAACATTTTAAAAGCTTGTTGCACCCATATGTTTAGTAATGAGATAAGGTTGTAGAATTTTCAAGTTATTAGTTATTAACATAAAAGCTATTGGCTATTAGTTTTTACATTGGTCTCAAGATAAAATAATTTCACAATACAGATAATTTCATCAATTCAGATACACTATACTCTCAGAATTAAAGGCAACTCAGTCACTGGGTAACTTTGTGCCTATTTGTACCTCAGTGGATTCAGAAAGACCAATCAACACTTTAAATCATATTTGTACTCTAAATAAGGATGACACTAAGGTCTTAGCATCAGTCTGCTAATATAATATCCGATTAGAAAACTAATGTAGTTCACATGAAGTGTTTTTATGTTCATCAAATAATTAGCTGAATGGAAAATCGTATTTTGGGTTTTAAATAAAATATTTACAGAGTCTAAATCGGAGTAAAAAAAACCCCCAGATAAACATGCTAGTGTCACAGAAGCAGCTCTATTACAACTTCCTTTGCAAAACTAGATACTAGAAAATGATTCAGTTGCTGACATTTTAATAATTTAATATCTAATAACAACAATACAAGGAACAGATCTCGTTCACATATCTTAGAAACTGAAGCTCAAATAACTGCTATTCAGTATAATACAATTTGTAGGATGAATGTCAAGATAGCATACAGCCTACTAATAACTTACAAACTGAATAGATTTGGTGTCTAAAAAACTTTAGAAATTGCATTTTCAGAATTGAGCATGTTAGATGACAGCCCTGCGTGTCATTTAATTTACTACCTTTTTAAAAGGTGGAGTAATCCAATCCAGCAGGTGGCAGTATGAACCAGTTTGGCTGTTCTCGCCAATGAATCCCACGAAGAAGAAGAAAACGAAAGCGATTGAAAAACAACACCAAAATATATCCAGCTGCAGAACCGCAGAACCACACACGTTTTAGGCACACAATCTAGGAAACACGATTTAGGCAAACCATATATGGTAACTAACTAACTCTTTAGCATTATCGCCACCTATTGAATTTCACAAGTATGGTTTCCCATTGCAGTCATTATTATGATTATATCGTAATGATCACTTTAAGATCTCTGCATTTCTGAACTCAAATTATGTAAATAAAAAATAATTGGTTAAAGACACTTATGACTTTATTCACGTGTCCACATACACAAAGAAAACATAATACACCGTCTAATTGTTGGATTAAGTGTAATAAACTAATTCAAGTTCTTATTCTTATTATACTTGGTTAATCACTTTGTTGTAAAATATAAAAAGCAAACAATAATATGTCACATTGAAATGAATTAGCCTACTAGTTAATCATTTAAACAATATATATAGGTATAAACTGATTATCTTAACTGATTATCTGATTATTTATAAGTTTATAAATAAACTACTATCTATTACTAAACTGTCACAGCTGTTATTATATATATATTTTTTACTTATTATTTTTCATTATCAATAGTTAATTTGTTCCTATTGCTAAATTTTGATTTAAAAACTATTTATTGCTTACTATAAATTACAGTATTAAATAAGGAAAATCATTAATTAAAAGGTTATTAGAAAGTTAAGCAAATAAACACTATTAAATCGCTTGAGTAAAATATTAATATAGTGTTACACATTTGTTACATGTAAAAAGATTTTTGTTACATACAATGTATTATTGCCAATTTTTACCTGCTAATATTTCCTTCATTATAAATTAATCCATTATATAAATTAAACCTTGTTAAATTAGATCGTTCAGCAAGGCCAGGAAACGAGTATCTGCCATATTATTGTCAGATAATAATGACTGATCAGCTATAATGACTGATTAAAAACTGTTCAGTATATTGAATGGCGATCGAAAACAATGCTCCCCATTCGGCCGTCTCGATCGCAATATTTGTGAAATAAAGTAAAGTAACACTTGTTTATTGTGTGAAATATTTATTAACCACATATATCAAAATATATCGATGACGATGTTCAAAAAGACGTTAATAACATTAACATCTGTCGTAACCATATTTTGCCTAGCTTGTGTCTGCCAGATTGTGTGTGCCTAAAACGTGTGTGGTTCTGCGGGCCTGCAGCTGGATGTTATTGACAACACCAGATGAAAATATAACTTCAAGCCTACATTTACAAAAAAAAAAAAACTACATGACTCAGAGAACATTGCTATATATCTCAATTTAGCACATACAACTGTTTTACAACATACACTCACGGAGATTTATTAATAGTAACCCAATTCAGCCGTGTTTGCTCTGCTGCTAAATTTCCAGCGATGGTTGACTGAGCTAGAAAAAAGATGCACACGAAAACTTTCAGTGCTTTAAATCATAATTTACTAGAAAAACAACTATTGGTAGTTTGTAAAATTCACTCTGATGTCTGTGGAAACGGCAATGAGAAAAGGTTACACTGTGTTTTGCTAGCTAGCCTCGTTTTTTAGCGCCAACAAGCAAAAAATATTGTATTGTTTTCAGGTGTCAAAATTAATTAATTTTAAACACATTATGGTAAAACAAGCTAAATCCTCCGCAAATGGGCTAGGCAAAATAAATTGCTCAAATCTGAGGATGAGAAAAAGCTATTTTTAGATGGCTGATGACAAAATATGGCATCCACACTGTTAACCCTTACTGTAGATTATGCAGTAAATAACTGTAAAATAGCCAGTGTTTAGCTGTAATGAAAGGAAACAGTATTTTACTGTAAAATCAGCAGGATTTGTATAAAATTCTGTAGTGCAAAGAATAAATTACTGTAATTTATGTACCCATTACAGATATTTACTGCAATAATAAATGCTCAACCATTACTGCCCCATCTACTCTGATGCATTATGTTGCTATTTATAATATAAATATGTGTGTTTTCTTTGGTTCCTTTTTTGTTTTGAACATAAAGTATCAGGAGTCAACCAATGCCACAAAGCTTATTAAAAGGTAAGTATAAGATATGGACAAGATGCATTTAAAGGCAAAAATAATCACACATTTAAAGGCAAAAATATTCACAATATTCACACAGCAAAGAAATTGTCACAATAATTATTATAACTTTGTTTACTTTTCCTGTAATTGATCTAATTTACCTAATTTGACCTATAGTTAAGCTTTTAAATTGCACTTTCAACTGAATATTAGTATTTTGCTAAATTACTAGTAAAAATGTGTTATTTAAAAAAATACATATCTTAAACAGCACGTACATCCATGTTTGCAGAGACTCGATGAATTTGTCTGGAAAACTTCAAATGAAATAAGTAAAAGTGGCATTAACAATATAGTATAAAGGCTTTCCTAAATAAATGTATAAATCATGTTATTTGTTGTGTTTTTTTATTATTACTACAGATTTGGAAAAACATGAGGATCAGATTATTTATTATTATTTTTTGCTTTGGGTGAAGTTTGTATATTTGTATTGTTTTTATTTAACGATATGTGCATGATTGTGATAAATGTAGGCAGTTGCTTTGAAAATATGCTATGCACCAGGGGTGTCAAACTCCTGGAGGGCCTCAGCACAGTTGAATTTAGCTCCAGCCCTGCTTCAACACACTACAATAAATGGCAAACTGTTCAACCATTACTGTCCCATCTACTCTGATACTCTGATTTATGTTGCTATTTATAGAGACGTGCATTTTAAAGGCAGAAAGCAATGATTTAGGCATCACCACACACTCCCACAGGCTGTCTTTTTCTAAACAAAGGTGTTAAAAAAAGTTTTCAGAAAATGCTGGCCCTTTAAGGGAGCCAGGTGTTTGATTTGTTTACTGCTGAGTGTGCTCTATTCTCTGTCTATTAATTCAGATGTTGAGTCTGATATGTTTTAGGCTTTAAATAAGAATCTACAATGAGTAAGTAAAATGTGTTCAAATGTTTTTGAGGGTTTCTAAAATAAGGCTGTGTTTTAAGTTATATTGTTGTTATCTTGAAATGTGTACTTGAAAGCTACATTGTTAGCTAGTTAGCCTCTCCTCATATAACTTCTTACATTACTTTTAAGTATATTTATTTATTTGATACTGCATATTGCCATAATGTACAGATGCTAACAGTTTTATGTATCTTTCGGGCAACTAAGCAGTTTTTATGCACATAAACACCATTAAATTCCATCACCTCAGTAAGGTAACATGTGCACAGAAATCATCACAGGGAATCACAAAAACATGATACACATATTCATCCACACACACAAAAGCTCCACTGTCAGGTCCCAGGTTGTGAGTTTGTTGCTAAGTATTTTTCAGAGCTGTGCTTCCACCTATGCATTTATATTAGAAACAATAGAAAAGTTTGTGGTCATGAGATTTTTTGGTCCCACTTTATATTAAGTGGCCTTAACTAATATGTATTTACACAGGACTTAATAGTTTGTTACAATGTACTTATTATGTAAATACATGTATTTACTGTGTACTTATGCTTGATTAAATACATGTATGTAATTACATCTGTAACTAATTTTTGTAATTACATTTGTAAATACACTGTTGACCATCCCTTACACCTTAACCCACCCTTAAACCTACCCATACCACCAAACCTGTCCATAACCCAACCTCTATCCCAA